GGGTTGGCCCGGCCCCGGGGGGTGCGCCCGCGGGGGGGGGGGCGGGGGGGGGGGGGTGGGGGCCTGGCGGTTGGGGGGTGGGGGGGCCGGGGGGCCCCCCCGGGGGGGGGGCCCCCCCCCCCCCCCCCCGCCTTTATTTTTTCTTGCTTTTCAACCCCCGCCCCTGAACACAAACACACCCCCACCACCCCCTTCAACACTGGACATAGCGAGTGAGGGCATGGGGTTTCCTTCGCGACGTTTCTAGTTCAAGGGAGGAGAAGAGCCGGACACAGCTGACCAACACCCGGCCTCTTGTAGTGCGAGCGAGCACCCAGCAGCCCCGGCTGTACGTCGGCATGGTCCTGATCCTGATTTTCGCCGAGGTGCTGGGCCTTTACGGCGTCATCGTGTCGATCCTGATGTTGACGAGGTCGACGCTGGGGGTTACGGAGTGTCCATACTAGGTAGGATTTAGGGGGATGCCGAGCGTGGTGGCCTGTTCTCTTGTGTGTCGTTGGCTGGACTGGACATGGACAGGCCTCATCATGGGAGGAGTTCAGAGTATCGCGACCACCCGTTGGGCCAAGAGAGTTGGAGGGACGGGAAGCATAGCATTGTGGGCATCAAGGGGTGCGTGTGTTTTAAATTCGTTTGTTGATCTTGATTATCTATTTCAAAAACCCCAGGCTCAGCCTCCTCGCGGATGGAGGAGCTGGATCCATATTTCCTTTTCGAAATGGAGTTTCGGGCGGTTTCCCATTACGAACCTGGAACGCGCATATGGGGTATCTACTACGTCTCGGGCCAGCAGCCTCGTTTATCTGTGGTTCCCTCGACTGGCTCATTCATCTCTGAGTGGCATTCTACAGAGCCCACTCGTCCTTATCCTCCCCCTCCTTGATAAAGGGCTCGTCGACCCTTCTGATAGCGTAGTCGCTGCATAAAATGCTATCAAACTGTCAGTATAAAAAAAAGCTTCCAAGACTCGGTCTATGAAGTGCAGGGGGACGGGGGGGGGACTGGCTCACCATGCAGACGCCACCAACGAATCCAACTCGGCGATCATGGCGTCTCGCTTGGGGCCGCTGACGAGGCCCTTGCTGATTTGCACCTGGCACTCCCTTATCCTCCTGCTCTTGCTCACGCCGGCCTGCTCCAGCACCTTCCTCCCCAGGCAGTCCGAGTGGAAGGCGTGCTGGCACGGGAAGACGAAGAATTGGCGGCTCAGCAGCGGCAGCCCGCAGGCATAGCACCTCTCGCCGGGCTCCACGATGGCGTACCGGTGGTCGAGCGCCGCAATGTCCATCTTGATGTTGGCCGCCGTCCGGCTCGACTCGTCCATCTCCTTCCTCAGCCGGTCGATGTTGCGGCTGTAGTCCTCAAGCGCCGCGCATATCTCCTCCTTGAAATCGTCGATGACGACAAAGTCCGGGAAGAAGGGGATCAGGTCCTCGATCTTGAGCAGGTCGCACCGCTTCAGGAACTCGATCGCCGTCTTGATCCCGTTGGACTGCGATATCACCTTGCGGGCCACCGCCAGCCAGAGCTTCTTTCGCAGCTGCGGATTCGACATTGGCCGATCGGCGATGATGGAAGCCAGATCGATCTCGTTGTGAGAGAGGGCGAGGTCGACTGCCTGCAGGTACTGGCCCATGTTGGTGTATATGTGCACGCACGAGAGGACGCGGTTGTTTTGGATGCACAGGCGGAGGGCAAAGTCCGGGTCGAATCGCGGCTCATCCCCCTGTGATTCGAGGTAGCTAAGCAGGGCCGACTCGTCCTTGGACGCGTGCGAGGCGTACATGGAGACCAGGGTGTTGTGGATCGCCGAATCGGTCGAGCTCAACTGGTTCACAACATACTGGAGGTACCGGATCGCCTGGTTCTGTGTCAGCGGCCCCTTGTAGTTTCGGTCGTAGTCGAGCAGCGCGGGAATGAGGTTCCTCGGCTTGAGATTTGACTGCCGCATCAGGATCTCGACCAGGTCCGTCGCCACGTGCGTCATCAGCACGCTGCTGTATCGGTAGAAGATGTCGGGATCCGTCTGCCGTTTGAGAACGGTCAAGGCATCGGACCACCTTTCCCGCTGTACCCAATATGCCAGCACGTAGTTGTAGTCGTTCACGGCGTCGGCGAAGAAGAGTAGCTCGTCTTCCCTGCCGTGGCTACTTATGACGTCGTAGATGGTCTTCCGATCTAGGTCAGACTTGTGCTTCGTAATGAAGTTCTGGTACTCGCTTCGGACTTCGTCGAGCTGCTCCTGTGTCTGAGACGGGCTGGAAGGTCCTGACAACTCCGCCCTCGTGACGATGGTGTCGTCGAGCGAGTTGAGCTTGGCCATGAATATCTCCACCAGCCAACTGGCAAGCATGACCCTCTGCATGACAGACGTCTTCTTGTAAGTGCCAAGCTTGGCCAACAGGTATCTCCGGAGAGCATCGGGTTGATTGTTGTCGATGAAGGTGAGCGCGACTTCTTCAAACGCCTTGCTGCTCTTCCCGTAAACACCAGCAGCCTCGTTGAACAGGCCCTTGCTGACCAGATAGTCTCCTGATGCCGTTGCCACAGCGTCTCTCTGGGAGGGTGAACGGGCATATCGAAGTGCGGCATCGAACTTCTGCATGCCGAGCATGATCTTCCACACGTCCCGGTCTTCGTCGCGGACGACAATCTCAAATATATCTTGTGCGGTGAACAGCCAGAACGTATTCTTCTGCTGGTCGACACAGAGGCCCAGAGCTTTCTGCCCAGGATCCAAGACCGCCTGGTCGTAGACCGTCGAGCCCGTCAACCTGTTGGCCGCAACGATTCGGCTCCCGATCAAGGTGACGATGTGCCATTGGGTCAGAGCGACGGCGTCGATGTTATCCACCGACGACTTCCGCCTTCCCGAGCCATCTGCCGCAGCCAGTTGCGACTTGGCTAGGAGCTTCGACTCCGAGAACACTTTGTTCCCCAGCTCCGGCCCGGAGGGGTTGTCGAGCAGGGTGCCGTGATAGACGCCGTGGGACGAGAGCCAGGCGAACGCGCGCTCCGGAGCAACGCCCTCGTATGGCCTGGAAGGATCTTGGGCGTCCGGCGAGATGACTAGAGCCGATGTTGCCGCCGCGGAAGACCTCGAAAGCTCGTGGATCACGGGCTGTTCGGATTCGAAGAGCTTTGTGTAGATGGAGCCGCTCCCATCATGACCGCGCCCAACCTTGCCCACCAGATGGAACAGCCTGCTCTGGGTTCCAATGAGCACTCGTCGCGTATCTGCCCTACCGGGCAAGTTGTCGACCCAGAGGCCCGTCACCGGCCCGTCGGGGAGCTTCTGTAAGACCTTGAGGTACTTGTCTTCCTTCCTGTAGAACTCGTTCGACGTCTCGATATAGCTCTCGTACACGTTACCGTCCGATGCGCCCAGCAGGATCTCCCGCGTCGAGGCCGTGGGCAGGGCTGGGTTCCAGGCGATGCTCTCGATGGAGACATTGCGGAGTCGCGCAAGAGGGCGTGGGTGGCGCGACTGGGAGTTGAGATAGTAATTCTCGCCGAGCGATGTGCACACTATGAGATGAGAGGCGGTTGGGTCGAGGAACATGCGCCGTATGACTCCGATTTCAGACGGCTTCTTCGGGAGGTCGATGTCTAGATCCAGACTGTCAGCTGGGGGGGGGCTTGCGACCCAGGCTCTCAGCCCATCCACAATAGCACTCGAGCTCGACTTACCATCGATGTCCTCAGGCCGGTTCAGGTCTATGCGGAGGATGCGCCCGTTGGAAAGGGCCAGCACAAGGACATTGTTGGCGACCTGGGCGGCGACGAAGTCGGCAGCAATGGAGAACTGAAGCTGGACGCTCTCGACGTCAAATATTGGCAGCGCCCCGTCGGCAAGGCCGTTGACGTTGTCGGCCGCCGGAAACCCGTTGGACGACGGGTCGAACGCCATCTTGGAATATCAGTTCTACTCAGCCTTTATTCATGGTCTTGAAGGCGCATCCTCGTGTGGGGTTGCCGGCGTCTGGCTGTGGAGTTACCAGGCAGCGATTTGGAGCTCCCGTGTTTCGAGGTCTAAGCTTCTAATGTCCCCAAGAAGGTCGACGTCAGTGTACCCCGACATTGGCATCACTCAGTGGATAAGATAATACCTTTCATTCCGATACAAGAATATCGAGGTCTAAGCTAGAGAGAGCAGAATCAACGCAACTTGGAAACCAAAAAAAATCCACAGGTGTAGAATCTGTCTCCCACGGCCCCCAGCTGGCATCTCCACCGAAGCGACAGGTTTGTCTGTCGTCTGCGGCACAGGTGATGGCCATTGTTCATCCAAAAAAGCACCCACCATCAGCGGCTCAGAGAGCCCACCGGGTACATACATAAAAAGGGGGTATCTACCATTTACAAAAAGAAGCGACCGGCCGCCTTCAAACCTCGTATCCAAACTCCGGTCGTGGCCAGCTCCAAGTTCCCAGCTCCCAATTTCCAATTTCCAACTACCAACTTGGTCGCTGGCCGCTCATGTTGGAGGTGCCGGCTCCATCTCCACCTCTGTCTCCGACTTCGCCTCCCTCTCCGTCTCCGTGGCATACGACCTGCAGCGAGACAGGCTCTCGATGGTGCTCTCGTCCCCGCTATAGTCCCTGATCTCGCCATGCTCGCCGAGGGCCTGGGCGGTCCACTGGCCCGGCATCTCGGGCTTCCTGCCGACGAGCACCCTGATCTTGACAACGAAGCCCTTTGCCCGCTTCGGGTCCTCGGCCATCTTCATCAGGTCGCGCGAGACCCTGTCGCAGAGGTCCCGGACCGACTCCGCGTCCCACCCCTTGTACTTTGTGAGAAGCCGGAAGCACGTGGCCTCGACGCCCGTCACGAGCGCAAAGAGCCAGTCGTCTCCGAACTTGCTGTTCTCCCTCCTGCCGACGGGCAGGTCGTGCCGCGACTGGTGTATGTCGACGAAGCCCACGTCCATGAGCAGCTGCTGGTCCATGTGGCTGACGCCCTTGGGCCGCCCGTCCAAGATGGCGGCTTCCCGCAGCGCCGTTGCCATGACCTCGACGGGGGAGCCCTCCGGAAACCAGTCCAGGAAATTCTCGGATCCCCAGTGGTCGTCAAAGTCCATGATCTCGATGTAGCCGCCCGGCTTTAGACACGCAAAGGCTTGCTGGTAGATGAAGGACCAGTCAGAGAAGGCGCCAGCCATGTTCCTGAGGTGGACCAAGTCGAAGGAATCGGCGGGCCGAATCCATTCTTCCCGCGCGTCCTCGATCTGGAACTCGACGTTGAACGGCACCTGGTCGGTAGGTTGAATCGCAGCGATGTCCGTCCCGAACACCTCGCAATTCGGATACTTCTCGGCCACGCCTATTGCCCACTCCCCGATGCCTGTCCCTATGTCCAAGATGTGCTCTGGGTTGTGGAGCTGCACCGTCGTCAACTCTAGATCGAGGAGCTTGAGGTAGGCTTGGTGGAGGACATATTGGCGCGTTTGCTCGTTCGCATCGTTGGGCATGCAATAGTCGCCGCAGTACCGGCGCCCGTTCTCCCAGACGTAGTCGATATCCTCAGCGTAGAGGGTTCGCGAAGAGTCACTAGAGAAGAGCGTGTTAGTTAGCCTTTGCTACCAGTTGCAATTTCGCACTCGGGTGTTGTAAGCCGACGTACATGGTTGCCGAGTCTCCGGCGTTGCCGAAGGGATGTTCGACTTGGTAGGCTAATTGCACTCTTGGGTATATGCTTGTACCGTAGTTTGGTATGGCATTGGCATCGCTGCCATTAATGCCATCATTGTTGCCGTTCATATCGACCTCCAGCCCGGCAACGAGGCTGGGATCCGGCTCCAGAATGCTCTCCAGCTCGGCCGACATGTCGTCCTCCCCGGATTCGGATGTTGGTTCGAGCGACCCCTCTGCTGCGCCCTCGGACCCGAATTCTGGAGGCGAGAGGGGATTGTTGACGCTAGGAACCGGGTCCTGTCCCCGCGCTGTGCCTGGCTCGTGGTTTATTTGTTTGGACGATTGCATAGCTTCCATCCTACTATAATTGATGCCTTCCAGATCTGAATTGGACCGAACGACGTCGCCTTCTCCCCATCAGGATGGTTCTTCGCAAGTAGTCGAGGGGGTTTAAAAAAGGCTATGCATCCATGTCATGCGCTGCTACTCAAGGTTGTCCTTCGCTGCAGGAGAGTTGGTGATGACTTCTTGGTGCTTCGGCGCATTGACACCGACGGAGTGCGATTCGGCTTTTCTTAAATGGGCTTTCAGATCCGGGCGAAGGCTTCGGGGCAGCCTCGTTGTTGAGAGTCCACGAAAAAGCGGATTGCGGCTGCCAACGGGCGTGCCAGTCTTGAAGATGCAGTAGGATGGACGCTCCTGTTGGTTGTGTGTGCGTGTCTGAGTGGGCAAAATCGCGAACCCGGGTCAAGGCCGCACGCATCCCGAGCACATTTAAGGGGAGGTAGGGGGCAAGGAGGTAATCAATGGTTGCCCTACCAGTTGGCTGAGATACCTACTTAGCGTACATGATAGTGTCAGACAGTAAGGTGCTAGCAGCTGACTAGTCACGGTGCTAATAAGAGCCAAAAGGGTGGGTGGCAGGGTGGGTATGGAGATGAGGAATTCCCAGTGCTCTATCTCTCAACTCCTGATCTAATAATAATGCACAACCAGCACAACCAGCGAGCCGGAACAAATCCCCGTCTTCAAAGCCGATGTACGGCCCACTGGTGAAACTAGTGCAAGTACCTATACCGGCCTATCAGCAGAGGCAGCGGCACCTGTCAGTGGGCCCCGGATCAGGTACCGAGCGAATCTGGTACCGATGCTGCGCTCAATAACCCGAGAATTGAATGGCCCCATTCCACTGTCTATATCTTTCCAGGCTTATCAAGCATTGACAACCCTCGCCGTATCATCCCCGTGGGGGGAGAAACCAAATTGCTGATACTATCCATCGGGTTATACGACAGAAGTAGGTTCGCCGAAGTGGACACCGGCCAATCTGCCCACTGACAAAGCAGGCAGGAGGTGCTGTGCATATAGCGCAGGTAGGGACGTACGTACACTCCTCACCACCGAGACATCCCATCTGCATCCACAGAACGACGTTGCAGTATGTTGGCAGATGCCGGAAACCTTCCGGTCCCCCCGTAAGTCGACCCAACCCACTGGGCTTCGCCCTCTGCGAATACACGGCTGTCACGTCGCCCATTCGGTCCTGCTGCATCTAGATTTTGAAAAACACTTGGCGTCGGTATCCAACGAGAGAGCGGTTGAGCAAACAGCCTAAACTGGTTGCGGCGTGCCCGAGGCGTTGGTCCTGCAGCGCAATCATATTTTAGTTTGGATTTGTAAATCCAGCAGGGCTACCTACTGCATGTAGGTACCGTGTTGTATGTATGTGCCTGCGAGTGCCTGGATCGAACGATAGGTCGACGATGTGACACATGAGGATTTCGAAGTTCGAAGGCTACGGGACGGGACGGGACTTGCATCAGCGCGACTCACCCTGCAGCCTCCATCAATCCACCCGGATGGATATCGGCTACCGGAAGTGACGCCTCCGGGAACGAGGCCGAATGGGGTCCCGGAGTTCAAATGCAGGGTTGGGCGGCCAGCGGTCTCGGCAAGCACCCAGTGCCATGGATCGACCGGATGGATCGCCTAGCTGGCAAAAGAAACAACAATCCTTTCTATCATTGCAGATCATTCCATTTGATCTCTGTGGCAGTGGGGCAAAAAGCATCTCAATGGAAACAGGTACGGATTACGATTCGTAGTATTCGTCCATTCCGTTAATGACCCATCCACCAACCAACACTTCGTTGGCTAAGCTCTGCAGCAGGGTTCAGCACCAGGGTTCAACAGCCCTTGTGACAAACAAGCTTCAGAGGCCATGCAAGCATAACCCCAGCCTTTTCACCGCCCTCGTATCCCAGGCCCAATAAATGGCTTCGGAGTTCCACACAAACTCCTGTCCGTAAACGCCAGTCCAAGATAGGGAGTGAAAAGGGGGAGAAGATGAAAGAAGGATTCTATCCCTCCAGGTGCTGACAACAACATAGCTTGGCTTTCAAGGCACCCCTTCTGCCTCGGGTAGCTAAGCAAGGAAAAGGATTGAACAGTGACAAGCCGTGTAGAACTCGTCACTGAGGATTCGAGTCGCTATCCCAGGTAGTAGAATACAACATCTACACCTGGACTGCATGCGCCGTGCTGTTGCCCTTGCCGTTGCCGTTGCCGTTGCTATTGCCGTTGGCCTGCACAAGCTTCCGCTTCTTGACCAGGCCACCAATGGGCTGCGGCGAATCCGTGACGGGCTCCTTGTCGGACAGGACCTCGACGCCGGCGACGATGGGGAAAGGGCTGAGCACCTTGCTAATGTCGCCCCACCATTTCTCGCCGAAGCGGCGATACCAGTCGGCCGTGATCCGCAGTCCGTCGGCAAAGCTAGTCTTCTGTTCCCAGCCCAGTTGTCGCAGCTTCGTGCCGTCGACCGCGTACCGATGGTCGTTGAACGGCCGATCGTGCGTGTACTTGACCCACTTGGTAAACGCCTCTTGGGTATCATGCGGAATACCCAACTCGCTGAGAAGCTTGCCGCACAGGGATAGGTTGCTGATCTCGTCGTAGGAGCCGACGTTGTAGATCTGGCCGAGCTGCCCCTTGTGTAGGATGGTGTCGAAGGCATCGGCAGCATCACCGGCAAACAAGTATCTGCGCGTCGGCGAGCCGTCGCCGTGCAATACGACCGGTTGTCCCCGGTTGAGCAAGCAGGTGAACTTTGGGATGATCTCTGTGCGCGGGTTTGGTCAGCACTCACCGGGACCGAGGCATTGGCCATCAGGCATGGACGGTAGGAAGCACTCACTCTCCGGATATTGATGCGGTCCGTAGACATTGTTACTCCGAACGATGATCACCGGGAGCTTGAAGCTCTTCTGATACGAATGGACCAACATCTCGGCAGCCGCCTTGCTTGCAGCATAGGGATTGGTGGGAGCTAGGATGCTCGTTTCCAACAGATCGTCATCTTCATCACCAACCTCGCCGTAGACCTCGTCAGTCGAGATGTGGATAAATCTCCCGATGCCGACCTTCTTGGCGCTCTCAAGGAGGACATGGGTGCCATACACGTTCGTGTGCGTAAATCCGTACGAGTTGCCGAAGCTGAGGTCAACGTGTGACTGTGCGGCAAAATGGAATATCGTGTCAATGTTGTACCGTTCCAGGCAGTCGACAACCTCGGAAGGATTGGTGATGTCGCCCTGGTAGAAGGTGAAGTTCCGCTTGTCGTTTAGAACCCGCGTGTTGTTGAGCGAGGCGCAGTAGTCCAACTTGTCGAAAGAGACGATGTTGTATGCGTGTGGGTAGGTCAGCGTAAGGTGCCGGACAAGCCAGCATGCGCTGTTTCCTGGTGTTAACGGATCGGGCATGCCGGAAACGCCCCTATTCTATAGCAAGGCGCGTGGGGTGGGTAGGTGCGTGCGTACATGAAGCCTGCTCCCCCAGTGATCATGATGTTCTTGACCCCCGGCAACGGCTCAAATCTTGTGGTGCCAGTCAGCACCGGCGCATCTTTCCAGACGCCATAGTCTTCGAAGAAGCTGGGGTGATGGCCATTAGTGCCTGTGTAAGCACGTATGTCCCAGTCAGCAAAATCGACGGTACGAGGACAAGGGCGAGGCGGCGACGACGACCTACTGTTTGTGTATTGGCGAGTCATTATGGTGATGACAGGGCCAGGCCCGAAAAATCGATGGTTGAAATTTGGTTAGTCTTGATCCCTACACATACGCCTTGCTTGCTGAAGCGAGAGTGCTGGGACCAGGCTTATATGCCCTCGTGTGGGCGGATATTGGCCCCTCGACAGATGCGAATGTAGAACCCTGGAACGACCCCCTCGCATTAGATGATTTCTACAGGGCAGCGACATGGCCGAAACATGGGATAGCAAACATACTGAGACCCTCTGAACGCGAGAACTTTGTCGCGAAACTGTTAGCTTCAAGATTCCAAGAAGGCTCGCTGTCTTAGACAGTGAATAAAGCAGGGAGACAGTGGTTATGAGAAATCCCCACCTGGATGGCAGAGGGAACAAATTCAACTGCGTGCCATGAATCAGAAACCTACTCGGAATGGAAAGACACATTACATTTTCGTTCGTTCGCACTTCATAGTCATGTACCGTACGAACCAGCAGCCACCGCTACCAGCAGGGATAGAGGATTTATACGGAAAGGATTGGACCCGTGGGATTGGCAGCCCGAGGCGGCTTGGAGAGGATGGAATGTATTGGTACATACATACAAGCAGTTAGCCGGCCCCGATACCCGCATAACTCGATATGTGTAACATGAGACGACGGAGGAATACTGCGAGAGGTAGGTTGCTTATTATTACACATGTCATCCTCTATCCTCTTCCATTATGATGGTTATTTCGTTCCGGAGACTCCACAATGGTTGCCCAGCGAGACTCCTCTCCCTTCTGGATCCCTTGCCCTATCTAGAGCCCTTTTCCTGCTGATGATTGACCATTCCTCGCCTGTGTTCCGGAGAGCAACCCACATAGTCGGGTTCGGAAGTAGACCGCAGACCATGCTGATCCGCTTGCCCTGGGGTTGCCATTGAAGACCCGGTTGCTGCAACATCAGCCAGCCACGGCATATGTGGCAGCGAAGGGAAGTCCAAGGGTGGTGGGTTGAGTGAGTCTCTATCAATCAGTATGGGGCAAACCACACCCCTTAACTCATATGCAAGTGATGCCACATGCCCCATGTACGCAGTAAACCACTGCCCGTGGGGGTCGATCATTCGATGCGCTCAGCGGCTCAGATAAACCATCCCGTTCAATGAAGTCAATTGGAGCTCGGACCCCCAGAATTTGGCGCAATCGCGGGGCACCCCGTATTGTTACTACCACCCCAGCACCCCAGCCTGCATTGGCCAATGGTACTGGGTCTAGGCGAAGAAAACACGAGAATTCGATCCAGTGGTCTCCAAGAATAGCACACACAGACACACGTTTCTCTCGTACCAACATCCTGATCTCCAGGAATATCGTCGACCATGACACTCGTCTCCCCGTGTTTGTCTGATGTCATGCTGTCACCACAGGAGACACGAGACACGAGGGTCGACTACTATAGTATGCCCTTGCATACATGTAGCTGATCAGATTACCTGGTAGGCAACTAGGAAGTATGCATGTACATTGGTGGCATTTCGTTGCGGACTTGAAGATTGCAAGATTGCAAATTCTGAAACATGGTAACGTCCATATTATTGCCTGCCCGTATGCAAGATCCCTGGCTGATCACTGGAGATCTAGAAGTAGTGTACATAAATTCACCCACCCTGGCCAAGGATTCTACTGGTATGAACTCAATCCTTCAGCTAGGTTCATACCCCTAGCAGGAGCTAGCTAGGTACATACTTTTGGCAGGGCGACTAATAACCAAGTTCCATGAGAATGCGTGTGTACTCCGTACCTGAACCCGACTCTCCCTGGCAGCAGTGGCCGGCAAACTACCTGGTTCAATAGTTCCCATGCTGACCTGCTCAGCTGCCAAGCATGAGCCGTCAAATCCCCATTTACATTGTCCGTGCAAACCTAGGTGCCTGATAGCTGCTATCTAAGGTTATTGCTGTTATTAGGCCCTCAGCAATGCGCTGCTGCGCTTCTTTTGACGATGCGGAGGTTCAACCCGTCTCCATCCCATCTCGCTTTCCCCATAATGAATGCACGCCTGAGGTTCCTCTCGGTGGGTGCCTTGAATTTGATTACCGTTTGCGGAATTTGGGCACGCAGTCCCATGCCAGGGTAGTGGGTCAACCCGGCAAATCACATCTTCACTCTTGCCCATGCGTCCCTTGCATCGGGACGAAAACAGCCACGGTGCACGACCTTGAAGTACCAGTACCTCACCAGCTCTTAACCGGTCCCTTGAACCCCCCTCCAGGAATTCGTACGAGGAGATGGTCTGCTATGGGCGATGGGCTAGATGGCGCACCACCCGCCTCCTGTACTCAACTAATGGTCAATACGAGCCATTCAACATACCAGCGTCTCCCTCCCATTCCAACACCAAGTAGCTCTTAACGGTTGCGGTTCCCGCCGCACCGTATTATACCGCCTCACCTTCGCCCAACTCATCGGTCGAGAGCTTCCAAACGACCAGCAATCTAGGCTACTTCCGCCCCAATCCCCAAACTCATAAGGAACCAATCAACGTCCGACCATGTCCGGCGAAAACAGCGAGCGGCCCGACAGGCCAGTCTCGGTCTCTTCATCATCGGCAGAGACGGCGATTCCGGAAGACAACGAGAAGCTCGCCGCCCGTCTCGATCACAGAGACCACAACCTGGAGGAGCTCAAGTCGCCTGATGATATGGAGATTGGAGATGACCATGAGGACGACGGGCTTCTACCGCAGCAGGACGAGAAGCCCAAGCCGCCAAAGAGCACCTTCGCCTCGTCGCTGACCTGGATGGTGGTCAACACTCTCGCCACCATTGGAATCGTGCGTTGCGTTTGAAGGACTCCCTCGCAAGTCTCGGTCACTGACAAGCTTTTCCAGGTATTCACAAACAAGGCCATCTTCTCAGAACCTTCTCTCAAGCTGGCCCAGCTCACCTTCGCCGCCTTCCACTTCTTCATCACATGGCTCACCTTATTTACCATTTCGCGGCCTCGCTTCGGCTTCTTTGTGCCCCGGAGGACCTCGATCCGCGACATGATCCCCCTCTCGGTGGCCATGTCTCTCAACGTCATCTTGCCTAATCTTTCCCTCGCCTTCTCCACCGTCACCTTCTACCAGGTCGCCCGCATTCTCCTCACGCCCACCGTCGCGCTCATGAATTTCGTCCTCTACGGGGCGACTCTCCCGAGAGACGCCGTCTTTGCCCTGGTCCCCGCCTGTGCCGGCGTCGGCATGGTGTCGTACTATGATTCGCTGCCCAGCGGCGACGCCAACGTCAAGACCACTTCCGGCCTGGGCGTCATCTTCGCCTTTTCCGGCATCTTCGCGTCCTCGCTGTACACCGTCTGGATCGCCAGCTACCACCGGAAACTCAAGCTGACAAGCATGCAGCTGCTCTTCAACCAGGCGCCCATCTCGGCCTTCCTCCTGCTTTACGTCATCCCCTTCGTCGACACCTTCCCCGTCTGGACCGAGGTTCCGGTCAACCGCTGGGTCATGATCCTCATGTCAGGCCTGTTCGCGTCCATGATCAACATCTCGCAGTTCTTCATCATCGCCCAGACCGGTCCTGTCTCTAGCACCGTAGTCGGCCACGTGAAGACCTGCACCATCGTGGGGCTTGGCTGGATGACATCTGGCAGGGCCATTGGAGACAAGTCAGTCCTTGGCGTCTTCGTTGCCATTGGCGGTATCATTGGGTGCGTACAAACCCTTGCCAGCGATTCTACTTTTGCTAACGCATCAACAGCTATTCCATGATCATGCTCAGGGAAAAGGCACGCCAGGCGAGGAAATGAGAAAAGCATTTCTATTTGCCGAGTACGCTGGCCCTGATGTATAGACACAGTCTATACCTCTAGTTTATGTATTTTATTTTGGAGTCTTGGAATAGGGGTAGGCGAACGGCGTTTGGTCGAGCACGGGGTCAAAGCTTCCTCAGGGACGAGGGTATGATTCCATGTTGCATTTCAAAATAGGTTTAAGCGATACCTCGGAATCAAATCTGCAGAAATTATGTGCCGAGCATGACTTCATCTTCATACAATCTCTTGTCAGCGACATACACCGCGGCGGGTAAGGGAGATTGTCGCCTCAGAGATTTCGACATTCTCGATACAAGGTTCGATACGGGTCGCCCGAGGCCCATGCGACAACTTTCAGGGTATCAATGCGTGTTCCCAACAGCCTCGCGCATTCTATTTGCGAGACAGCTTCTAGATATCGGGGCGCCCTGTGCAGATCGAGCTTGACACTCCATACTCCGTCCCTCCCGGCTCGCCCAGCCCAGGCCCCACTGGAACGTGTCCGGTCGCGTCTTACAAGTTGAAGTGAGTACGCTTCTTCTCCATCTTCCCCTTCCACTCCCACGGCTGCGCATCTTCTCCCTCGCTGCCAGCTCGGCCAACGCCCTTGTCTACCCTGCGAAGTTTCTAGTAAATTGTTAGCGTGGGCGAAGGTAAAGAGGGAGGGGGGAGGGGATCCTCCGGCGCGGGAGTCTATGCATACCATTGTGAATCTGGGCCCGAGTTCCTTTGATAGGCGGTCAGCAAAATTCAGGTGGAGGAGAATGGGGAATGATGATCGATATAAGACCCCGCTTACCTGCAACCCCACGCGGATGTCTTCGAAACCCTTGATGTCCTTTCCATCGACGCCGGTAACGCTCCGCTCCGTCGGTTTGCGGTCACGCACAACATAACGTGAGTAGCGAACGAAAAGATAATCTCGCTGGTTATGCACTGTGAGGACTTGGCGGCCGACAATCTCGGGCTGCGGCGGGAAGAGCGTCCAGAACGACTTTGCTACTAATATGCCCAGGCCCGTCTTGAAGTTGTTGAGCAGCAGTTCCGGCTGTGAATGGGTTAGCGCTCCTGTTCAGTTCACGCGCAGTGGCAGAAGGGGAGTGCGGATTTACAAAGTGGTTCGTGGGATTTCCGTGGCCGGGAATCTTCTTCCCCGGCATGTAGCGTGTGAGGCTGTAGGTAAGGGTCGGTCCGTGGGGCAAGTGCACAACCGACATGGCCGTGGGCTTCTTTTGGTCTTCCTTTATCACTACCACAGCCGTGTATCCACGGTTGGCAGCAAACTTGCAAATCTCCCTGACTGAATACTTGTGCCCGTACCGGTGGGCCGAGCGTGGAATATACTTGCTGTTCGGGAAGATGCTGCCTATGTCTTGGGCTTCATGGTGTATAGTTGCATTCAGGGAGGTCGTGATAAGAATCTTCGGAGGTGGTACAGGGTCTTCGGTAAAGAGATTCGGAAACTTCGCAGCCAAGAAAGCCGGGGTGATGTCGAGATTCGTACTCGTAGTTGACGGCGCAACACTGGTGTCACGAGCCAGCCGTTTTCGTCGTATCCTCTCCATGCGCTCGTCTTCGTCCTCATCCTCGTCCTCGTCCTCGTCCTGACCCTCGTCGCCGGACCCGAGCATGCTGTCCAGTTCGTCGTCTTCGTCGGCGTCTCCGTCTGCCTGCTGGGCGGATTCTGCCTCTTCCTCCTCGAGCCGGCGTCGCTTCGCTTGAGCAATGTCCACTGCTGTGCCTAGGGTTTCGCCATCGCCCTCATCCCATACGCGCTTCATATCAAGGCTGACGGGTTGGTTCCGCTCCAACCGCGCCCGCCGTAACTCGGGATCCTTCTCCTCCTCCTTCCTGCGCCTATGCCGTTCCTCATGGCGAGATTTGTCGGCGGCTTTCTTGTTCTCAACGTAAAGTGCCTGCCTCCGGAGCTTGTTATTTGTCTTTAAGGAAAGCGTACGCCCGGAGGGCTTGTTTCCCTTTTGAGAGCCCATGGTTGTGTCTTCAGGACCGTCAATTCCAGGATTAGATGGCAGATGTGCTTATTAGTCTGGGTGGGAGGAGAAAAGATAGATAAAAAAAAGTTATACCGGGTGCACGGTGCAGGTGTGCGGGGCATTTGCAGCCGCAACGGGAAATTCCGCCCAAGGTACCACCCGAGCCACCCTGGACCTGGCCAATTGGTGTGGGGTTCTTGACCGGTGAGCGGTGAACAACTTTGTTTCTCCAAGGCACTATTCGCATCCTTACCACTTCGCAACAATCTCGGCAGTTCTGCGTAGCTACCTGGCCGAAGAAGCAGCAGGACAATAAGAAGATGACCACGGCTACCATTCTGGAAGGGGCATCCCCTGGGCAAGGTTGTTCCTAGATCGATGCTGCGCAGGCGCGTGTTCTACACGCCTTCCTTCGGCGTGTCTGGTCCGTTCTGCGACTACGGTTCGTCTGGCTGCGCCCTCCAACCAGAATCCTTGACCAAGGGAAAACCCTTTCGTCCTGAACGAAATCCTCCGAGAATGAAACCCCCCCGAAGGCAGGCCTGCTCCGTGTCTATGAGTTCATGGCGTGGCCGAGATTGAGCACTTTATGGACCTGGAGGGCGGCAACCAACTCTAGCGGTTCCACGAGGCTTGAGGAAATTTAGCTTGCCCTGCTTGAATGGCATGCCCAATTATGTAGCCAGACCACTGTCCAGAGAGTCCCCATTGGCAAGGTAGGTAGTCAAGTGGTGGAAAGAAAAATCGGTCCATGTGTTACTCTGTTTACTAACTACACCCAGGTATCCACTAACAATTTATCCTACAGTCCTCTCTGATGTTGTTAAGGAGTAACTTATCTTAGTTTTTATGCAAGGTAACAAATGGACCGATTTTTCTTTCCACCGCTTGGTAGTCAACGACAGTGTTGTTGAGAATGGGACATTTAGCTACTTCCTAGCGAGAGCTCATACTGTCCTGGAAATATCGGCGTTGACCCAGGGTTCTCTTCCTCTAGCACATGACCAATGAGATGGCCCCCTAGGCCTGGGACCGTTGGGACGCTGAGTTGCTTGCAGTTTCTCGCTAGGCCGCATGTGTGGGCTGTGCGGATAGAAGTATCTACGACCTGAGCCTTCATGCCCAAGAGACCGCCACACCCTTGTCCGACACTCCCAGGATGAGCCTCATATAAGGGAGCTGTGGAGAGTCGAGATCGACAAGAAGAATTCGGTCTGCATTCCAAGATAACAAGGCCATCAGTGATATTCTTGCACTTCTTGACGTCATGACATAGGAGGAAAGGGAGAAGCTCAAGTAGCTGGCCGAGAATGGCAAGATTATCTTGAATGTCTCTACAGGAGGTAAACTGTAAACCTATGGGAATACACACCCAACGTCATGGAGCCATCATTTAAAGGTCAGGATCTTGAAGGCCGTTGATCGCCGGATCCGGATATTGTGTACCGTCTTGGATTGCAGCAAGATAACGGGTTTCCCTATGCCATGACCTTGAATTGTCCTACGCACATGCGTGAGGAGAGATATGGTGAATAAGGCTGAGCCTATCGGCCGGAAGAGCAGACAAGCCCAACCTCTTGAAGGCTGTGTTCGACAGATGGTTTGGACTGGTTTACTCAGAAGGGATTTACCGTGCTACTCAGCTCGAGATGCGCGATACTTTTGAGCCAACTCCTCTTGAAGGGATGTTCCGGAACCATGAATCTTGAAAAGAGTGCCAAACATCCCAAGGACAAGGGCAATGGCTTGACTCGCCATCCCTACTTTATATCATCCTCGTCGATCAGCCAAGGCTAAGCAGCCACATGTCTTGAAGAGTTGAAACTGTCTCATTTCGTAAAAATAGAGATGTGGCGGCGCTCGCTTGCTGCGCTAACATGTTCCAGAAGCAGGACATAGCTGCTAGCATGCTGTATGCATGCAACATTTGTGGCGGAGCCTCAACCTGAGATCTGCTTGCCGGTAGGTATTTGGCACAGCACTATTATCCTGTGACAGATCCGCAGATTGGAAACAAAACAGCAATTCTAGTGTCTCTCCCTCCCCGTTTCAGGTCTTTCGCTCAAATTCCAAAGCCCGACCAACCATAGCGAGCCGAATGACTGCGTCCTGCAGGCTTGCCAATCCCCCTTGCCACATTTTGATGCGCGGCTAATAACCGAATCGACCACGCCCAGCGAACCCCAATCCTTCCGTAACCCGAATCTGGTCCGCGAAGTCTCCGGCTGGCACTCCTTTCCCTCGCGCTCGTCCCCGTTCTCTTGCCCAGTCTTTCCTCCTGCCCACCACGGCCTCCGGCGGCAATTATGTTGGAGTACTGGACATTTCTCCCCCCATAATTTCGCACCAATGGACTTTTCTGCGCAGGAGGACCCTCATCGAGACAAACCTGTCGTGAGGCTCTACATGAAACGTACGCGTCTTGGAAAGGCATGAAGATGGGGTGGTACAAGAAGTCGGTGGTCGCAGCACACCGGCCGGCCCGAAGAACTTCCTTCCTACCTCACTTACGGACGTACTCCGTAGACCCTCCCTGGAATGTTTAATAGACGCTCGAGGAATGATTAACTCCAACAGGGCAGAGCAAGAACACAGCACAGTCGCACACACTGTTGATAAGTGATCGGAACGCCCCGAATCCGCCGCCGCAACATGCAGTGTCAACGGCTCCAGAGATCGTGACTCGACATTGCAGAGGCAGATGGGGTTGAATGATGCTTCAATGCTCAGGCTTGGTGCTGGGAAATCCTGAAGACAAAGAGTTCCAGCGATCCATCTCTTAGCTGGCAATCGAGGGCATGATCAGGGCTTCTCCGAGCATGCCACGCTGGTGGAAACACGAATTGATAGCGGAAGAAAAAGATGGCCACATCCCATCCTGGTGCTGGAGAGTGTTTTGGGCTCGGTGGCGGGGCATCTCGACGTAAGTGCCGACTCTAAGGTCTGCTTCAGTAGGTTCAAGATTTGAATAGGGGTTACAGAGCCAACAATACACCGCACCTATATAGAATACAACATTTACTAGAAACCCACACTCGCTCAGTGTCATGCAAGGCTAGAAATGGATGTACGGATAAGGTAGATGTTTGTGGTCGTGCGCCAAGGTCAAACCCAACCCCTTTTTGGATGTGGAGAGGCGCTTGGCAAAGGACGGCGGGGGGCACATGAGATTGGGTGCACCTGTATGAATCTGTACACACCCGCATATTACACCCGCCGGTTGCCCTCCAGTTTTGGTGCAGGGTCTCCCTCTATCTCAAAGACCATTGGCTGGGCGGTCGCACTTACCCCTCCACACAGAGGGGTGTCTTCAGGCTTGTCGCCATTCCCACCACCTCCAAAAATCCGCACTCGCTCCTTTTGATCCACAGTCACTAGCCCACAGGCGACCTCCCGGCTACATCACCCTTATTTTCGGCCTCCCCTACTACCACCCAGACTACCTGCGACCTGCCTCATTATCGCCGGTTGTTTCTTTTCCCGACACTGTTTCCAAGCCTGCTTTGCCTTGGGAAAAGGACAAAACAACAACACCTACCTATTCCACACATCTCAGTGTACTTTCTCGCTTTCCTCACTTTGCTTCACTCACTTCCTCACCGACCCTTCCCCTCCCTCGCTCCCTCCCTGCCCTGCGTGTGCCGCAAACAAGGCCGACCCAAGTAACAGCCAAAGGCGACTGCTCGACTTGACCACCCACAAGCTCCCACCTCTGTCCACCCTCAAGCCAAGCCGTCGCACCTCGCAAAATCCACACAATATCCCTATGTTGCCATCATTCTCTTGTGAGCCGCTCGACAGCACTTGAACCGACCAGCGGTCGCTTCACTTTGGCGATCGACTTGATTGCTACTAATCTGCACGGCCACTCACATTTCCAATTGGATCCTCTCAACCTAGGCTCTAAGAGGCACCTCTCATCTCTCGAGTGTTTTCTTGGGTGATTACTCGGTTTCCCTGCTCCTCTTTGTGAGTCCTTTATTCATGCCCAACACCAATCACCTGCGCTTACATTCGACATCAAAGGCTGGCAGCGAATCCCGTCCTCCTCAGAATCCTCTACCTCCTTCCACCCGAATACCACAAATAGGCACTCCAGTGCCACTCCTCATCTGGTCGCCAACTTAACCCTACATTGAGAACTCGACAACATGGCTACTCAAAACAGGTATGAATAGGATATTCTTTCTCTCACATCTGCCTCATCTTTTTTGCCCTTCAATCTCCCCTGGCCTGGCCTTTGTTTGCACATTCCCACCACCCCCATTCCACCGTTCTTGAAGCCATCTATCCCAAGCACACCGTGGAATACCGACGACAACCCCAACTCCTCAGTCTCTATGGCGTTTGCGTTTGCAATTCTGTGCCAGTCTCCTCGGTACTGACAACCATGAACAACAGTACCTATGCCACAGGCCAGTTCCTGAACCCTGGCCCAGCACCACGGCCTCCGACCGACAGACCCCGCCTTAATCTGACACCCAACACCAATCTCCCCGGGAGCATGGGTAACATGAGCCTTTCTTCCCCAATGAGGACTGTGCCCTCCCAGTATAGCGGCTCTACCATCTCGCTTCCGTTAGGACGCCAGTCATCTAACACTGATGGCTCAGGAGGGCTGGGCATCATCAAGCAAGGCTGGGCTTCGGTGAAGGAGAATAGAAACTTCATCAATCCCTGGAAACAGAAGTACCTAATTCTCCGCAAGGAGTGCCTCGACTTCCACAAAGCTGAGGGTAGCAAGGTTGCCTATACCTTGTTTCTAAAGGATGTCATTAACGTCGGCCGGGTTGAGGCAGCCGGTACCATCTTTGAGATCAAGAGAAACACCAGCGGCTCCTCAACAAGCCCTGGCGATGATGACGGCACTCTCCGAACCCTCCATATCAAGGTCAAGGGTGACGACGATCTCTATGAGTGGATTGACTTCATATATGGCCGCTGCCCGGGCATGGGTGGAGTGAGCAATCCCACCAACTTCTCACACGCCGTCCACGTCGGTTTTGACCCCCAGAGCGGTGAATTCGTCGGGCTGCCCCCTGAGTGGTCCAAGTTGCTCAACTCGTCAGCCATCACAAAGGAAGACTACGAGCGAGACCCGCAAGCTGTCTTCGAGGTCTTGGACTTCTACTCGGATCTGACCAAGCGCGCCCAAAACCCCAACCAGTACCCCAGCCTGACCCCTACCCCGCCCCCAGGGAGCATGCAGAACAGGCAGTTGGGCTACGCCAGTGGTAGCTCTGTTGCGCCGCCACGCCCAATGCAGCCAATGCAGCGCAATCCCAGTTCGACTTACGGATCCCAGCAAGGTGTCGGGGGACAACGCCGGCCTTCTCCAACAGAATCCCAAAACCAGCAGCGCATGCAGATGCAGAACATGGCCCCCAACTATGTGAACAATGATCGCAGCCGTGAAGAGCAGCGCGTGAGGGATGCCGAGGCTGCCCAGCGGCAGAAGATGATGGAAATGGAGGAGCAGAACCGCCGAGATATGGAGGCATACAATGCCTCGATCCCCAAAGCGAAGACCCCGGCTGCCCAACAGGAGCTGGGAGGCTATGGAGGAGCCCCGACTTCTGGTCCCGATCGGTTCAATCCCAGCCGAGCTGCACCCACCGCGCCAAAGGCAAGCCCACAAGCTGCCAGCCTCCGTGCCCAACGACCGGCACCCTCGCCGCCGACTGCTGGCGCTTCACGCCCGCCCGTCAGCCAGCAGTCCAGCTCGTCATCTACCCGTGATCCGCAGTTGCAGGCACAGAGAATCCCACGGCCCGACCAGCAGGGCTCCCAAAGCCCTGCCCAACGGTACCCCAATGGTGCTATGACCGCCCAGGCACGAGCCAACGGCCAAGGACAGGCACAGGCACAGCCCCCCTCGCGACTGCCGGCACCCGTCAAGCCCCTCAACGTTGGTCCCAAGACAACTGGCCAGGATGCGGTCAAGGCCGCAGAGGCTGCTCTCACGGCCAAGCCGACTGCAGCAGAGCGCAAGCAGGATGTACGCATGTCTACCATGTCGGAGGGAGAGGTCATGGCAAAACTCAAGGAGGCCGTCTCCAAGGACGACCCCAACCTGTCTTACTCAAAGCAGAAGAAGATTGGCCAGGGCGCGTCTGGGTCCGTCTACGTTGCTAAGGTCAAAGAGACGGCTCCCTCTCCTGTGGCTCGCGAGATCCTGCGCCAGCAGGGCATCAAGGCCCAGGTCGCCATCAAGCAGATGGATCTTGCTCACCAACCCCGCAAGGAGCTGATTGTGAACGAGATCATGGTCATGAAGGACAGCAAGCATCGGAACATTGTGAACTTCCTCGACGCCTTCCTCCGCAATAACAACTCGGAGCTGTGGGTTGTCATGGAGTTTATGGAAGGTGGTGCACTGACTGATGTCATTGACAACAACCCGGTCATCACCGAGGAGCAGATCTCGACCATCTGTCTCGAGGTATGTTGTTAATGGCGTGTGGCTCGTGAATGCGTTAGGTAACATACTAACATGGCCTGTCAGGCATGCCGAGGCCTCCAGCACCTCCACTCGCAGAACATCATTCACCGCGATATCAAGAGTGACAATGTCCTCTTGGATGCCCGTGGTAACGTTAAGATCAGTAAGCAATATCCTTCCTTTAACAGCCTTCATAGGACCTCGCCAGCTAACACAACCCGTTCCAGCTGATTTTGGCTTCTGTGCCAAGCTTACGGAAACGAAAAACAAGCGAGCCACTATGGTTGGCACTCCTTACTGGATGGCTCCCGAAGTCGTCAAGCAAAAGGAGTATGGCCCGAAGGTCGATATCTGGTCTCTCGGCATCATGGCTATCGAGATGATCGAATCCGAACCCCCCTACCTCAACGAAGAACCGCTGAAGGCCCTCTATCTCATTGCCACCAACGGCACTCCCCGGCTTAAGAAGCCGGAGAGGCTCAGCAAGGAACTCAAGGCCTTCCTCTCAGTCTGCTTATGCGTCGACGTTAAGAGCCGCGCATCTGCTCGTGAGCTTCTAGAACACGATTTCTTGAAGCACGGCTGCCCACTGCCGAGTTTGGCTGAGCTTCTAGCCTTCAAGAAGCACGCCAAATGAGTTGGGGGGAACGTTCCATCTTTCCCCTTATGAATGAAATATGAGAATCGCGATGCCTTGAAATGCCCCTTTTGGAGGAGAGTCATGATGATTTCTGCAGGCAAGCCGTGCATATACCTATTTTTTAACGAATGAAATCTTCGGCGCGCGGGGTGGTAATGGACAACCCTTTTTTCCCCTTTCTGCTTTTTTTTCTCTTCTCTTTTCCCCTTCGGATTTCTCGGATCAGCATGGAAGGATATTCATTCCCCCGGTCAAATGGATCACTACACAATTCGACGGCAAAACCTTATTAGCATGGGTGGCATGGATTTCCAGTGTGGCTTTGGGCATATATCATCCCCCGGTCGCCTCTTGCTATTCAGGTCATTCAGCGTTTGGAGATAGTATCGACTGGTTCCTTGCGCTGAGCAGGGGGTCTCATATCGGTTGGTCGAGAAAGTCATGGTTGACGGGTCGGGCAATGCCCTAGGCTGCCTGCCCCTTTCATTGGTGGGCAGTGTAATTAGAGGGGCCGAGTCTGCTTCTTCCTGTCTTCACTCGCACACTTTAATCGTACCTTGCGGAAAACGGAGCCTACCGAGGCGGGAGCTCGCACGACATATGTTGGGCGGAAGCGGGTGCTAACGTGCACATTCGGCGAGGGATGATGGGGAACGGTTTGGTTAGGGGGCCTCGGGATAGTCAGCGATAGAGAGTCATACCAGGAATGGGAAAAAAATTGAACTTCACGGTTGTGTGGCATCGTGGGTGAGCATCGAGGGTGAATTTTCTGCCATGAGGCTTGCGAAAGAGGAATACTCACCCACCCATCCCTCCCGACGACCGGTAAATGGACACCACATACAACAGTTTGTACCACTCATCGGGTCTTCCTGGTGTATGCGTCGGGTGCCTGCGTGGTCGAGGCTGTCGTGAAAAGGGGGGAACGCAAGTACATCAGCAGCTTCCCGGACCAGCAGGACGCTCACCGATGCAAGGTGGGCCGAGGAAGGTGATGGGCCGCTACTAGGGGCGGATGTAGTAGGGGTGTGGCTTGCTACCCTATGGTCTTCGAAGACAGACAAGTGGTTCAATGAGGAGACATGGCCAAGTGTAGTAATTATATCCCTCTTGACCTTGACCAAGAGGTTTCTCCGTACGGCCTCTGGTAAGCCGCCCAGGAGGACCCATTATTATCGGCCGCGTCATAGCTTGGTGCGTCTCGGGCCGTGGTGGACTTGGCCTTCCGAGGTAAGGGCCCGCTGGTCTCGGGTTAAACCCGAGCATCTGGATGCTCTGTATGCCTGACTCCCTCTCCCGGCGAGCGTTGTGGAGCACCTCATTTTGCCTGCATCATCTGGCAAGTCTAGGTTGTTCTTTTCTAGGTCCCGTCGCTAGAGGTAAGTGCGCGCGACGTTGTTGTAAAAGTCAGTTAAATTGGGAGTTGCTCGCACTTTCTCGTACCGAGCCGAGAATTACGAAAATCTCATGGAACACTCAACGCGGAATGCGGCGAGGCCAAGACGCTCTCACCCAAAGTCGCGGACCGGCTGCAAGACCTGCAAAGTCAGGAAGATCAAAGTTCGTTCGTCAGTCTCTTCGCTGCGTACCTATTCTGGTTATGAATCCGCTCTGCTTTGCTAGTTTGCTTGATTTCGAGACAGCAAACATGCTAATTGGCCGTTGCAGTGCGACGAACAACGACCCTCCTGTCGCAACTGTACTAAGCATGGCGTGAAATGCGATTTTCTGGCTCTGGCCGAAGCAGCCTCACCCAGAAGCCTGACCGATGAGAATCCCTCCAACGGGTTGAATGTGCTTGATCTCGAGCTCATGCACAACTTCTCTACGTCGACATATGCCACCCTGTCCAATGACACCCTACTGAGGGACATGTGGAGAGTCTCCGCCGTCCAACTTGCACTGAACTGTGACTATGTCCTGAGATGTGTTCTGGCCGTGTCGGCCTTGCACCTGGCCCGTCACCGGCCGGATAAGAGAGACTACTACACATCCCACGCGCTCCTTCATCACCAGATCGCCTCCAGGGCAGCCATGGCCGAGCTATCAAACGTCACGAGAGAGAACGTGCGGCCTCTCCAAATGTTCTCCATATTGACGATTATCTTCGGTTGGTTGGCTCGCCCTCTTAACCCTGTCGATGCACCCATGATAACAAAAATAAAAACCTCGCAGCACTAGGAAGCCCACGACGGCCGGACGGCTTCCTACTCATCGGCGAGAGCAGCTTCCCCGACTGGATGTTCCTCCTGTCGGGGACGCGGCGGTTCTCGGAGATACTGCAGGACGACACCTTCACCGGCCCGCTGGGCCCCATGTTCCAGCATGGCTTCAGGAGGAGCCTTCTCCAGCGGCCCGACGACGACGACAACGACAACAACAGTAACAACAACAACAACAACAACGGCCGGGAGCTCTCGCCGTCGCCCGGGATCGAAGCGCTGGAGCGCCTGCAGGCCCTCGTGGAGGACTCGGTCGCCGCCGCCGCCGACGACGAGGGGCCCGGGCGGGCGTACCGGCACGCCATCCGGGCGCTGCACCCGCCGTACCGGGTGTTCCTGGGGCGCGGCGGAGACGGGGATGGGGACGGGGTGGCGGCGGCGGTGGAGGTGGAGACGACGGACGTGTTCATGTGGATCTACCGGGTGGCCGACAGCTTCCTGCCGTTCCTCAGGGTGCCGACGCAGGAGGCGATTGCCATCTTTGCGCACTTTTGCGTCCTGTTCAAGAGGATACGGAACCAGTGGTGGCTTGAGGGCTGGGCGGATCACCTCATCTCCAAGGCGTACGGGTTGCTCGATGAGGAGCACCGCTTGTGGATACGTTGGCCGATCGAGGAGATGGGGTGGTTGCCGCCGCCGGCTACTTGATTAAAAGATTTGGGGGGGGGGGGTTCGTCCGCTGTGACATGTGTGTACGCTATTTAATGGTGGTTTTTCAAAGAAAGAAAGAAAAGGAGAAGGCCAGAGGGGACTCCCTACGTTGTCTCATCCTTTAGGAGGTGCAATATTTGTGTGTGCCCTGTCTCGCTAGTGAAGGCCCCGGCTGGACAGCATCCCATGAAGCTATCGCTACTCGGGCAACTTCTCCACGTGGTTCTCTAATCTATGCGGCTCTCCAGTGAAGGATAACGGCTTCGACAGCGGTGAATACAGTCTTCTGGGCCTGCGCCTCTAAAGCGTCCGGCATTGCCGTCCCAGCATCCCAGGATTGAGAGGGCGTGGTTGGGAGAATGATAAACCAAGGCACAGACTGGAGACTTATATGGCAGAGACTTGTATGGAAAAGACTTGTAACCCCCTCAGACGAAGAATATGGTTGCCAGGTCGGTGAATGAGGAAATCAGATGGTGCCAGCCAAAACTGGTTACCCTGCCATTGCCGATCCGGGACAAGTTGCTACCTCCGTCCATGCATTGACTGCATCATTGCGGCACAAGCTCTTCAGATCGGCCAGGGAGCCTCTACTTAATGGTAAGTATAGAATCAACCGAGCAGAGCCATAGTTTCTTAAGCTCTTTCTTCTTCTACAAGTTACAGACACGGTTGATAATCACAGCAAAGTTCTAGCAGCTAAGGGTTAGCGGTAACAAGAATATCCAGGCGCAATGACAACAGCAATGGTTAAGGCGAACCAGCGGGCACTGGAAACTATCAGGACCCCCATAGCTAAGTTCTGACGCTGCTAGTGTCTCTACTGTGTAGTAAGCTGTTCAGGGGACGCATTATTGAAATCGAAGAGCTCCTCCTCGCTGGAATCGCCAAGAAAGCGGGAGCCAAAAGATGGGCCTGATCTGGCAGGGCTGTGGCTGCCCCACTAGGTACGTTGTACTCAGTAGGGAGGAGGAAGCAAGGGATGAAACCGTGATCTGAGCTAACGTAATCCGTAACTAGTGTGAATCCGTATTCAGCACTTGGCTTGACCTTGCCATCCACCCGGTTCAACCCTCATTCACGACAACCTAGGGGCAGCTGAACGCATTGATGGGACGATGGAGCACCTGGTTGGCGGAGGGAATACCCACAGTCCTGGTCCTTTCACTTCGCAAAGTGACGGGAGTGCAGGTGGCTGCTTGGTCCCGGTCTGGCGCCTAGGTAATTAAATAGGAGCTGCAGGATGATAAGTCGAGCAGGAGAGTGCTTGGCCACGCAGTGCTAGATTCTCACTGCTGGACAAATCGGAGCTGCGAGCAGTTAGTCGGAGAGCCGCTGTGACGATCATTGGGAACTGCTTGCATACTGCGGTATGGATCACACGCAGGGCAACTTGACGCGATGTTTCAGAGTTTTTAGTAGATCTCTCCAACGGCATCGGTAATTGGCGCCGTTATGGGTGGTAGGCGGGTACCGTTGGCAAGCATGAATCTGTCTTAACCCGCACTACCTGGTACATAACACTAACACACACACACACACACACACACACACACACACACACAGCACACTGCTGGCACACTCTAGGGCTGCTTACCTCCTTGGAAGGTACGCGTGTACCGCAGAGTAGCTCCTCTTTCCCCATGCTTGGCGCTGGCATTCCCTGGTATCCCCGGCAAGACAAGGGGAAAGGTTCGAGAAGCATGGGGGCCGAAGCATAGGTACCTATGTATATGATAGCTCAATACAATATCGTAATTATAGTGCACACGTACTTCCGCAGTTTGAGCAGCAGGGCAACAGGCAGAAGAGCAATATTTGTACGTTGGCGATGGCCATAAAGTCCTGACTCCTGATTGCTTGTGTCCCCACCTAATTATGTGGACAGACAGTGCTCCTCAATTCAACAGCATCAAAGCCCCCGTGATGTGTCAGAGGCCATATGTTTGGTACCTAGAAAGGAATCGCTCTGATGCCTAGAACCCTCCTAGGGTAAAGGCTTCCATGGTGCCTTTGCCTCAGAGACACCCGGCAAATTTGCACCATGAAAAAATTCAGACAGTGAGGAGCACCAATATTTCAAGAGACTTCACAACAACCACCCTACACGCTGCAGGACACAGCTGTCGGTGATGATATGATATGATAGTGACATGGTGTTCAGGTGAGGTGGATGCTAGGAGCTCCAAGTTTCGCCCTAGCAGCTGGCAAGGGACGTGCTTGACTGGCAGCTAGGGTTGACTAACTAAATGGGGAAGGGACAGGGACATAAAAAAGAGTAGGAGGGAAAAAAAAGAAAGAAAGAGCGCTTGAGCACTTGGTGGTCAAGCTGGCCCCCTAACTAAATGGGCGATCGATTTGTTTCATCCCTCTTGGCCGCCCCGTCTCTTGCTCCGCCCATCCACATCTCTTTTCCTCATCCTCCATAACCCTCAAACCCCAACCCAATACCGTCGTCTTAACTCGGCCCCCACCAACTTCCCTTCCCCTTTCGACTTTGTGGTCCTCTTCTCCAGGCTCAACACCTATTAATGATGCCTGTATATTGATTGTCTTTCTGATTCTTAACCCCCTTCCTGTTTACGACGAGGAGCCGCCCAGGTCGAGCCCGCAACCGAAAACGAAAAAAGTCAAGAGCGTCGGCGACCACCGGTTGAGAGCGATAACACCTGTGGACTGCCCCTTGCCTGCCATTCCTTGCTCGACTACACGACTCTCTCGGCGCACCGTCTGACGACCTTTTATTCTAAGCCATTGAGGAGAAGTCTTCGAGGTTCTCCTCACTTCAACCTTTGTTGTAATAGACCTTTCTCCCCCCCCAGCCTGACTATTCATTCGAGCATCGCTCCTTCGACCCATTATCTGTTACCCCTTGCCGCTTAATTGGACAAGCTTGAGGCCGTTCGCGATTCCATCTCTTGCCGTTTCCACTCAGTGCGCAAACCCGCTAGCAGGACATCGGTTCTCCATCTCGAATACCAGCCTTCGTCGTACCGCCGGCCCCTCGGATACACTCTCCACCAGATAGGGTGATATTACATGCTTCATCTGAAGAAAAAGTGATATCTCCTGGCTATATCTGATGAGGGTCGGATAAGATAATCAATAATGTCAACTGCTAGACCAAACGAACACCTGACAATTGGCTATCCCCCTCAGACTGCCGCCGGTCAGAATCGTTCCACCTCGCCCACGGCGAGTTCATCTCCTCTAGATCCCTCTTCCGGAGGCATTGCCAGATCCCCTTTCGGTCTACCACCGGGCCTTAATCCTCCTAACAAGATGTCCGGTGCCTCTCGTTCCGGTGCTGGCTCTCCGTCGCACGACATGGGTGCTTCCAGCAGGCTCTTCTCGAAAAGGTATGCTCCGATCCGAACTATTTTCTCGCCTTTCCACAGCTAAACCCGCTATCTTGCAGGGCCAGAGAAATCCAAGCCCAGGAAGGCGTTCCAGGCATCCCTGTGAACCCTTGGGGCGGACCGCCGACTAGCGGGAACTCGACGCCCCTCCGTGAGAACATCCCAGAGTCGCCGACCGATGGCTTTCCCGACTTTGCCCAATTACCTTCAACCGACAGTTTGCCACATACTCGCCGTGCCCGTGCCGGCACAGTGCCGTCCAGATTCTCCCCGGGCGGCGCTGCCAATGGATTGCTCAGCATTCCGACCCTGGCCTCCAAGACCTCCAGACCCTCCCCATCCCACACCCCATTCAAGTCTCCTTCGCCTGGGCTTGAGCCATCCGATAATATTTCCGGCTCCTCGACTCTGCTCTCAAGGTTGCGAGCTGGTTCAATGCCTCAGCGGAGCCCCTTTGGCCACACCCCCACCTCCAACTCGCCGTTCGGCCCCTCCATCTTCAGCAGCTGGAACCCAACCGGTCGCGAACGAGGATCCACCTTGGCCAGCATCGCCAGCATCGGCTCTAATGGCCCCAGTTCACCTACCCAGTCCCATTTCTCGCGGGAGGGAACTGGAGAAAACGATGTCCACATGCGGACACTCGACTATCTGGGTCTAGCGGAGACGCCGCAACCCCCGAGAGCCCAGCTAGCCACCCCTTACATCCCGAACTATGCCGACTTTACAAAGGCAGCAAACCGGTTCCGGTCTTATTCTGTGAATAACAAGGATAAATACGCAGATGAGGAGGAAGCCGAGTATAACGAGCACGGTATCTCTATGATGGAGAACCAATATGCGCACCTCCAGGATCAACTCGCAGCGACAAACGCTGCTATCCACAACCACAACCTCGCCGTTCATGCACTGGCAAGTCAAGCTGCCGTAAACCGGCCACGAGCGCGGACTGCTGGCGTGTTGGACACACCCCCGTCGCGCGTCCTCCGAAGCTACTACCCAACGCCTTCGAGGCTCGACAGTTCCATCACGGCCGCCGAGATTCGACTGCCCGACGAGAAGGAATATGAGGAGCTCCCACAAGCCGTGGCCGCCATGTCCCTCGGCAGGTCAAACAGTCGCAACAACGGCTTGCTCGGCGTGGAGGAGCAAGGACTGGAAGGACCGACCAGCGCCCTGTGGCTCGGAAGCATCCCGACATCAACCACGACGTCGACCCTGACGGAGATGTTCAAATCTTATGGCCCGATCCTCTCTGCCAGGGTACTCACCCACAAAAACTGTGGCTTCGTTAACTTTGAGAGGCTTGACAGTGCCATGTCGGCCAAGGCAAGCATGAATGGCAAGGAAATCTTTCCAGGCGCGGGTCCCATTCGTATCAATTTCGCAAAACCTCCTTCTGCATCGAACACTCCAGGACACGACGGAGCATTCCCCTCGCCGAGTCCCGATCCGTTCTCCAAGGGCTATGATGGCGCGAAGCCTAGTGCGACTGGAGCTGGCGGCATTGGCGAGGGCGCATCGACGTTGGTCGGGACCAGCTCCACGCCAACTGTCCCCCCACTGCATGAGATGACGGCGGATATAATGGAAATCGTCAAGCAATTTGGAGCCACGGATGAGGAAAGATATCGGATTTCCATGACTCTCCAGAAGGCAATTCAGTATAATGGCTTTGCCGACGAGATCCCACCTATTAAGGAGCCTGCCCATACCAGGATCTACGATGCCCCTAAGCTGCGCGACATTCGCAAGCGGATCGACAACCAGACCTTGTCTCAGGCGGAGATCGAGAACATTGCCGTTGACATGCTCCCGGAGATTGCCGAGCTCGCGTCGGACTATCTTGGGAACACGGTGGTACAGAAGCTCTTTGAGCACTGCTCCGACGATCTTCGAGACTCCATGCTTGAGGAGATTGCGCCACACATGGCAGAGATTGGCGTGCACAAGAATGGTACCTGGGCTGCACAGAAGATCATTGACGTTTGCAAGACTCCGCATCAGATGACACTGATCGTGGATCACCTGCGGCCATATGCCGTCCCCCTATACCTCGACCAATACGGCAACTATGTCTTGCAGGGCTGCCTGAAGTTTGGGTCACCCTACAATGACTTCATCTTTGAGTCTATGCTGAGCAAGATGTGGGAGGTCGCACAGGGCCGCTATGGTGCTCGTGCCATGCGAGCATGCCTCGAGAGCCACCATGCCACCAAGGACCAACAGCGGATCCTGGCCGCGGCAATTGCCCTGCACAGCGTGCAACTTGCCACCAACGCGAACGGGGCGCTGCTCCTCACCTGGTTCCTCGACACTTGCACTTTCCCGCACCGCCGGACTGTGCTGTCGCCTCAGCTGGTGCCATACCTCGTCCACTTGTGCACTCACAAGGTCGCCTACCTTACGGTGTTGAAGGTCATCAACCAGAAGGCGGAGGGTGATGCGAGGGACAACGTGCTCAGGGCACTCTTCTTCACCCAGAACGACCACATCTTGGAGGCCATTCTCAGTGACCACGCCTGCGGCGCCACCTTGATCTTCAAGGTGCTGACGACCCCTTTCTTCGATGAGGCTATTCGAGGCCAGGTCATCGAGACGGTAAAGAATGTGTTGCTTCGGATCAAGGCCCAACCTGGACAGGGGTATAAGCGGCTGATGGACGAGGTTGGCCTTTCAACTCGGAGTGGTGGTGGTGGTGGCGGCGGCGGCGGTAGCTCGCGAGAGCATGGAAGCAACCCGAACGAGCGACAACGTCCGACGTCACGGCAAGCCAACTTGAACCCTCAACAACATCAGCAGCAGCAGCAGCAGCAAGCTGTTCAAGTGCAACAGCAGCAGCAGCATCAAGCCGCCCAGTTCCCTTCCAACGGCAGCCAGTTCTATAACCCCCTCAATCCGGCCGTCAACGTGTCAAATTTCGAGATGGGCTTTGGCATCCCGCGAAGCGAGAGCGTTGAACCTCAGCTGCCGCAACAGTTCCCAGGCTTCGGACCCCAAGGGCCTCTGTTTAATGCCTCGAGCTCCCCTCTCCCGCCCGCTACCATTCAACAAATGCAGTTCCAGCAGAGCATGATGTCCCGCGCCACACCTCCGATAAGCAACTACTTCCCCGCAATGCAGGCGGGTTATGGTGGCTTCAACAGCCCAAGCCAGCCGGTCGAGCATTATCGGAGCCAGAACCTCGCAAATGGCAGTCCGATCCAGCCGCCCGGCGCGCACATCCCCAACATGCCGGCTGGGCAGGCTCCCTACGGAGCTCCCAATTTCGGAATGGGCATGGGCATTGGAGGCTTTGGATATGGGGGCATGGGTGGAATGCAGAACGTGCCATACATGCAGGAGCAGGTCAACACCAGACGAGGACGTGTAGGTCGCAGCCCGCAGCCCGAGAGACAAATGCGCTAGGAGGGAGGCTGATCTTCCATTGCTTCGTCGCTTCGAAAAATACAGAGATGAATCTGAAACCGGGGATTTGACGAAACCACTCGCTTCCACCACATCGTTCCAGAGATTACATTCCCATTCTACCTAGAGAGATGTCTTCTTCATTGTACGATATTTTCAACCGGCTTCTCAGGAGCTTGGTTCAAGTGATGACCTTGTACAGGATCCCGAAGCTTCACCCATGCAGATATTATTTAGAGCTTGGGACTCTTGAGGGGGTTTGTTACTACCCCGGACCTAGTGGAGAGCTACCTACACACCTAGCTAGCTCCTCGATCTTCAGGCGTTGGATTTTTTTATTTTTGTTTTTGGCTTTCCCGGTTCGGAAACCATCCGCTCGTTGTTTCCGCGTCGGTACCATATCTTCTCTCTGCTCGACTTTCTTGTTGACCAGGACGGCTACGGTATATAGACCTTCGTTTCCCTCCCTTTTCTAGGTTCCTCCGTGCGGCTGGCCAGAGGGGGAAGAAAGGAGGAGAAAAATGCATCCCAAAAGGGGGGGTCTTTCTCGGGAGCAAAGAAGGGAACCTTGGGAAGGCGATTCTCGGCCAGGCCTGTGCGTATAACGATTTCCTTTCTTGTGGATGAGGTTTTGGTTCGGCCAAAAGAAAAAAAATCCTGCAACAGAGGCAGGATGGCCTGTCTCGGTACCTCCCTCCGCCCAACGGTATCTGGGCGGGCGACTTGGGGCAGGGAGATGGGACTAGGCTAAGAATAGGGAAGGGGGTCCCTATTATTCTCTTCTCTAGGGACTCGGGCAGGGTCTCATTCTTTGTGCCGGCCGAACAGTGAGCTGTTTTGGGGAGTAGGATGGGGGGAGGTGTAAGAGGGGAGAGAGAGCTCTTCCATTCTGACCTCCCCACCTCCCCTCACAAACAAACCTTCTTTGCTTGCCGTGCCATTTCAAAAGGTTACGAAGATCATTGCGCGGCAGTACTTATACTTTTAGACATGAATTACAGAGACATAAAAGAAACACCTGGAAAGGATCCCAAATTACTTGATCACATCACTATCATTGTATCATGCTTGGGAAAATTGTGTGGATTTCAGAGTTTCTTGTTTGTGTAGGTAGTCGAAAGCTGCCATTATCTCCCAATTGCTTGCCTCTGGCAAGCAGGAGGTGGCCTTTCTCTTTCCCAATTGCTCCCCAAAAGGGGCGAGCAGGAGGTGGCGCACTTGGTCCCCGTTGACCGCCATCTGATCCTATTCCTACATGTACAGACCGAATCCTATCCGAGCCAAAAGAGGCTGCTGTCCCCCCCCCCTTCCCGCCGACCCTGTATTGCCGCCCGAGCAAAAGCTAAGAGGGCTTCTTTCGCAGAAATAGTCCTGGAAAGCCACCGAGATGGGTGGGGAGGGGGAAAAAAAAGCAAAGGGAAAGCCATGTAAGCGGGAGGTTTCCCAGCAAAGAAAAAGGAAAACGAGGAAAACAAAGGCCGAAAAAAAAGCAATTCAATCTAAAAAGATCCGCTCCCATTAGCTGCGCCCTTCCTTGTGTCTACTCTCCTCATTCACGTTCCGAAAACAAAGAAATCAAATTTGTGAATGAGGGAGGAAAAAGGGGGAAAAGGAAAAGAAATTAAAAGAAAGACGTCTCTCGCAAAATTTGTACATGGCCTGGCATAATTCCCCCCCTGATAATGTTGGAAGGGATATATAGAGAGAGGCAGTGTCCGTCGTAAAAACAGGAGGAAGAAGGGACCCTGCTAACTCTCTTGACGGAAAGCAAAATTTCCTGCTTCCCTGTCTGGAAATGCAACGCTAATTCTATGATGCAGGCGATCGACGTGTATTGTTTGGGGTGTCGTGAACCGGGGTTGAGGGATTAATGCGAGGATGGGGACGAAGATGGCGGGGGATATGGGGGGGGGGAGGAGCGGGCAGTGGGCCGGTTCCACTGATGTCCCATCGCTTAATCCTCGACGGCGGTTTGGTCATCACTTGGGGGTTCCAAGGCGACGTCTCCGTCCCGAGACATCATATCGTTGATGGGTGTCTGGGGCAAGGCCACGTCGTTGGAGGCTTTTTCCTCCTTCGGCTGAGTGCCGGTGGTGACGTATTCGGTTGCCGCAGGGGAAGGGAGGTTCTTATCGTGAGCTCCAGAGGCGGTATGCTCGGACTCGACTTGTGTTGCCTCCGAGTTTACCGCGGTAGCATCACCCTCGGCAGGCGAGGCGTGCTGCTCCTCGGCCGGGGGAAGAAGCGCGCCCCTGATACGGCTCGTCATTTGTTCTATCTGAGCAAGCATGGCGTGAAGGCTCTGTCTATCAAATCGATCCAGGTTGTTGTTTTCGATTCGATCGGGATTTCCACGGGCAATGAGCGAGACCACAGCTGGATCGGCCTCAGCCTGCGATAAATGTCAGATTAATAGGTCGAGGCAAAACGGGAGAGGAGGGAAAATGAGAGAGAGATCTTACCAGGAGGGCGTCAACCAGGGTGTTAACACCGGTGGAGCTCTGGCTACTAAGCCGGGCGAGGTTGAGAGCAGCTTGTTGTTCTTCTAGGCTGCGGCTGGCAAGGGGTAAGGGCGTGGGTGCTCGCGGAATGCTGGCCGCAAGCGGCGCGATAGGTTTGCCTTTGCGGTTCTCACGAGCCCTGCGACTGGTTTGTCAGCAATCACGACAGATGGCGCGGGTAGATGATCCAAAAACTTACCGTGAGAAGAAATCGAGCTTGATGCCTGTCTCGGGTAGCCGATAAGTTTTGCCAAAGGTGTTTACGTCCTTCCAGCCGCTCTCGTCTTCGCTCTCTTCGGGCTCAATTTCGATAAAGCCATTGTTGACGTTTCCACGTGAAAAGATGGGGCTTATAGCCGGAGCATGCTTGATCTTGCGGAACTTGTGGGCTGGGCCAAGAGCCCCAGGGAACTTGGCGAGAATGTCATCTACGTGACAAGGGCAACGCCAGGTGCGGAGCACGGGTGGGTTAGCCATGGGCGGATCAAGGCAATCGAGGTGCCACCAAAGAGGGCAGTGACTGCAGGGAATGATGGCTCGGTTGTCCGACGTTGCCTTCTGGCAGGCGTGGCAGAGGGCGGCGCCACCATCGTTATCCCGCAGCCTGAAAAAGTCGGGAACCTGGTCCTCATCGCTCTTCCTCTTCCTGCAATGTGTGTCAGCCCGGTCTGTAAACAAGACACGTGAGGCGGGAATAACGGGGATCATCAAACTAACCGGGTCACCTTTGGCACAGGCACAATCTCCTCATATTCTCCATCGACGCCGGTTCGTGCACCGTCAAAATACTCGCGAACAGAGCCGGGGAGGCGGAAGGCGCTCGAGTTCTTCGCATCGAGAGTTTCCAGGAGAGTGCCGAAGGCACCAGAGTGAGCGGGAAAGCTGGCGGGGTCGCGGGTGCTCCGACACACATTGCAGAACCACTCGGCAGGCATCCGGTCCTCGATAAGAGGTGGGTCGACGCAGCTCAGATGGAATGAACGTGTGCAGCCGTCGCAGCATACCAGATCACCATTTCCGCCACAAGATGAGCAGTAGTCATCGTTGTCGTCCTGAGGAAGGCCAAGATGTCAGTGGCGAACTCACAGGGAGCCACACTGGCTTGTGCGGGATAATTCGGCAAAAAAAGGGAAGGAAATGACAGAGATCCTTGACTGCCACTAAGGATGGCCGGGCAGCCGGCAGCTGGTGGGACTGGGCACATTTGGGGAGGGCTTTTTTTTTCGGTTTTGGGGCGACCGGAAGTGGGCTTTTTCTTTTTTTTTTTGCCTTGGGAGAAATGGACCTAGGCTTCGGGCCACCAGGGCGAGCGAGATAACTGCGCTTGCAGCTTCGCATGTCCCAGTTATGCCCCGATGATGGAAGTAGATGCCCGTGATGGATGCCCTGTCCTGGTGGACTTCTTCGAGAGTGCTCGGTGTCAATCTTACCTCTTTGGTGGCTGTGCCGTTGGCCATCGGGCTGCTTCTCTCTCCGCTGGCGCGAGGGATTCCGGCAGATGTGCCTGTTTTCTTCTTCATGGGCCTAGATGGAGAGGTGGGATAATTAGCAGGGACGATCAATTTGCAAGATTGTTGTTATATTGCTTTTGTCGTGGACTTGGACGAGGTGAAAATTTGGGGACAGGTGAATGAGCATGGCTTGGCCTTGTCACATCACTCTTTCACCAGAAAAGCGTCCGCCTGCAAGACCGATCGTGGCAAGCGGGGACTGAACAATAGCCAATAGACTGGGACTGAACAATAGACCGAGGAACAATAGGAGGGACAGAAACAAGAGGTAGAGAGAACTCACGAAGACTTGACTCGGAGGCCGGTCCTCGTCTTCTTTGCTGGCCGTAATGCAGGAGTGCCAGCCCGAGAATTCGCGGCGGTAGAAGCAGCCTCGGATTGGGGGAACTGCGCAGTGGCGGGAGACACCGGCCCGTCCATCTCGTCGTGGGATCGCTTGCGGGAAGATCGTGTGCTCCTCAAGTTCAGGCCCGCGGCCGATGAGCTCGTTGCCGGGAGCGATGTACGAGCTCGCGTAGTGGAACGAGGTGCATCGGTGGGACGCGGCGCATCAGTGGCAGGAATTCGCAGACGAGGCATCTGCGGGCGAGACACGTCTGGGCGAAGTGCCTCTCTCGGGGTCCCTTCCCGGCTGTAGCTCTCCGGTACGGGCCCCGAGCCATTGGTGACATTTCTGGCCTTCAGTTTCAAACGCAGCTTCGCGTCGTTTTCATCAAGAGTCCCAACCTTGCTTGGGAAGATAGGACCGCGGGCCGGTTTCTGAGTGCCCTTCTTGGATGACAGGTTGGGGAAGAGAGGAGGCTCAACTGCGGCAGGCATGCTGGGGGTGGCAGCTGTGGCGGAAGAAGAACGTTGCTGCTGGCGGCGCGTGGTAATAGTGGTGGTTGCGGCAGTAGTGGTAGTGGAAGAAGAGGCAGCTTGGGGGGTGGGTGACACGTTCTCAGTCTTTTTTGCTTGGTTGGATCGCCGTCGGCCCACGATTGGCTGGGGCGCGGGGGTGGGCACATTGTTGCTGGTCTCGGCAGCTGGGCTCGCCCGCGAGGGTGGCACATCAAAGATGTCGCCGTGCTCAATACTATCTGGTGGGGTCATGGAGCGGGCTGAAGAGAGTGATGACGAGCTAGAGCCTGAATTGGCCCGGGTCTTGCGCGGTGTCGCTGTCTTGGCCGTGCCGTTCATTCCGTTGGCCGCCGTTTTGGAAGCCATCTTGGAAGGTGAGTCAGGATGCTTGGCTGACCGGCGATTCATCCTCAGCTGAGAGTCGCCCGGGTGCACTTGGTGGCCGAGGTTTTGATCAGCTTCTTGATCAGGTTGTTTTTGATCACCATCAACTTCTTCAAGGTTGGGCAATTCAAGCCGGACTAGATCCGAGTATGGCGCTCGCTTCGGCTTGTGGGGGATGAAGCGATTGTTTGTTGAGGGAGGGACGAAGTAGTAGCAGCCTTTGTTGTCTTTCTTGCCTTCCTTTTTTTTCTCGTGGACAAGGCGGGCAAATTCTTCGAGGGTGCCAGGGTCAGCGGTTTGCGAATAGACCTCTTCGACCATTGTGAGAAACTCGGGATTTGATGAATTTTCGTCATACAGGGTCCTCAGGGCCCAGGCTGTGGGGTATCGGAAGTGCTTGAGTGCTTCATCCACCGCATGCTCGACCACTTTGTCAGCAGCCTCTTTTATATCAGAAGCCCGTGATGCCCCGGATGTGCTTGTCGGCTGTAGAGGAGAAGATACGGAGCCTGATCTCCCAGCACTGGCCCGAGGCACCAAGCTCCGCCGTGCAAGACTCTTGTAGCCTGACGAGGCTGTTGCTCCTGCCCTGGTCGGAGCCCAATCCTCATCATCGTCAGCCTCACGCGAAGTGAGGGACCGCCGGGAAGCTAAAGCTGCAGAAGGTGGAGGTGGAATCCCCTCCTCTGCTTCCTCGTCGCCATCACCCTCGCCCTCTTCCTCCTCTGTATCATCATCCTCTGCAGGATCATTTGTCGGGGCTGTAGGGGGGATGCTGCTGGGAACAGGCCGCTTTAGGACAATCTTCCGAGGTGGTGTAGGCTCCGCAGGTGTGACAGCTTTCTTAAAGATGCCCACCTTTGGCATGGTGCCCAGTGGTGCCATTCCTTCGACCACTCCGTGCCGCACCAATCCTGCGTCCTGGTAGCTCGGTCGGACCTGAACAGGAGGCTCCAACCACCTCTGCATAAATGTCTTCTGATCGTCTGCGCCCGTGCTCTTGACAGCTGGTGTACTCGAGCCACCGTTTGATCCTGCCTGTTGTGGGCTTGAAATTCGCGATCGCGTGGCTCTGGTGTTGGAGGAGATCATGGCGCTGACAGGAGAGTTCGCCCCCTTCTGCCTTGTCTGCGCCAGTGCTCCTGGTTTTTTCCCCTGCGCGGTGAGTTAGCATGTGCAAAAAAGACAGCGGGCAGGGTATTCTTTACTTGTCTGTAAATTTAGACCATAGATCAATCCTAGGATTGGGGAATATTTCGCGTTTTGCAAGGTTTTACGCGTGGTGATGGCAGGTCGAGGGAGGAGGGTGAAAAGGGTGAAGGAGGGAAAGAGTCGAGAGCTTTCTCGGAGGTGACGGGCTCAACAGCCGACCAGGGGTGCCAACACTTAATGCTCCACGCAATGTCTCCCGTCCCTTCGTCAACACATGCACTCACACCGAAGGGCATAAAAAGTGAATTTTCTCGGGATTCTGGATCAAAGACCCTTCAAGGCCCAAGGCTTGGTGAATTGAAGCTTGTTTGGATCTGCGGAGAATTAACATTCACTGCCATTCAGGGGGTAAGACCTGTCGCGCCCGCCCTCTCGACGCGTGCCATCCCCGATTTATTCACCCCCCTCCCCAAAACCCAAACACACATATCCCGTGACCCTGCTGCCTGTCTGGCACCATTCTCACACCCATATATCACTTGAACACTCGATGCACTCTTGCCAACTTGCTAATGTCTGCACTGGAATGTTTTTCTTCTTCCTAATCCTAAGAACTTGCTTTTAGGGGGCTCAGGTTCTGATAGACAGGGGTCATGAATATGAATGCTTCCGATCCTTGACCCGCCCCTTGGCAACTCTTCATCTCCCTATGCTGCCAGAGCCCCAAACTCAAGGAGTTGGCCCTCCAGCAGCATCAGAGATACAATTTGGAAGCAACACACCAAAGTTTCACTGTTGATTTGCCTTTTTGCAAACCCAACAGATTGTGCAGACATGAGTGTCATGTTTACTCATCATCGCTGTCCTCCTCCTCATCCTCAGACTCCTCCTTGGCTGCTGCTGCTGCCTTCTTGGGCCCCTTCTTCTTCTTCTTGTTCTTGTTCTTACCTGTGTTTCTGGACAGCGGTTGCTCCAAGATCTTAAGAACCTCCTCATCGGTGATCTTCTTATCCGTCTTGAGCTTGCTCAGATCCAAGGCTGGCGGCCCACCAAGCTTGGTAATGCCATTCTTTGTGATGGCTGCAGACAGATGTTAGCACAAGCCCTTTTGTGTGTGGTCTCTGCATCTCTTACCAATTGTAGTCAGCAGTCTGGCAACTGGAGCACCGTCCTTGTCCCCAACCACCTCATACTGGCGGAATACATTGCCTCGGACACATTCAACAACTCCAGACTTGGCATCTCTCTCATCCTCCAGCTGTCTCAAGCTGAAGGGGAAGGTCCCAAACTTCTTCTGAACCTCAGAGAGGATCTTCCTAGAGGTCGGTCGCTTGAGCCCATAGGTCTGGAGAGTGCGGCGGTGAAGGGTGGCTCTCTGGTCGAGCTGCTTGACCTTTCCAGAGCCCAGACTGACTCCCATCTCTACACCCCACACTTCCCCCACCTCGGGAACCCCCTCTCCCTTGGTCCCCTCGCCAGGGGCTATGACGATCTTCTTCTTGCCCTCGATCTCGTTGCGCTCAAACAGCCATGAGGTGGTGCTCTCAACCAGGTTGCAGTCATAAGCCTTGACTACCTTCTCCAGGAGGCTGGTGATCTTGGCCTGCGAAGGAGCCTTCGCCGCCGCTGCCTTGGCCTTCTCCTGGTCTGTCCCACTAGCCAACAGTCCGGGAGGGACCATTAGCCGCAGGAGGAGCTCATTGGCATAGTGGGTAGCCAGTAACAGGTCAGCTGGCTTGCCCGAGACAACTTCCTCAGCCTTGTCGACAAGGACCGTGTTGCAGATGATTGAGCCAAACCCATCGATCTGGGCTCCAAGCTGGATCTTGACCGGCTCACCCGGTTGGAGCTCTACTGACGCCTCATTCTCGTCCGTGCTCAGGGGCGTGTAGGGGGTGACAAAGGAGGTCGGCGAGACGGTGGTGGGGTGGGAGAAGCCTGATGTGGGAGCAAGTCTTGTCAGCAAACTCGCCTTGGGACGACTGGAGCTTCCAGGGTTGAGCTCCCGAGTTGGCCTAGTACTCACCCTTCGTGACTTTCTTTCCGCGGAAGACCTTGGAAACCTCCTCCTCAAGCAACTTGTCACCCTTCTCACAGATGGTGACAATCTTCTCGCCAGCAACACAGAGCTTGGAAACCTCGGCGAGGACCTTCTCCGAGATCTGGGCGGCAGTCTTGTACTTGGTGAGAGTGTCGGGGTTGTTGAGGGTGTAGTCTGCGATCTGCATCAGTAATTGGTCCTCTTTTCCAATATTGGCCATCTTGTCGAGTCTTCTTCAAGGCATAGGGAGCCAGTTGAGTGGTGGGGGAACTGGGCAGGGAAGCAAGGTGGGGTTATGGCAAGCTTGGACGGGGATGGAGGGGAGGGAAGGGAAGGAGCAAGCAACAAGGAACATGTCTAACCGGCCTCTCTCTCGTCGGTCGCCATGGTGGGCTATGTCTGTATTGGTAAAAGTGACTGGTGGAAAGGCTCGAAAACTGAATTCTGGAATTCAACGTTGGGAAATGTCAACAAGAGGGGGAGGGGTGCAAAGTGGGATGTTTGGGTTTTTGACCTGTTTGGCAGCTATTTCGAGGGCGGGGTTGGCGGGTTCTGTGTGTTCCATCATACGTGTAGATGCAGCTTGATTATCAGGTAGGTACCCAAGTACCTAAGTCCCCACCTGGGCACTCATACACATCTGGATCTTAGTATTATGGAATCCACAAAGTCTGGATGTAGCCTGTCGTTGGTACGTTGAATACTGGGCCAGTGGGTCCACAACATAGTCGCGTGAGGGCGTGTCTGTCATGTACCAAGTACCTAGTACCTCTGTCCCCTGGCCACAGTCTAACTTCGACAAATTCAAGTCCCTAATTGGCCCAAACTTTCAGTCGCGCCTCGCCATTTCGCCCTCGCCCAGCGGTCGAACATTTAGCAGCCTTCCACAAAGCCAAGCATCCCAGATCGCATCGAATCTAGCCGCAAACTCGTCCCTCCATCTCTCAGATCTGGCATAGTCGGCCTAGTTCACTACAGTCATTGCTTTTGTTGGGCTGTATATCTCTTCCGCCATGGCGGCCACCCCGGCGATGGCCACCGCTGGCCCGTCAAGCGATGCTCCTGGATCTGCTTCTCCAGTCGCGACTTCAACTTCCAATGCGCCATCTCCCACACCCAAGTCAGCGACACTCGAGCCCGGTGGTCGTGACAAGGAGTCATTCAACAAAGTCTTGGTTGACCAATACATCACCCGTGACTGGGTCCATTCTGCTGCCATTCACGATGCTCAGGCCCAGCTCCAGGGGAGGATAAAGAACACCCTTGCCAAGATCTCCGAGTACAAGAGTCGTCACGCTCCAGGGCCAGACTTCCGCCTCTACCACAGTGTTATTTTTGGGGAAGGCTACAGGGGCTATGGCAATGGATGCACCGATATGAAATGGCATAGTCAAATCGTGTATCCTCAACAGAAATGGCTCGAGCGGCCGGGGAAGAGATCGACGCCGCCTTTGAGGTATAGTAGAAAGGATATGGCCAAGCAGGCCGAACAACACGAGGAGTTGGTACCTGTGAGGCTGGACATCGACTTTGACAAGATCAAGCTAAGAGATACCTTCACCTGGAATCTCCACGAGCGTCTGGTATCCCCCGAGCTATTTGCAGCACAGCTGGTCGAGGACATGGGCCTGAAGCCGCCAATGGACAAGCCAGTCTACGATCAGGCTCTGGCCCAGATCCGCGAGCAGCTAACCGACTTCTACCCATTTGCCTATTCCGAAGAAGACGCTCTGGACCCGGAGCTGCCTTATTCTGCGTACAAGAACGACGAGATGAGGATACTGATCAAGCTCAACATAACCATCGGAGCACATACCTTGGTCGATCAGTTTGAATGGGAAATCAACAATCCTCTGAACTCCCCCGAAGAGTTTGCAGCAAGCATGGCTTGCGATCTGGCACTGTCTGGCGAATTTACCACCGCAATAGCTCATTGCATTCGAGAACAGACCCAGCTCTTCACACGCAGCCTCTACAGCGTGGGGCATCCCTTCGACGGGCGGCCGATCGAGGATCCTGATCTGACGACCGCCTTCCTCCCATCCCCATTGCCGAGCATCTTCCGACCTCAGCAGCAGGCCAAGGAATACGCACCATTCCTCTATGAGCTTACCGAGGCCGACCTCGAAAGGAACGAGACCATATTTTCCCGCGAACAGCGCAGACAGAAGAGGTCTGTCAATAGACGTGGTGGTCCCCAACTTCCGGACCTGAAGGAGAGGCAGAGGACGATTCGCACCCTCATCGTCTCGTCAGTACTGCCCGGTGCCGCTACAAACCTTGAAGAGAGCCGGCTTTACAAGCGTATCGGGGGCACGGCGAGTGGCCGAGGGAAGAGGACTGCCCGGGATGGCGAGATATCCGATTCCGAAGACAGCGATGATTCCGCTCCTGATTCTCCTGCTCTATCGCAACTTCAAGGCACTGCGCGGACTAGAGGCCTGCGCGGTGCCGCCACAGCTGCGGCTCAGCGGATGGCGAATATTGGCCGCTCCGAAACTCCAGAATCCAGTATTCATCATCATGAGACTAGGACATCTCGACGATTTGGCCGAGAGGCCACCCGCGAAGAAACGGAAGAGCCGCAACATCACATAGTCACTCTCAAGGTTAACCCAGGCAGGCTCAAGAAGCTACTCCGCGATCTGAAAATGAAGCAATTGTCTGGGTCTGGAGCTGCTACTCCGTCCGGTCAAGGTCACCCCAGAGCCTCGAGCGCATCAGCAACAGGTTCAATGGGGCCCCCGATCACCCCATCCTCCTCCAACCAAGCCCTACCCGCGAAATCGAACACTCCCTCTGGCCATGTCAACCGGGGACCCGAGACCGGCGCGCTACCGGCTCCACCGCCGCCTCCGCCTGGCCAGCGGCCTCCCCCAGTTGTAAGATATTATATCCCCTAGCTCCCCGCTCTGCACCCAAGGATCAGTCAACTAACATGCTCGCTTTCCCTACTTACCACAGCCCCCACCACCAGAGTGGCTGTCATCCTCTGTCGAGGCGTTACGCCGCAACTATCCCAAAGACTCTTTCGATGGAATTATGCGGTACTGCGCGGTCAACACCGAGACTGGAGCGGCTATGCCGGGTCCCCCTCCCGGTCAGCCCATTCCATCCAACATGCGGTTTATGTATCTGCCTAGGATTCGGTGTTATGACTGCCCAGGAAAAGTGTACACCCCAGGCCCCGACATGACCGTCACCAACTTCGAGGTCCACCTTAGGAACCGGGTCCACAGGGAGAAGGTCGACCAGCGGCTGACCCGGCTCGCTCGAGCCGCGTCCCAGGGATCGACGGGCGGGGCGGCAGCTTCGGCAGGCACGTCGAGTGCGTCGTAGGGCGGCCACTCGGCGATGCGTCCGCTGCCGACCAGATGGTCCAGTGGGCTGATGCTTCCCCCTCCGAATCCCTTTCGGCAAAACGGTAGGGCTGGAAATGTCTGGGCAGGTACTGGTAAGGAGGCTCCAACTCCTCCTCGTGTTTCTCATGGGCTTAATCCGGCTCGTGGGGTAAAGGTTCCGGCCTCGCTTCCGCCCTTGCGCAACGATACCCCAGTATCCCGGTACGCACTGCCGGTCCGTGGAATGCCGGTTAGGGCTCCAGCAGCCCAGCCCAAGAGACTTTCTGGCGGGAGCAAGGCTGCAGTTCCAGCAGCCCAAACGAAGGAACCGGCCAGTGGGAGCAAGGCTGCAGCTCCAACACCCCAAGCGAAGAAACCGGTTCAAGGGAAGGCTGTTCCGCGGAACAACATGGCCGGCAATATTGGAAAAGGCAAAGGGAAGGCCGTCGTGCCCAGACCTGTGGCTAGGGCGGCGGCGCCGTCGCCTGAGCCGCCGCCGCCGCCATCACCCTCGTCGTCTTCAGAGGCTAATGACCTCAAAGACGAGGATTACGTGGATAGTGACGACGACATGGACTAGGCGTTGATTGCTACGTTGGAGAAGGCACCAGCGTGGCCTTGGAAGCAGTTGTACATACGACGGTGCGGCTGTCTTGTGTTTTGTGTTTTGTGTCGAAAACAAGGCGTTAGAGGTTGAGAGGCAGGGGAGAAGGATTATCTCCTGCACCATGGACATTGGTTCCTGTGTTTAGTTTTCTTGTTTCTTCTTTTTTGGTCGGCGAAAAAGGTATCTGGATAGCGAAGATGGGGGAAGGGGCTAACTGGCATTCCAGTACCTTCGCCCTCTTATTAGGGGCTTATTCCCTTGTACTATAAAGTAGCTTTCTAGCTAGGACTTGGAGTTCGATAGAGAGACAGGCTGACAGGGCACGCTGCCGAACATTCGGCGTTGTGCCTTGTATTGTATGTACATGTATGTCAAACTTCTGTAAGAATCTAGCAGGACTTCCTGCAAACTTCCCTTAATCCAGAGTGATGGAACCCCATGAGCCAAACAGCAACCAAGAGGCTCGGCAATGTAGTCTGTAGCGTTGCTTTCCTCCGGCGGCACCCTGACTTGACCCTGGAGCAGCTCTACCACCACTAGGAGCATCCTTGTCTCGGTAGAGAAAGGTAGGTAATATGTCGTGATAAATATTTAAATGGTTAGGTAGGCAGGTAGGTCCTGCCAACCACCAAGTAGGAGTATTAGACAGACCTGATAGAGCTAGCTAGGATGTAAGGGAACGAGTCGCCTCTACAACGGTGATATTCCTAACCCTGAATCTTCTTCGCTCCATTCTTGATCAAGAATATGTATGGCAAGCGAGTTCCGAAAATAATAATAATTCATAGCTTCTGGTGTTCACGGCTACTACTAACATCGAAGCCAAAAGGGAAAACTTGCCAGCATCAACTTTAGCCTCCCTCCTCGTAATCATCATCCCGCAAGCCCAGACAGAATAAGCCAAAGAGCCCGGGCCACAGCGATGGCCCACGACATAAGAATAAGGGTATGAGCTACCTAGACGATCAAATACCACCCGTTCTCCTGGTATATGTGCAATAGAGGGTATAGCCAAGCAAAGACCAGGAGGAGCACACGCACGGAACTACCCTTCAGACAACCTCGCCTCCCCACCCCCCAAATCCCGACCCCTTCCCCATTCAATTAGTCATCGTCCTCATCCATATCGTAAGCACCCGCCTTGGCCTTCCTCCCCCTCAAGGCCCTCGTAGGTCCCTGGGCCGCCGCAGGAGTGGCTTTGCTCGTGGCGACCTTTCCTCTCGTGGCCAGCTTGGCAGTGGCGGCCGCCGCCTTCGACGACGACGACGATGCGGGCGTGCCCTTGGCCTTCTTGCCATTCGCCTTTGGCGGCGGTGGTGGCGGCGGAGTCGGCGACGCCGCCTTCTCGATATCCGAGCCGTCGTCTAGGTCCGACAACTCGCTCTCCTCCCCCTCCCCCTCCGCTGCCGGGGGAGAGGCCACGTCCTCGTCCTCATCCACGTCTGCGGCCTCGGGCTGGGATTCCGCGCCTTCCGACCCGTTGTCGCTGCCTTCTTCTCCGCTCCCATTGCTGGCATCATACTCCCACTCGGCGACGCCGTCGAGCATCTCCTCGTCGTCCTCGGACGAGTCGCGCTCGATGTAGGTCTGGCTCTTGCGCGACCGCCCGCTCCGGCGGCGGTCGGCGGCGCTTTCTCGGTCCCGCGCCACCTTCGAGGACGTCTTCTTTGTCGTCGTCGTCGTCTTCTTCGCCTTTGGGCTTGCCTTCTTCGGCGTCGGCTTGGGGGCCTTGCGCTCCTTTGCGCTGCCCGCTTTGGGTGGCGCCTTGACTCTCTTCGCGGGCGGGTGGCCGTCATGCCGCTCGTCGATAGATTTACGCTTCTGCAAATCAAAGGTAAGTTATTGGCCCGGGTTGCGGGGTGAAGAAACTACAGTACCTTCTTGCGGTCGACTGTGCGCAGGAGTTCATCGAGCTTCTCATCGATGCCATCCGGGATGTACTGCTTCGCGGCAGCCTCCTGGGCCTCGCTGTGGGCTTGGAGCGCTGTGTACAGGCCGAGCGGTAGCCCCACCTTGCCGGGATAGGCCTCGAAGGTCCAGTTCTTCTTCTCCTGCCATTTACGCAACACGGCCTGGGCCAGGTCGCTTAGGACACGGTGGTTTTCGCTGTCGGGAAGGACGGCATCCCGCGTTTGCTTCAGTCTCTCGGTGTACTTGATGATCAGCCCCAGGTTAGACTCGGTCGCCACCAAGCTCGTGTAGAAGACGAGGTAGCGAGCGTGGTCAACCAGGTCATCCAAGTCTTGGCCGTAATCGGGGTGGTGAGCCAACAGCGAGATCAGGCGCGACATGGTAGCTTCCATGACTGGCTGCTTAGCGTCCCGTAGATGCCTCACTCGAGACCGTATCCACGTCTCGGTGCGCTGTTTAAAATCTGCCGCAGGCTCGAATGCCATCAGGAACACAATGGTGTAATATCTTGGCCGCAGTTTGCCCTCAGCGAGATACTTCTGTAGCTTCGTCACGAAGCTATGGCGCACTTCGGCAACTTCATCCTGCGTTATCCAGGCGAGTTGGTCAAAGTCGGACGCCGTGAGCTGGTCATCGAAGTGCTTCTGCGTGCAGAGTTTGAGGATCAACTTCGCCGCGAGGAGACGCAGTCTCGATCTGTGATGGGCCGGCGTGTCCTTGGTCTTGCAGATCTCTCCTCCCTTGGTAACGAGTGTCTTGAGGAGTCGCCAGGTGGCCTTCGCGTTCGCTTTGGCGGATTCGAGATCCTCCATGCTCCGTATACGGTTCACCACGGTCTTAAGGGCGAGGCACTTGGCTTGGCACTCGTCGTCGAGGTCGGCATCAACAACCCAGTTAGGGTCCTTCTCGCTGGCGTCTGTTCGAACCTGGAGGAGGATCTGCTGAACACAAATGTTGAGGACATCGTCATCAACCTCATCCATGACTTTCGGCGCTAGTAGCTCCAACTGGCTGAGCGTTGTCAGTCTGTTAAGAAAATGCGTCCCTCCGTATTTCCAGTCCTTCATCGTTCTCTGGACCAGATCGGTGGCACTAGTCAAGCTCTTATCATCCTTCTTGGATAACAGGATCTGTACGGCATACTTGGCCGCCCTTGGCGGTTTACCGTACAGCGCATAGTTGATCATAGTGTGAACAAAGCTCCGATCCATCGGCACCTCGGCGGGATATTTGCGCGAGTAAGAAGCGCAAGCTTTCAGAGACTGAACGGCAGCGGGATCATTCGGCTGAGTGGCGGAGGGTGCTTGGTCGACGAGGTCCTTGCAGAGCTCCCCTATGTGTGCCTTGAACAGATCGGGGTTTCGTTGCGAGATCTCGTTCAATATCTCATGAGACACAGCCCCGAAACTGTCCTTGTCGGTCTTGGAGTAATCCATAATTGTCGCAAGATGGCTGCGGTTGAGCATTATACAGCCCGACCGATAGAGAAGAGGAAGAAGGGTCTCGAGAATGAAGGGTTCCTTCCCAGCTTGGATACGCTTTATGAGCTCCTTCAAGGCTTTGTGGGCCGTCTTGAAGTCGTGCTCCCGGCAAACAACGTATCGGACGAGATGGTAGTTCCGGCGGTCATTAGTCTTTGCAAATTTCTGCAGGTCGCTCCTCGTTTTGGCATCATCTGGGAAGAACTGAGTGATGTACTTAATCGTCTTCTCCAGGTTTGCCGTCTTCTCAACTGCACCGCTGTCAATGACCCCGGCGTTAAACTGTTCACACTGGTCGATAAAAGTCTGGACGACCTTGGAGAACTGCGGCTGCCTTGCTTGTAGAGCAAAGAATGCTTTTTTCGCCCCCGTATCTAGGGAGCGGACAAGAAGCAGGATTCTCTCTGCCCGAACGGCGTCCTGATCAAACGATGCGGCAGTAGTGGTCTGCGATTGCGAACTTCCGTTGGTATTCTTGCCAGCCTTCTTAGGTGGGGGTGGATATGCCAGAGGCACGAGGCACTCGTAGATGACGCGGTCCAGGAGCACGTTCAGCTCGGGATCATTGGCGTAGAATGTATTCAAGATGCGCGAAGGGATCCCCGAGAGAGCAGCAGTCACACCTTCGTGTCCGGCCAGGAGCTCTCCGGTCCCAGCACCCCAAAGCTTGCCAAGAAGGGACATGGCCTCAACGCGAACGGCAGGCCGTTTATCTCGACAACGATCGGCAAGGGTGGACAGGACAGAGCCCTCTTTGCCGACACCTCCGTTAGGTGCCAGTTTCAGGATGATGTCCCGAAATTTGAACGACTCAATCGCTTTCACCGCTGCCAGTCGAACCTTCTCGTCGCTGTCACTGAGCTTCTCGCCGAGGCCTTGGATGAGAACTGCCTCCTCCTCCCGACTGAGGCCTATGCCGCCAGCCGAAGTTGACAGGACGTAGCCAACGGCGATGGTCCACGCGGCACGTATGGTGGCTGCCTTGTCATTCTTCCTGCTAATGAAGTTGTGATAGACTGCAGGATGGGTCTGGGAGAAGGACTGTGCTGCAAGAGGCGTGGTTAACACGTTCGTCGCCGCCGGGTTCTCCGAATCTTCGTCATCAAGTTTCAGAGGCGGATAGGCGACCGGATCCAGCGTTGGGTGTGCTGGCGGGCCTGCAGCACCAATGCCGGATATCATGTCTCCGAGCGTCTCCGTGGCCAGCTGTCGTAGATGTACGTTATCTGCCGACAACTCGGCATCCACTTGGGGCACAACGTTCTGGAGAATCATGGGTGCCGCCCTCCAGATTTCCCGAATGAGTAGATGTGCCTTCCCGAGTTCCCTCAAGTCCGATTCAGAGGGCCCAATAGGACCATCTTCGTCTTCAGAGTCTCCCCCGTCTTTGTGGCCGTTGGATCTCCCGACGAAGCTTGTCGCATCCATAATGACATCGCTGAAGTACTGGCTCACAAACCGCGCCATCTTGTCTGGGAAGAGATGGCACAGGTTCTTCGCGATCTGATACGCTTCCGGTTCCTCCTTCAACAGCAGCGTCGCCTGATTCTCGTCCAGCGCAAGATGATCGTGCCTATCCCTGGTCCCTCCAGGGGCGGCAGCTCTCAGAAACTGTGCCATTATAACGTCGACGACCTTCGCGGGTAGGCTTGGCGCCTCGTCTATCAAGGCGCCGAGCATATCCTGCATGTTGAACTCGACATCCTTGGCGACCTGCTCTCCGGATGTGGATTTCGATCCGGAAACTCCGTCAAAAACGGTCGAGAAGAGGTTCAGCAACAAGGAGTCACTGCCCTCGACATCGAGGAGTAGTACAACGCTCCTCACCTCGGCAAAGGAGAAGAGCACGTACTTGTGCTGGTTGTCGTATGAATTCGAGGGGTCAAACAGGGAGGGGATGATCGAGTTGATGCAGAGGCTGAAGATATCCTAATATCACCAGACCAATTCAGGTTAGCCGACCTGTCTTCACATACCGTAGAGAAAGCAAAGCATCAGTCGGCTCCTACCTTCAGTTGTGATTGGGTGAAGGGCGCATTGGGGGCGCACAGCTTCAAGATGTCGACAACACAGCAAGCGGTGTAGGCGCGAACTCCCTTATCCTTGTGGTTCAGGAGCTGATGTGATGCGACTTCTTTGGCAACCTTGGTCAACGAGTCTGTGTTGACGTGGTCTTGATCCATCTCTCCAAGCTCCTTCGACAGTCGATCGAGTCGCTTCAAGAGCTGATCTGTCGGGATTGGCTTGCCGGGCTGTCGCCATGATAGGGGTTCATTGAACTGAAGGGAGACCTCCTCACTATCCTGCTCCTGTTGCTCCTCTTCAACCGGTGCGGCTCGACGAGGCGCCATCTTGTACGAAGGCACAGGATTGGCGGATTGGCGGACTGTGTCCCGGCGCGACCCAGCAATTATGAAAGTCCTCGTTCACCGGACGCGCCTCGAAGGGGGGGAAGATGGGAGATATAGATGCGCGCTTGGGATTCAACCGTGGGCGATGCGCAATCGCAATATTCACCAAGTTAATATCAATGCGAGGATGACCGAAGGCGACGACGCGGGAATCAGGGTCACAAAACTTGGATATGAGGGTGGGTTTCGCAAAGCATGATAATAAATTGTTAGGTTGTCCTGTTACGCGCCCTCGATTCGCGTGGCGGACCAAAGCTTACGGACACCGGCAAAATTACTGAGCGGGAACCGTCTGCCCCACACCGGAAACGCTGAGGTGCCTGCCCATTTTGGAACGGTTTGGCGGTACGTACTGGTCGTGCCCACTTTTCTCAGCCTCATCCAACCTCAACCGCTGTTCTAAGTGAAGATGAGAAAGCTGATATAGGTAGCAGGTAACTGTTTCGTATATCTTCCATTTCTTCTCGCGGTGACCCTCTTCTTGCCCTTAGAATATACAAAGCACGGCAAGGGATGCTTCAATTTATGTTGCTATTCCTGGACGTGGCATTCCCGACCGATGGTTGGATATCTTACCTTGGTGCTTCAACCTTTGATCTCCTTTGACATATGAATCAATGGCGATAGTTACCGTCATAATGCCCTTATGATTCCCAGGTAAATTGTGCTTCTACGCATCTCTCTGCACTCTGGGTGGCTGTCGCATAATGATACTCGCTACGAAGTTATTCCCTCCTCCTGGTTACTAGGTTTTGGGGAGCTCATGGACAGAGAAGGCGTACCTGTATATCACCATCCATCCTGGCTACCTAGGTAGGTAGCTTGGTATAACAGGCAGAGTGTGCAACTCTGGGGGGTGAGGGAGAGGTTTAAGCTTTAATGAGCGGAAAACCTCCTCCTGTTCGACTCAGGCCCAATGTATTGCTTTGTGTCCCAGTACAGCCAGGTGGTTAATGCACTTTGCTGTGGTATGTCGCAGCAAGCGCTCTATCCCTCTATGCTCAGGTCGCTTTGCCCACCATGCAATATCAAGTTGGCACTTGCACGCATGGAAACTATGCCAGGTGCAGTAGTGGGTGCTCACATGGGAAGGAGGCTAGGCAAGTCAAGCACTTAGGTGGCCATTGATAATTCAGATTGATTATTTGGTTGGTTATCAACAGTTGACCGGGTAGGTTTTATCTGATTTGTTGTGTTTTGGCGTGTGCGAATTTATGAGCTTGTACTGTTGTTGTACCTGATGTCCTTGCTATGATGGAGGATACACCTCCTGTAGGCGTGGGAGTGAGGTACACCAGGACTGAGGATACCTGGATGTGATCCCATCTCATATTCACTCCCTGATATCCAATCTTAGGTAAGGTAGGTACCCGTATACCTGTTCAAGTACCGGACCTTGATCCTCAAATCAGTCCCACCACTGCTACAAGATAAATATCGCCTTTCTGGTTCACCTCCGAATTCTTTCTCTCCTCTCCCACCTCCAGACCGAACCTGACCCACCACTTTCCTTTCCACACCTTCACGATCTTTCTCTCGCATATTCCCTTTATCCCAAACCAACCCCCAATTCCTCCAAATACAAGGCAACACCGATCCCAACTGAAAACCAGGAATAATTGGTGAGTTTGTTTCCTTCCTGAGTCTCCATGTCGACCTTCCTCGTGGTCGCTGCTATCCAGATATCGACAATCTTCCTCCCCCACCATACAACACGTCGAGGCCACACCCAAAGATCTGTAGCATGTTCTGCACTGGTCTGATCACTTTATGGTACTCCACGTGTGAAGTGTTATCTCTCACAATCACGCGTCTCTCTAGCCCTTCCCTCACCGCCAAACTTGTTTATTTTCCCAGTCTGTGGCCCTCCTCAGACACGTTCACTAGCCCTACCCTCCAATTACTATCCCAACACTTCCCAGTACTGCCTAAGTCCTACCCTACATTGCCGGGCCTCGTGCTTACATTAAATTGCGTACTCATTCTAGCCCCTATCCTAGCCACTCAATTTCGTCGTTCATCCAGTATGAATCCTTCCAATGAAAAGAATATTGGGCCTGCGCCTGGTGACCAGGCCCTCGGTGGTCCTGGTGCGGATGGGCTGTCTGAGCAGGGCCACCGCGCTATGGTGAACCAGGAAGGTAATGGCACCATCAAGCAGTATTACCTCATTCTGCTGTGTGCTATCATCGCCTTCATGCTCGCCTTTGGATTCATCATCACTACCTGGGTCGAAACCATGCAACGTAAGGCAACTAATACAAAGTGTCGCTTCTTGTCAAATCGCTAACACACCTTAGTTGATCACGACATTCATCGTCTGGTGAATGAGAACGAGCCCCTCGGCAATTATTTCCCTCGCGGCGACTACGGTCACGGCCACCCTTACCGGATTGTCAGCTCCATGCCAAACTCCCTCCGGGACCCGACCACCCCTTGTGGAACTCCCTCTTCTGTCTCTGGTTTCCTCACCTCGCCAATCCCTGTCACTACCCAGGTGGATGGCCCTCAGTCTGCCATCACCAACTGCACTTCTTCTCCGGTTGAGACTTCGAGTGGCAGTGTCCTTGGTGTCAGTTCTGGCTCGCCTTTCAATGGAATCTCCTCTGAGTAAGTTTCTAATCGTTTCGAGTAATATTTTGCGGCCATCACCTCTAACTTTGCTTCTTCGGTCATAGGCATTCGACCAAGGCGCGCTGTTCCTCCGCAGCCGCCACTTCGATGACGAATCATGGCTCAGCCATTTCCAGCCCTCCTGCCTCTGCCCCAGACACTCCGGATACCGGATACACCAGCACCACCACCGTGGTGGTTGAGTTGACTTCCTTTGTGACAGTCACCGAAACTCTAGACATCGGAACCTCTGCAACTCCCAACAGCAACTCAGCTCAACCAATCTCATCTGGAGCCTCGGACGGTGTTCTGACCACCACTGCTTCACCCATGACTGTGCAGCCAGTCTCTCATGCGACCAGCACCACCATTTTCCGAACTGTGACAAGCACCATTTCTGGTGTCGCAAAGACTGTGACTATCACGGAGACTCGGGCTATCGGCACTGGAGTTGGTACTGAAATTGGCAGCTCGGTCTTGGGAACGCACAGCAACCCTGCTCCATTTTCCACGACGGCGACTGCTCTGCCAACAGGTGTGACTGCGACTTCTGGCACCCTCGTCACGCCGGCGGTTTCTGGGAATGTCACCTGGAACTACACCTCCACCAACCCATTCCCACCTGGCCCAGCATCGACCACCGTATTCCCCCTGGTCTCTGGTGGCTCTTCTAAGCCGAAGACCAAGGGAGGCAATTCGGGCAATGGCTCCAGCGGTGGCAGCTGCATCCTGATGCTCGCTGCCATTGCGGTCGGGTTCATCTCTCTCTAACCAAGATGGCACTCTCATCTCGTGCCCGGCAGTTGGGATAGCACGGCATCCTCAATATGGCGTTTGAGGGGTTCTCCTTTAGCCATAGCTTCGACTGCGACTTGCACTGGATGGGCATCTTGGCTGGATAGTGAATGGGAGGATCTGTTTTCTTATCTGGAAATGCATCAGGCTCTCTCCGTCAATTTTTCCTTTAGTTGACGAATCTCGTTGTTGAGATCTCGGGTTCATAGATGAGGAAGGGATGGGGGTTCGGCCACCCTACGTTTTATTTGCTGGGGACGAGAGCAAGATCGCCTCATATCACTGGGCAGTTTTCCTGCAGTTTTTCCTTTTTTTATCGCGACAAAATCGGCCTCCTAGCTAGTAGGAGGAGCTACGAAGCCTCCATGTTTACCATGGATTGGCATCTTACTTCTCCAAACATCCGAACACAAGGCATTATTCACACAACATCGTCCTGAATACTGACATACCGCGAGGAGCCTGTGAGAGTGGAAGCATGCACTAATACCCAGGAATATGCATTGTATATGTTTGAATCCTCTTCCCCATCCCACTTGGGATTGAATTGCAATGCGACTAGCACCTAGATGCAGACCTAGGAGCTAGAAATGCCGGACCGAACAAAGGACGCGGTTTCAGAGGAGTAACAGTTTTAGCACGCCAACACTGTAAACCACGAGAGGGAAGGCTTTGCGATGATAAGCATTGCTTCTCCGGCTATAAAAAGGGGTGACGCTCGCTCGACCTCCATACTTGAACTATCAAAGACAAACCAGTCGTAAGGGCGACGAACTGGGTCTTGAGGATGATGGATCAGGCCTTTATGGCAGCCAAGCGGTTGTTCATGGCTGTGAGCTGGGCATCGACCCTGGCAAACCGGGCATCTATCTGGGTAAACCAACCACCCATCCAGATAATGACATTCTGTATCGCCGTTGTCCACCGCGACATGTATGATCTCTTTGTGTGTTTAGGTTCAGGTGACGGAAAGAAATGGAGGTTGAATGGTAGCTTCTTATCGCCATCGCTATTGCCGTCGCTGTCTATCGCTGCTGCCGTCATTTTCGCTGTCATTGTTGGCAGCTTTTGGACCACCTGGCAAAATGTTCCCGGCCCGTCGCCACCTGCGGTGCACAGACCCCAGGCGTCTGCATATGCTTGTCATCCTCAAGCCTGCAATTAGACTTGACATGACTGAAATACCTAGCCGGCGCCCCAGTCATCATGCCAACCTTGTACAGAATCTCCCCTGAGGAGACGTCCTTTAGAGACCTGCCCTGCGGCTTTGGTCGGAGCGGAACGCCGCATCCGGCGGGCAGCGGACGGTGCGTCAGGTCGCCATACTCGGCAGCCCACTTCGCCTCGTCTGGGAGCACGTGGTTCCCCTGGCGGTCCGGCACGACGTTGATGAGCGCCTAGTCCAGGGCCATGGTTATCGCGCATGCAGCGCTTAAACCTAGAGCCAGCAAACAGCGTGCCGAGGTGCTGGCAGCCTGCGTTGAAGAAGGAGAGCTTCGAGGCAAGGTTCTGCACCAACGGCGTGGTCGCTGCGGCAGCGGCGTCCTTGGTGAGGACGTCGATGCGCTTCTGTAGCTCATGGACGTTTAAGTTGTGGTTGCGACTGCTGGGGTTCTCGACAGTTGTGAAGTGCAGACTGCTCAGGTGCGTGCAGCAAAGCCTGCGAATAATTTAAGACATGGGCATCGCCCAGTTCGCGCTTTGCTCAGCAGCATGGAAAGCATGGAGAAGTGATTTTGCGATGCTTGTCCTGCGTAGGATTGATGGATGAGGCCGGGCGTCTGTTGTTTCAAGCGATGCAACATAAGTCACGTGGACACTAACATTTCTGGGGCTCCTCCCTTTCAGCCCCGTAGTGGGTGTCAAGGTGTTGGAGAGTAGCCGCCATTCCCAGCGAACTTCGAGTCGCAGCCCTGGCATTGTTTGGTTATCCATTCCTTCTTGGTCTCTGAGGCGAGCAGGGAGATCGGGCAAGCGATTACCCTCAATCGACATCTTCACTGGAGGCCCCACTTTCATCATTTCCACTCCTTCCACCCCTTCCACCCCGTCGATTCCCATCTCCACCAACGGTCGATCAGCGGTGGTCCCAACTCCCCCCTACCTTGCTTGCTCCGCAGTCGTTGCGATTATCATATCTTGCTTTGCACCCTTCCCACCTCTGCGCCGCTGGCACAAAGACCTATCACGAGGCCGACCTAATTGTCCTCCCATGCCGAGATAGTCGATCCTTCCAGCCTACCTGCTTTCCCTCCTCATCGGCTCTGAGGACGGCTCGAGGCCTTTCTTGCCCGATCTGACACCTTACTTGTCCCCGAGTCAATCCAATACCGTACAGCCTAGCCCTGCGAAACCCTGTGCTGTGAAGGTTGCACGGCGACGTGGCCATGAACTTCGATTCTGGAACGGCATATGCCGAGTCGGACGCCGATGACGAATACGAGAGGGATGTCCACGACAGCTCCCCAATCGATGCCACCGACGCCGAGCCATCTCCCACCGAGTCCGACCCTCACTCCAACGAGCACACACCCACCACGTACGGTTACCGCAGCAGCGCCGACAGGCTCCCAGAGACAATCATAACCGCCTGGAACGCCGAGGAATGCGCGGATTTCCTCGCCACCATTGGGCTGCAGCAGTACTCGGACGTATTCATAGGTTTGTAACATGTTTTATTAGACAAGACCGGGGGAGTCGCGGCGTTCTAACTCGTGGCGCAGAAAATGACATTATTGGAGAAGCCCTCGTCGCATTGCTGCACGAGGATCTGAAGCCGATGGGCATCACCAGCGTCGGCCACCGCCTGACCATCCTGAAGAGTGTTTACGATGTCAAAAAGGCCCAAGACGTCCCGATAGAGAGCGACCACTATGTACCTCTGTGTAAGTCGCCCCATGGGAGCCATCCTGTTTACCGACCATGTCCTAATATGTTTGCCTTGTAGCGGCCGAGACCCAAGCGCAGTCTGCGAACGCAACGCTCAAGGATATCAAGCATCTGGTGGAGCAACTTCGACTTCGGGACGAGCGTATGAGTCTTTTTGAACAGGACTTGCGAAGGCTCGCGGATGATTTTAGGAGACTGCGGGAGGATATGCTACCGGCTTTGCGCCTGGCAAAAGACGCCCAGCAGCCCCTACCGCATCTCAACAACAATGGCCCGGTATACGGCGGCTACGATGCGACCATATCGCCACCAGCACCAACTCCTTCGACGACTGGCGGCCAATCCGGCGGCGGATTGAAGAGGCAGTATTCGACCAAGAAGATCGCGTTGGTGGGCACGACGCCGAAGACGAGTTCGCCGACACATCTGCAAACCACCCACGACCGGTCGATAGTAGAGCAGACCCTAGATCCGTCGAACGCGGCCGAGAGAGCCGTTATATCGTCTTCGCACCTTGCAGCCATGAACGGAACCGGCCAGGCCAGCTCTACGTCTCCGTCCTATCCGCCACCAAACATCCCCTCGCCCACTTCGCCGCCGACGACCTTTGGAGGAGCGACGCTTGGCTCCAGAACCTACCGATCCGACCAGCAGACCCCTTCTAGCCGATCCACATTCGCCGAGAACGACCATTACGGCTCGCGCGACAAACCCGTGGCGCCCCGGAGGATGCAGACCCCCGCGCCAGACACGCCTAGCGGGAGCAATGCGTCGGTCGAGATATTCAAGTCATTCAGGGTCAGCATGGACGACCCCTGCTACAAGGTTCTGCCGGCGGCCCTCAAGAAGTACCAAATCAATGCCCCATGGGACCAGTACGCCCTGTACATTGTCTACGGAGACCAGGAGCGATGTCTAGGACTCGACGAGAAACCACTCATCCTGTTTAAGCAACTGGATAAGGAAGGGAAGAAGCCGATGTTTATGCTTCGGAAGACGAACAACGCCCAGGTCGACCTGACATCCGACTTGCCCGGAAGCGCCGGCCTCGGCGCCTCTGCTCGCGGTGCCGCGACGGGGGGCTACGATCCGCCAGGCGGCATAATATGATCGAGTCGTCCTCCACACTCTTAATGAACACCTCGAGAGAACAACTTCGAAAGACATGACGAGCATTACTCACGGTAGCTTGCTTGCGGAGTTTGGGAAGAACCATGCATAGCGGGCGAAGACTTTTTTCTCTTTTTCCTTTTTCTTTTTTCTCTTGGACTGGAATTTTGTGGGTGTTCTACTGCCGCCAACACATGGGACGTTTCCTTGATCAAACCACCCGGTACATCAATCAGACCTCTGCGACCGACCATCCCACCTAACACTTGAACATTTGAAAGAAAACTCGTCGGCCGCAGATTAAACCATTCGGAATCTCGACCTACGAGCCACGACCAACATCCCCTAACTTTTGGCAATCAGGAGGAACGGGGGTTTTTTGCCGTCCGTCAGAGGCCACGCATGGGTGGAAGGAGGACAAAAAATAAGGCATTATCTGGTTAAGCTTACACTGGGTGTAAGCACATGTCACATAGACAAGGATTCTGGAGGGGACGGGGGCGATTCTTGTTGGTATCTGGCTTTCATTCCCCTGATGGATCACTAAATCCGTCTTTTCTGTTTTTATTTATTTTTGGTTTATTTTATGTTTTTTTTGGGGCGTAGCCATCCCATTCAATACATTGCCCTTTCCAACCCCTTCGTAATGCTAGTTGCTCGGATACATACGCTATCTGGACCATTTAATGTCACCGCTTTGCTGCCACACGTCCCTGCTGGTAAACCTGGGCAAGGCGTAAGCGTACCTCGAGACGGGATTACTGGCGAGAGAGCAGTCGTGGTTTCCGGGGAAGAAAGGGATGAGACCTTTGAGACGCGAGTCCCCCGCCATGGCCCGTCCCGCCTGACGTGTTGGACAAGTACCTTACCGAGTTGGAAGAAGAGGCGTTGCAGAAGGCTTCACGCAGGGGCAGCTAGCCGTGGCGGCAAATGACATCATATCCTGGACAAGGTAAGTCGGATCCTCGAACTGTCTGTCTAGACGTCTGGCAGCAGACCGGGGACGCGAACCTGTCATCTCGTCCGATATTGTCAACTCCAGGTAAGTATCCACTTGGTGAACCGAGAAAGGTGGTGCGCTTGAAATAGCTCCCGAATCCCCCCCTGCATATAGGGTCAGACTGACTTTCACTAGTGGTGATGATCCGCCTTTCCCGGGCGGCGCTTCGGACTGCACTAGGTATAATTGTCGGTGTTGAGGCTCGGTTTAGTGTATTTGGTGGACAGCCGAAACATGCCGAATGCACCACCATCACCCATCCATGACCCCAGCATCTTTCCTCCTACTGAGCAGGTTCCAGAACCCCCTTCCCGAAGCCGCGTGGAATCTTCTGCAACGGGAATGCACACCACAATTTACCTGCCTGGTCGGACGTCTGAGAATCAGTGTCTGCGAGGGGTGGGTGGGTGCACGGTGCCGTTCGCAGCCGGCACCGGCGATCACCAACTGGCCCCTCCACCTGCGACACGGAAGGTAGCGGATTTGCCGAGACTGACTGACTGACGAACTCGGTCCTCGCAATTGAGTTGAGAGTTGAAACAGACACCACCCCCGGGGCTTCATACCTACCTACCACCTATCTGCCTACCCAGACTAGATAAGATTCCAAGGCCGGCTGGCCCGCGCCGCAAGTATAGGTAGTCTGATCGACCCTCAGCCTGGGACGCCTGGCATCGGTCCTCCTCCACACCAAAATTACCGGGTTGTCCGTGTCTGGGCAGAGGAAGAGCCTGGGAAGAGGTGATTGTTGCGGGGGAGGGAGTTCGAATGGGATCCCAAATCATCTCAATTATCATCAGACGAACCTATCCCGCCCCCCGGCGCCCGGCGCCCCGGCGATCCAGGTCTGAGGGTTTTGCCTTTCGCTCTTCTCTTCGGGGACGCAGCCGGACGAACGGCTTGCACGGCATCGCGTCTACGTCTGTGTGTGTGTGCGTGTGTGCGTGTGTGCCTTAAGACTCCCACTCCTCACCTGCCGTCGTGCCTTTCCGACCTCGATGGTTGTGGAACGGAGGTTCTGGGTTTCGAATATGGCTCGAACGAATGTGTCGTAATGCCGAAGCTGCCCTCCAACAGCCTCCCTGGAAGGAGCAATCCTACTGCAACAGATGGCACGATGGACCGCAGTGTTACTCAAACAATTTTATTTTATTTTAGTGTACAGCTAACCACACAAACTGTCGCGAGGGACATTCCCCATATTGGTAAAACAAGCTACAGTAAAAGTAACGACAATTATTACCTCTAGGCATGATCTCATCTCTTGAAGCAAGTATTCGAGACTGGCCTGTTCTCAAAAAGAAAAAGAAACCTCCAAAAAGTTGAGACCTCCCCACAAGGCTCACCACCTCCTCTCTCGCCCGCCCGTGGTGGATTTGTTGTGGGCCGTCTTCAAGTTCTTCTTGAATTCGAGAATGAGGTCGTTCATGATGCTTTTTGTGCCCGTAGACCAACCCTTAATGATCTGTTCGACTTCCTTTTTACGCTGGTCCGGCGTCATCTTCTTCCGCTTCTCAAGCTTCGCGGGCTGCATGTACTTCTGCGCCTCGAGGGCTCCCGTGACGTAGTCCAGCAGGTTGTGCCTCCAGTGCACCAGCAGGTGGGAAGTTTCCGCGTTGCTTTTGCAGACCGAGCCCATGTGCCACTCCTTCTCTTCCATTGGAATGAGGTTGCCGTCCTCATCGCAGTCGCCCTCATCCTCGTCCTCGTCCTCGTCCTCGCCGCAGCTGCCCTGGTCTACATCTTCCAGAAAATGGTCGCCGGTGGCATCCTGGTGATAAGGAGCTCCTCGAAAGCTGACCACCCATCGTGCGGGATGAGGGCGGTTGCAGGCCTTGCAGGTTATCGAATCATCGATAGTTACGGGGCTCATCTCAACAGCCGTGAAACTTGGACGGGCTAGCAACGCTAGACGGAACTCCGGTCCCCAGGATGAGGATATGAACTTGGACTGGGCAAGCCCTCGAAATTCGTCGTTCAGCTTCCGCCATGGGATCAAGTATTCGGCATGCTTCCTCTGGGGGAAGGTAGGATTGATTTTCAAATGTACCAGCCATTCTATGGCTTTCGCGAATTGATACTCGAGGGGCCGGTGTGACTTGGCCGAAAACTGCGCCGGCAGCTCCAGTAGCTCTGCTGGCGCACCAAGGGGCCCGTCATCATCATCCACGATGAAATCGGCCATCTTATCGTCGTCCTCGCCGTGATGGACCGCGCGGTTGCCATTATTCCTCGACTCCGATGTGCTCTCGTTGGCGGGCACTCCCTCCTCATCATCCTCGAACTCTTCGAGGGCGGGATGATCCGAGTCTGTGTCGTACATAGCTATGCGGTGTCCTTCGGATGGTGGTGACAGGTCCTCTTCGCTGATGACTTCTCCGGCCCGTCGGCGGCGATACAACAGGAACTTCCGATTAGCACTTCGGCTAGACTGAGCAGATCTCCGAGATCCACGCTTCATAAGCGTGTAAAGACAGTCTGCCTCCTGTTTGCTCTGTGGGGGCGTCGTTGGCTCCTTGCTGCTTGATTCATGGTTGCTCTCATTGGCACTAGAAGTATCGGCACTCGGAGTATCGGCACTCGGAGTATCGGCATTCGAGGTTACCCTTCGGGTCAGACGTCTCCTCTTTGTTGGCTGGACGACATCATCCTCGTCGCTATCCTCGGATGAGACTGCCCGCTTTTTGGGATTTCGTTGGCCGGAGGGATGGGGGAGGTCCAATAACTTGTCACTATCCTTGGATGTGGCAGTCCTCTTCTGAGGTGTTTGTCGGCTAGAGGAGGGGATTCGACCAGAGGAGGGGATTCGGGCCACTGGCTTATCCTTATTAACATCCTTGGATGTGCCTGCCTTGTTCTCGGACCTTTGTCGATTGGATGAGGGGAATGGGGCCAATGGCCTATCCTCCTTACCACCCTCAGATCCGACTGTCTTCCTCTTGAGCTTTCCTCGAGTAGAGGAGGGGGCTGGGGCTAATGGCTTGTCATCACTGTCGTCCTCAATAACGATAGGACGTGGCTGAGATGACAACCGGCCAAGGCTGTTGCTGCCACTGGCAACTGAAGCGTCCGACTTGTGCCGGCTGCGTGGAGCAGGCGCCCTGAATGACGGCAAACTCTTCTGGCCCTCACCGTCGTCGAAGAGATCTTCGACTGCAGACTCGGAAGATGAGCTGGAAGTTGGCTTGTCAAGGGCCACAGAACTCCCTTGGGACCTGGGCAGGAATGACGCTCGCTGGCGTCGTGGCGATGACCCAATGGCGGTACCACCAACCAAATTTGGTGAGTTTAGTTGACTTTGCTGGCGTCGTGGCAATGACCCAATAGTGGTACCACCAACTGAATTTGGTGAGTTTAGCTGGCGAGATGTTGCATTGGCCTGAGAGTTTCGAGGACGCCTGATTACAGTGTTCACTCTTGGCCGACCTGAGTCATCCAGTTAGCATCGTGGCTCAGAGTAAGTGAGTGACAGTGGTGATCCAGGCCATATCAATGTCAGGGTCTTGGATGTGACGGGCCCAAGTAAGGCAGGTGGCAATGTTATGATAGGTAGAGAAGGTCGAGTAACATACCTAGGGTCGCTTCAAGTGTCTGCTGCCTCGGCGTGTTTGGGGTTTTCGGTGGAACCATGATATCTTGTTCCTTTTTGTTGACTCTTGAAGATGTCCAAACTCCCTAAGGAAGGTGCACGCGAAGGCCCAAGCAAACACTTAGCAGCGGGGCATCAGCACGGCGGGGCCGTGCCGTGCTGTGCTGTGAGAAATTGGAAGGAGTCACCAATAGAGAACTCTGCTTAAGTAGGTAGGTAAAGTGCAGGGTGATCACGAGGGTAGAGTGTTGACACCACGGCAAGGTAATGAAATACCTATCTGGTGTTGGTACTGAAGGCGATCTTTGGGGGTTTGTTTTTCTTTTGTTTATTGTGGTAGGTGGAAGACCGCGATTCCTCAAGTTATAGGTCGTCGTCAGGTACATGTACATGTACTTGTACTTGTACAAAGGACTTCACTGCGTGACTTTTTTTCTCTGGAAAAAAGAAGAAAAAAAGAGAAAAGAAAAAGAATCCTCCAGCCTCTCCCCTAGACTGGCTGGCAGGTTCCATGTGAGATTTATCCGAGCTGTCTTACCTTGGGCAGGAGGCAGAGCCCCTGACTCTACACTCCAATCAATGTAATGCCACGAAGAGTAGGTTCATAGAAATGCATGAATTTGTTGAGTTTGTAGCCAAGCACAAGACAGATGCAACTTCCTTTAGTGATTTATATTGCTTTCAACTACACCCACTCTCATATTAAACCCCAATCCCACCAACTCCACAAGTTCTCCTTCTATTATATACTACAACGCCGGTTCCCAGGGGAAAGGGGGGAAATGGATGGGGAGGGTTATGCTATTTGGGTAGGTACGAGGTAGACACGGCAGGCAACCCAAGGATAGGTATGTGCTTGTACCCCTTATTATCTCAGGCGGTCCTTGACGTCAAGCTCGCCCCGCGCAATGACGTCCTCCAACTTCCATCTCGGCGGCTTGACGATGCCCTCTAATCCATTCGCCTTGCGCCATTCCGCCTCGGTCTCGGGTGTCACACCAGGGGGTAGAGGTTCTAAGCCACCAGCAACTCCAGTAGAGAACTTGACCTGGAGAATGTCTCCCACTTCGTCACAGGCTGCCAGGACACGGTCCATGTCATCTTTGTTGTGCGCAGACGACACGCAGAATCTCGCACGAGAGCTGATGAGCGGAGTCCCTGGGTAGCCGACAATAACGATTGAGATCTTCCGCTTCAACATCTCGTGACTGAAGGCGGCAATCTTGCCGGGATTGTACAGCAGAAGAGGGATGATGGGAGAATCATCGTGACCGTAAATAATGAAGCCGAGGCGCTTAAGGCCAAGCCGGAGGTACCGCGAGTTGAAGGCAATCCGCTGCAGACGCTCCTCTCCCTGTCCGGGAGCGAGTTCGCCAGTTATAATCCGGAGAGAGGCCGAAATCTGCATCAGCACAGACGGGGTGGGAGACTCGCCGAGCATTGTTGCGGCATTGGTGCTCTTGAGTTTGTCAATGATGTGTTTCTCCGCCGCAACGTAGCCTCCATTGGCACCAAATGACTTGGTGAGGGTTCCCATGAGAATGTCAACCTCGGCTGGGTCTATGCCAAAGTAGTCGCAAACACCGCGGCCTCTGGACCCAACGGCGCCGACACTGTGGGCCTCGTCGACGAAGAGGGAAAACTTGTACCTCTTCTTCAGAGCCACTATGCCTGGAAGGTCGCACATGGTGCCCTCCATGGAGTAGAGTCCTTCCACGGCGACCAGGATCTTCTTCCACGGCCGATGTGTCCGTGGTTGTCCTTGCGAGATGGCTTCCCGTAGTTTCTTCTCCAGGTGTCCCACGTCATTGTGGTTAAAGCACTGGATGACAGCGCCAGAAAGACGCGCACCGATCCGGATAGAGGCGTGGTTGAGCTCGTCAGAGAGGATCAGACAGCCCTTGGACACGAGAGCCGGGAATGAGCTGGCGTTGGTGACGAATCCCATAGAAAAGACCATGGCGGCGGGTTTGCCGACAAAGTCGGCAATCTCCCTCTCCACTTGAAGGGCCAGGTCAGTAGTACCAGCATCAGCCCTGGGACTGCAGGCGCTCAAGCCGTATCTCTCCACACAATGTTCAACAGAATCCGCACATGGCCCTTCGGACTGGGCGAAGCCCAGATAGTTGTAGGAGCTCATATTGAGAGTCTCGGTATAGGTTCCAAGGTACTGGTAGGTGCGGTTGAAGTCGTGCGACTTGCGGTCTATCAGGGTGATATAGCGACCAGGGACGCCGGTAGTCGGCCTGGCGAAACAGTCATCGATGCGCCTCTTTAGTCGTCTAACATAGAAGTTGTCGAAGTCATCGTTGAGTGGAGCATAGCCATTGGCCGCCTTCAGGCTCTGATAGTGCTTCTTATCGCCGAATCTCTTGCCAAAGAAGTCCCGGGCATGGCCAAAGAAGATGAGGATCAGATAACTGATGTACGTAGTGAGGACGTAGTAGTAAGGAGGCTCGTCGACTACCGGCGGCTCAAGCTTCTCCCCCTGGTGCGTACAGTCATATCTGTGGTTCGGGCTGATGAGCGGTCCGAATTGGGCCTCAATGCGGCGCTGTTTCTTAGACTCGGCGGCAGATGGCGGCTGGAAGAGTGTTGTTGGAGGCTCATCGCTACTGGGCTCCCCCGCGGTGGCAGTAGATAGCGAGATTGACGGTAGCGATATGGTGGCGGAGGTGATGTGGGGCGACGGGGACGTATGCTGCTGCATCGCTTGAAGAGTCTGCTGGGCTGACGGCGATTCCTTGTTCTTGGGCGACGAGGAGAATAGTTGAGTGAGCCGACTGCCTCTCGACTGGGAAAGCCTCCGCTCTCCAGACTTTTCCGACTGGGGCATGCTTGAGGGCGAAGAAAAGGGGTTTGAAAGCTTGCGGGGCATGTCTAGGGATGGAAGCTATAGCCAGTCTAAACCAAGATCATAGCTGTCGGTTGACCGTGCTGAAGGTCAATTGATACTGCGAATCTTTTGGATGATCAGCCAACATCCACGAAAAGAGAGGTCAAGGAGAGTCGACAGGCCCGTGGAGTAGGTAGACATCGAGATTCGACTGGATTCAGACTTACAGGTAGACCAGCAGTGACAAGAGAGATACGTAGGATTTAGGCAAGACGACCGTCTGTTGGTGGGCTCTTCTCGAAGTGCCGGTGCTCCCGATTCAACTTCGGCCGAGTCGCGTTGCGCTTTTGCAAGGGGCAATTGAACTTGGCGTACCCAGAGACGCAAACCAGGAATAGAAGCCGCGATGGCCTCTGGTCGTTTCCGGCTCGACAACCTTGACGAGCGACGAGCACCGGACAGCAGGCCAACAGAGCGGCTTGAAGTAAAGGAATGAATGAGGGTAGGTAGGTATTACGAACAAATGGAAGGAAGAAACTGGGTGGAAGCGAGAAGGGGTTGGTCAGAAAAGAAGGCGCGGGTGCGGGTTACTTTTAGCGTGCTTGCTTAAGGGGCAGCCTAGGAAATTATGATGGTGGCTCCACCCTAGTCCGACTCCTAGGTCCCAGCGCAGATTCAGACCAGTCTTGAATGGCAGCATGCCGCTCGAGATTCCATCTCCAAAGCCCACTTACACTAGGTAGTTAGGATGGGTAGCTAGGCGTAATCGCAATAATACATCGTCATCATCAGACCATCGAGACTATAAGACATCAGGCGGGTGAGTTATGACAAAGCTCCTTCCTGCAGTACAATACAATAAGTTTAAACTACCTACACCATTCAGCTCCGGCATTTTGGTTGGTCCCTGCCTTAGGCTGCCTCGCATCCCTGCGCTACACATAGCAGTGATAAGATTGCCAACCCTCGCAAATCCCGTAGCTTGCCCTTCGGAAGCTTCGGCAGGACTGATATTTGCAACTTTGCGAGTGCATTTCATAATCATCCTTGCCGCCCCTGAGGATCCAAAAAGAGTCAAGTTCTTGTCTTTCCTTTCCTCAAATTTAGTGTGTAAGCGAGCTGTCCCCTCTCATTCGGCATGCCCTCGGAGAGTCGGAGCTCTTGAGACTTTCGGTCACGGGCCCCGGGGTTTCGTCGCCGATTTTGATGGAAGGCAAGGTAAAGTTGGTTTCCAATGGAAGCCAATCATGAGTCGCGTGAGCAGTGTGGCTTGACCCTGCCGTCAGCCTCACCTCCTCGGCTTGCCTCGGGACAGGGTTTGGTCCCTCGGACTTCCACTGGCGAATGTCGAGTCGGTTGCTCGAAATTAAATAGGTATCTAGAGCTCAAGGAGTTGTTCTTTGCCTCTCACTGTCTCCTCCCTCTGCTGTCTCATTACTTCGTTCGTTACTTTTTATTCTTTGACGTAGAGATGGCGCAAGAAAACCATCTTGAGCTGGCTCCGGCTGAGCTCTGGAGACATGCAAACCCCACCACAACCTCGATGTGGAAATTCATGGAACATGTGAATTCAACATATGGACTTCATATCAGCGACTATCTGGGACTTCATAATTGGTCAATTGACAATGTTGCCAACTTCTGGAAGGAAGTTTGGCACTTTGTCGGTGTCAAATCCTCCCAGCCTTTCCGCGAGGTGGGTGTGCTCTTGCCCCCCCGCCCGGGTCCAAGCACTCGACTCCCTTATCGACTGAGAGGAGAGTGCCCCTTATCTTTCGCCTGCACGTCCTATTTTCTCGGTTCTTGCAAGCGCAGAACACTGGAAAAGGGGCAGCGTTGGTTGCAGATGTCCTATGTGCTTTACATCTCTTACAGCCCACTAAGATTCCAATAGGTGTTGCCAGCGGGTAGTCCTATGTTTCCAAGACCTGACTTCTTCGCTGGAGCTCGACTCAACTTTGCAGAGAATATCCTGTTTCCTGCGAAGACAGAGGTTAAGGAGTCTGCCATTGCCGTCATCACGGTGACGGAGCAGGAGGGGCAGATAACAGAAACCACCTGGGGCGAGCTCAGAGAACAAGTCCGACTCTGCGCCAATGCACTAAAAGCAGCTGGTGTGAGAAAGGATGATATCGTGGCTGGCTTCTCTTCCAATCATGTGCAAACTCTCGTGGCAATGCTCTCTGCGGCGTCTCTTGGTGCAATCTGGACCGGAATCTCTCCTGACAATGGAACGAGCGCGGTCCTTGATCGCCTTGCTCAAATAGGACCCAAAGTCCTATTTGCTGACAACGGAACTCTGTATAACGGCAAACAGTGGTCCAGCACGAGCAAAACTTTACAGATCGTCGACGAACTCAAGAAGCACGGCTTGAAGCTCGTTGTGGTGATCAATAATATTGAAGGCCTCGACATGGGGTTGGAGGAGTTGGGATCCAAGAACGTCATTGCGGAGGAGTACGGGAGCTTCCTGAGCAGGTGAGCTAGGAAGCGATGAATGCTGCTACCCTGTCATATGATGAAATTTCTAACAATGCAAGTTCGTCGGACGAACCCCTGGTATTCGAGCAACTATCGCCGTCCCACCCCCTCTATATCCTCTATTCTAGTGGGACCACCGGTCTGCCGAAGGCTATCGTTCATTCAGCTGGAGGGACACTAATTCAGCACAAGAAAGAGCACTATTTGCACTGCAACCTGTCATCTTCTTCCCGGCTCTTCTACTTTACGACGATTTCATGGATGAGTAAGTGGGCCGGCTCGTCGTCCCTTTGAACGCTACTCACAGTTTCGCAGTGCATCATTGGCTCGTCTCGGCCTTGGCCGTAGGCTCGTCTCTTGTACTGTACTCCGGATCGCCGTTCAAGCCTCACTCCTTCATGTCTATGCCGAAGCTCATGTCCTCGCTCCGAGTAACCCACTTCGGGACGTCGGCCGCTTACCTCATGGCTCTTGAAGCAAACAACATCTTGCCGAGCCAGGACAACTCTCTTGACCTTTCCGCCCTCGAAGCGATCTACTCAACGGCCGCGCCCCTTCCGCCATCCACCTTCTCCTTCGTATACAAAGCGTTCCCATCGACCATCAATCTCGGCTCCATAACCGGCGGAACAGACATCATCTCCCTCTTCGGTGCTCCCTGCCCGATCCTCCCAGTCCGCGTCGGGCAGATCCAGTGCGCCGGTCTCGGCATGGCCATTGCCGTCGTAGACCCGGCCTCAGATCCCACCAACCCGCGACCAGTGCCGCCCAACACCGCGGGCGACCTGGTGTGCACCCAGCCGTTCCCATGCCAGCCCCTGACCTTCTTCGGTGCCGCCGGCGAGGAGAAGTATCGCGCCGCCTACTTCGACCGCTTCCCTGGCCTGTGGCACCATGGCGACTTCGTGCGGGTGGACCCGCTCACTGGCGGGCTGGTGATGCTCGGCCGCAGCGACGGCGTGCTGAAGCCGGCCGGGGTCCGGTTCGGGAGCGCTGAGATCTACAATATTCTGACCAAGTTCTTTGCCTCCGAGGTGGAGGATGCCGTGTGCGTGGGCCGGAGAGGGGAGACCGACCGAGACGAGACGGTGTGTTTGTTCGTGGTCATGTGTCCTGGGAAGACGTTTGATGATGGGCTGAGGGAGAGGGTCAAGGGGGTCATCAGGAAGGAGCTCAGCCCGAGGCATGTCCCAGGCGTGATTGAAGAGTGTGGTGGAGGCATCCCTAAGACGGGTAACGGAAAGAAGTGAGTTTGCTTACCGCCACTGATTCGGTTGCGGGCTGTTTTTGCTGATTACCTGGTCCCAGGATTGAGGTTGCTGTCAAACAGATCCTCTCAGGCATGGACGTCAAGACGAATGCCAGCGTCGCGAATCCGGAAGCGTTGGACTGGTTCAGGCAATGGGCCAAGCTGCACAGCTAATACGGGCATACCTTGGACTGAGATGACTCGAGCCGATATGGGCGGCTATGTCCGCTGCAGAGGTTCATGGTGCGAAACATCTTGAAGCTCCACAGAGGCTTAGACTATAGATAGGAGACCTTCTAGAAAGTCACAGAGGGTGAAGGATAATGGCCAATTCTCGAACTATATTCACTTAATAGACCATTGCAATACTGTAGAATGGAAACTGAGAAAAGTCGAACCAAGAAAATTCGAGCTGCAGTGCGAACGGAAATACACCGTGTTCAGGGGTTCAGGGGCTAGCGGATTACTAACACATGTGGAGTACTTTCCGCCCCGCATTTTATGCGGCCAGCAGCAAGCAACATTGAAAATCAGTCAAAAGACGTCATGCAAGTCTACCGCTGAGCAACTATCCACGGAGTGACCAAGCCAATTGCTATCCGGGCTACCAGAGCCGCGACAACTACCGCGGTAGGCACATGCTAGGTTATCAGACCCATCGCGATCACCCGGACCCAGAATCATTTTTGTCAGATGGGAATAGCAATAACGAGCACCATTCCCGTCTTGCGTTATCTATCGGAGAAAGGAGAGATAGCCTCCGGGTAGCCCTGAGCCGATGATGGCCAGCCCCTCCCACTCAGAAGAGTCACCTCTCCTCCCTCCTACGGCCTTATCACAATCCGAAACGAGACCGAGACCGCCACGGAGCGTCACCTTCAACCCGAACCCGCTCGTTAAGACAATCGAGAGCGAACCCGAATACCAGCGACCCTCCCATGCCTCACAGTCCTCCCACCGCCACCACCATTATGGCTCCTTGGGCCCATCGGGGCCGAACCACTCGGCCATCAATTCCGGTGGCTTCGGCGGCGGTCCGCCAATGATCACGGCCCTGAACAACAAGCTCCGCAGGCGCAACAGCTACGGAGCACCGTCACCACCACCCGGCGTGGCGTTCTCCGGAGCCGGGAGCTACCCCGCCCATGTTCAGCCAAAGATGGGTCCGCAGCGCAGTAGCAAAAAGGCCCAGAAGCTCAAGCTCCTGCCGACTCCCGAGGTCGCCGAGGACGGACTCGACGAGGAACGCGGCGGAGACGTCTACTCCCAGTACACGCGCATCAAGGACCCGTCGGCGAGACGGGATGCCGCCCGCCTGGGGAAGGCGGACCGCGATCGCCTGCCACGGGTCACGGCATATAGCACGGCCAACAGGTACCAGATGGAAAGGCTGATGCGGTTCCTGAAGGGCCGAGGGAAGACGAGGGGTGCGAACCCGACGCTGATCGACGAATGCATCTACACGCCCTATAGCTACGGGGGGGAGCGGGCGGGAGGGGGCGCGCAGGGTGAGAGGCAAGCACATGTTGCTCCAACGCCCGTGACCAGCTATGAACGACGACACTCGACTGGGGAGGTTTCGGGGGCTGACGGAGAGTTCCACCGAGAGGACCTCATCGACCTAAGAGGCGATGACCAGCCTGGGGAGATAGGTAGCGGCTTTCATGACGATGGCAACGATGACCTGGTCACCCAGGTGCTGGGGGATGAGGTCGCTATATCGGACAATGTTGCGGATCTCGACATCCAGGTGCACACGCCCGAAGTGTTCCTCTTCGAGTACGGTGTTGTGGTAATATGGGGGATGTCGCTGGTACAGGAGCAGAAGTTTCTCAAGGATATCGCCAAATTCGAGACCGAGAAGCTAGCACCGGACGATGTCCAAACGGAATTTTTCAACTTCTACTACACGCGAGAGTATCAGGCTCAGATCTACAACGACTTCATCGCATTAAGACATGGGAGCAGCCACATGACAAAGCTAGCCATTTCCCACGCTCTGGCACAGAGCGTCAAGGTATGTCCCCATCTCCCACCTCCTTCACGCCCCCCTCCCCCGTTCGAAGCTGACAAGCACCGCACCAGACCTCGCTCTTCGAGGAGCTCATAGCCGCGACCATCGACGAGTGCAAGGACATTCCGGCGCAGCTCGCGCTGACGGGCAAGATCGCGCTCAGCCGGCGGCAGATCAACATGCAGATCGGCGAGCTCTTCATCCTGCGCATCAGCATCCACCTCAACGGCTCCGTGCTCGACACGCCCGAGTTCTTCTGGCTCGAGCCCCAGCTCGAGCCCGTCTACCAGGCCGTGCGCAGCTACCTTGAGATGGACCAGCGCGTCGGCCTCCTGACCGAGCGCCTCGACGTCATCGCCGACCTGCTCGCCGTGCTCAAGGACCAGCTGAGCCATGGCCACGGCGAGAAGCTGGAGTGGATTAGTGAGTTCCTTCCCTATGGGCGCCCCCGTGTGTGCGTGTATGTGTGTGTGTAGCTGCTGACATTTCTCCTCCCAAGTCATCATACTCATTGGCGCCGAAATCCTGGTGGCCTGTGTAAATATTGTGGTGGACTTGTACGTTGGTATGGACTGAGTGTTTGTTTTCTCGAGTTGTCTTTCGAGCATGTCTGGTTCTTATTTAAGGGGGTAGGGGTATCCTATGCATTCGAATGTCCCCTGCATCTTTGCTCAGCCTTTGAATGTTCCCTTCCTCTATTGAGGAAGGCAAATCTTGGAGGAAATCCCTTCTTCGTTCTGGGGCGCTCCAGCCTGTCTGTACATTAGGGAGTACCATGACGAGCCATTGCATAGCTAGATAAGGTGCTTCGCGGCCAAAAAGGTATCCGCAGCAAGTATTATAAACCGATATCACATAAAGCTCCCAGCTTGACTTGTTGCCTGGCTTCCAAAGACTCCATTAAGAACTACTCGTTTTGGTTCCCCATCCTTCCAGCGCCTTAGGAGACCCGTATACAAACTCACCGAAACTCCAGACCAAAAAAAATAACACAAGGAAAAGCGAGCCACTGTAAAGCAGTGTAGCCCTCGGTCGGCCCTCACCTCCTCCACTCCCGGTAAACAGTGACGACAGATACACGCGGTAAGGTGATCAATCCTCCTGCTTTTCAGCCTGCGTCTCCTGGTCCGTGTCGTAGTTCACCATATCAACGTCCTCGTCCTGCGGCCGCGGGGTATCCTTATCCTCCGCGGTAGTGCTCTCATCCGCCGGCTTCCCAACCGCGTTGATGGACAGCAAGGCCTCTTCCTCTTCTTCGCCCTCGCCCTCGCCCTCGCCCTCCCCATCGCCGCCGTCCCCGTTACGGTCCCCGCCATCGGCGCTACCGCCCCGCTCCTCCTCCGCCTTGCCCCGGCCCGCGGCCAACTCGCGCTCGTAGCGTGCCTGGAACTCCTCCCTCTGGGACTCGGGCAGGTCCCTCCAGCTGCGGGCCAGCTCCTCCTCGACGCTGACGTTGGCGCCGCCGCCGGTGGAGCTGGCGGCGGCCTCCTCCTCCTTGTTGTTTTTGTCGTTGTCGCCGTCGTCCTCGGCGGCCGCGGCCGCGGCTAGCTTCTCGCGCTCCTTCAGCAGGGCCGGGCGGGCGTCGGTGCAGTAGAGCTCGAAGCCGTTGAGGGGCTTCGCGGGCGGTTTGGCCGCCGTGCCGTTAGTAGTGGCTGCGCCGGCGCCCTTCTGGGCCTGGGACTGGCTCGCGTCGGCGTGGGAGTGGGAGAAGGCGTCCGAGCTGGGCGACTGGGTCTGCGGGTTCTGGGTGTTGCCGAGGGAGGAGTTCGCAATAGGCGGCGTGTCGGCATTAGGGAGAAGCGACGCCTTCCTGTGCCCCCGCTTGATCCGCAGGGGCTTTTCCTTGGGCTGTATATGAGGCAGGACAGTTGGTCAGCTTGGCGGACTTGGAGGGAGCTTACTTGGGGGGAGGGGGAGAGGAATGAAGGGGGCGGCGGGGAGGGAATTGGGGACATGGAAAGAGAGACGGGAATTGAGAAAGAAAGAGAAAGAATGGACATACTGTTGGCGGAGGGCTGGGGCTACCCTCCGAGTCCTCGACATTGGTGCTGGTTCGACGGGCAATCTGCTCGAGGAGGAATGCCCGCTCCAATCTCATCTTTTCGACCTGCCGCTTGAGTCGATTGAGACGTAGTCTTGCTGCGTCGTTGGCCTCCTCAACCTCGGTGGTGCGCTGCTTAAGCTGGAGGCATTTTCTGCGGTATGCCTCCTCAACCGAGGGTGGTAAGGCCGGCGGGACAGAGGTTGCTGGTACCCCAGAACGGTGGTGGTTAGCAGGTGAGGCCATCGCAATAGTCGAAAGACAATTTCAAGTTCCGGATGGCGAAGAGAGACCTGACGACGATGAGGAAAAAGTTGCCAAAGGTTTACTTACTAGGCGACATTGCAAAATGATGAGGGTGATCTTGCAAGTTTGCAATGACTTCTTCTGGCGGTGACGATGTAACTCTTCGATTCGGGGGTAGGTTCCGTCAGTTCGGCTCGGAAGCAACTTGGCGCCGTTGGCGGTTAGTCGTGATGTTGCTTTTCCTTTTTCGCGGCGCAATTCGAGGTTCAAGCGCGCCACTCAGGGTTAGTAAGCGTCCACCACAATTGCTCTCTAAGAGTAGGTGTTTTGTGGAGGGAAACGTGGGAGAAATTAATTTGTCGGTTTTTCTTTATAATGAATTAGTAGCACAGGTGAATGTGTCTTTTTTAAAAACTTTAGGTTGACTGGTCAAGTTGTTCACCATGGGTGTATTTTCAGTACTACACGGCCATTGATGCTCTCCCCCAAGTGGCCTCGGTGAATTATTCTATAGGTACCTAGTCCCCAAACAAAACAGTGTAGAGAGGATATCCTTTCCCTCAAATAATGCAGACGCAATGAAATGGTCTTCTTTGACTGACTAGGGAACTTCCCTGGGCTATTATAATGCTCTAAGCTTTGAACTCGTGGTTCAGCCAGCAACCTGCTGTCCTGGCAATCTTCAGTGACTCTATAAGGGATTGTCATCAAAAGGGGGAACAGAAGAAAGTAATCAACGCCAGGCTGAACATATGATACATAATGATGATGCCACCCCAATGGCTCTATCCCGCCACTAGTACCCATACTAGGAAAACTGTTTGCTTCAAAGTCAGCTGCTGCTATCACTTGTAAGGACGTTGCGCGCTGGCGCAAAACCTACATATCATCAAGACTCCAAACATCTTCGCGATTAATGTCCGATTTCCAGACATCCGATTCCAATACCGAAGCAGCTCCCTCTGAGCTCCTTCAACATTGTCGGTCACGGCCTCGACATTGTCATCGATCCGGCTGGCGGATTGTCAGCGATTTCCGCTCTATTCATCGCAATGGTAGCCTTCGGCCGATAACTCACCTGATTTGCTCGCCTTGCTCGTGGACCATTTGAGCCAGTTGGGAAAACATGCCTCCCAGCTCGTTCATGGTCCGCTCGATCATCTCGATCGCCTCACCCCGTTGCTGGATGTATGGGTTGTGGGTTTGGGCTTCCTCCATCAGAAGAAGTTGGGTTTCAGACGAGGCCGGCTCGAGCGACAAAGTATCTTGCTGCGCAGCAGTTCGTTGGGCCGAGTTGTTGTACAGAGGAGAGTCGCTCCGAGAGGGGTCTAATAGGTTTTGCGAGTACTGAGATACGTTCGAGACGAAGCGTTCGGTCCTGGCCTTGGATGAAAGCATGTTGTCCATCCTGGTCCGCAACACTCCCTTCAAGCTGTCTGTCATGCCTTCGAGATGGCCACTAAGCATGACAACCACGTTCTTTCCATGTTCTCCCTCCTGATCTACGGGCGCATGCGGTCCCTTAACCCACGCCTTCGGGTGCTCTTTTCGGGAGAGTTCTCTGAGCTGAGCGAGGGATTGTGTGAGCGCAGAGAGGTCTTGTTTGATGACCTAGTCACATGTTAGTTCGGTGAAGACAGCGGATTATCCTGGGACCGCCAACGCACAAAGGTGAGTTCCTCGACTTCCACCGGCCGGTCGTCAAACAGTGTCTTCTTTTTCGCCAGCTGTGCCAGTCGCTCTAGCTTCGCCATCGTATTCGACTGCTACTAGTTAGCCACGTAACCGGCATCAGCAAGCTGGTCCCAGCTGGCGCGCTTACAATGCCCTTGCCGATCCCAGCAGCCTGCTGCGCAAAAGCGCTCCGTTGCCGTAATGTGCCATTTACGGAAGAGTCCTGCGGTGCGCTGCTAAAAGTCTGCCGCTGCAAGCGCGACTTTGCGTTCAGCTGCCGTTTATTGACATCGGTCAGGATTGCCCGGAACTCTCCAGTCCGGTCTTGAATCGACACTGGAGGCATCTTCGGACTCTGGTCGCCGAGCAGGTTCGGGGAGGTTGTTTTTCGCTGGGCGTGGGGAGAGGTCGTAGCACAGATTTTCGAAGGGCTGTCGTCAATGATTAAAGGAGCTATCTGATGTGGTCATCGGGGCGAACAGTTCGTGGGGATGCAGGTTAATGTCTCGAGTTTCGACTGAATGAGGCTGACTAGGAATAGTTGCTTTATGTTCTCTCGTCATTGGCCAGATCAACTTGTGGCTGTGTGGCTAAGTACCGAGATACAGGGGCTAAAGCACGGACCACCCCGAGGCTACAGGCTTTTTTTCTGGGCTACTCCACCACATACATGCTGAGCTGCCCACCAACTTGCCAACGCCTGGAGATATACCTTTTGATGAAAAGGGAACGGGCTGGCCAATATGTCTCTGAATATACCAAATGCGCCGAACGCCGGCTTGTTCAAGCAGGGCTACAACAAGTAAGTCTCGCCGACCCCTCCGCTCCCTACCGGGAAGCTCCTAACACGCATACTCTCTAGCTATGATTCCGAAGATGGAGCTGTTCTACGAAACATCGACGCGTGCCGTGCGATCTCATCGACGGTGCAGACCTCGTTGGGTCCATACGGTCGGAACAAGATCGTAATCAACCACCTTCAGAAGATGATCCTGACCTCAGATGCCGCCACCATTCTCAGAGAGCTCGATGTTGTCCATCCCGCCGCCAAGCTTCTGGTCATGGCCAGCCAACAGCAAGACGCCGAGGTTGGCGACGCTACTAATCTGGTTATCATCCTCGCCGGTGAGCTGTTGCGCAAGGCGGAAGACCTCCTCCGAATGGGCCTGAAGCCGAGCGACATCGTCACCGGCTACGAACGCGCACAAAAGATCGCACTGGACGTTCTCGAGGAGCTCGAAGTCGACAAGGTTGAAGACATTAGATCACAAGAGGAGCTCAGCAAGGCGATTAGAACCGTCGTTGCTAGCAAGCAGAATGGCAACGAGGACTTCCTTGCCGACCTTGTGGCTGAGGCTGTCCTTGCCGTCCTTCCCAAGAACCCCGCCAACTTCAACGTGGACAACATCCGGGTGGTGAAGATCATGGGAGGCAGCTTGGAGCAGAGCCGGGTAGTCAAGGGCATGGTCTTCCCCAAGGAGCCTAATGGATCCGTGAAGAAGGCTAAGAAGGCCAAGGTCGGAGTATTCTCGTGCCCCATCGACACCAGCCAGACCGAGACCAAGGGCACTGTTTTGCTACACAACGCGAAGGAGATGTTGGATTTCACAACGGGCGAGGAGACACAGCTCGAGGCCGCCATCAAGGAACTCCACGACGTGGGTCTCAGGGTAGTCATCGCCGGATCCACCGTTGGCGAGCTCGCCATGCACTACCTCAACCGCTACGGCATCCTTGTAATCAAGGTTCTCAGCAAGTTCGAGCTGAGAAGAATTTGCCGAGTGGTGGGCGCAACGCCCCTGGCCAGGCTGGGGGCTCCGATGCCCGACGAGATGGGGAGCATCGACATCGTCGAGACGCTCGAGATTGGCGGCGACCGGGTCACCGTGTTCCGGCAGGAGAACGACGTGACTCGGACAGCGACCTTGGTCCTCCGGGGAGCTACGCAGAACCACCTCGACGATGTCGAGCGGGCAGTCGACGATGGAGTCAATGTTGTCAAAGCCATTACAAAGGATCCTCGACTTGTACCAGGCGCCGGAGCTACAGAGATACAGCTTGTGGAGAGGATTCAAGCTGTTGGAGAGAAGACACAGGGTCTTGCACAATACTCCATCAAGAAGTTCGGCGAGGCATTCGAGGTTGTGCCCAGGACCATCGCAGAGAGCGCTGGCCTGGATGCCACCGAGGTGCTCAGCAGATTATATGCAGCGCATCACAAAGGTGACGACTGGGCCACTGGGGTTGATATCGAGGTACGAGCACGGTGCGGGTATTCAGAAATAGATGGGCAACGACTAACCGCAGCACAGAATGACGATGGCACGGGCACACTGGACGCTACGGATGAGGGCATTCTGGACCTCTTGGTCACGAAGCAATGGGCCATCAAGCTTGCGACAGAAGCGGCCCGGACCATTCTTTCGGTCGATCAGATCATCGTAGCCAGACAAGCTGGCGGGCCGAAGCCACCAGGACCCAACCCCGTAAGTCTGAATGCTCACCCTCGCAGTCAGAGCACGTGAAAAATACTAATCGGGAAAGCAGAACTGGGATGAAGACTGAGCCAGAAACCGGTCAGATATTTGGGCGCGGTCATGAGAGACGGAGTCCTGGAGGGTTCTAGATTAGGGGGCGACATATAATCTCGTGCATGTACGGGTCCCCAGAAAAGAAAAGTCGAAGGTTATGAAGATCCGCAACTTCAGAGAATGAGGTTGCACTGTACGAAACCTTTAACGCTGCTGAGAATAAAAACCCCTTCGGACTCTCCCAGCCATTGAGCCATACGAGGGGATGATCTTCTCTCCCGGTAGCCAGACGGGTGTAGATCAACTGGGAGCTGGCCGCATTTATCCCTGTTGTAGTGTTCGGTGTAATCCATGCCTTCGGACCTTTTTAATAACGGCTGCGGCTCGCGAGCCCGGCCTTTCGGGAACTGAATATATGAAAAACTGGACGCGATCAATAGTATGAAACCAGCCGGATCCTGTTACTTTCTTCTCATTGTGTTTTCCACCCTTCTGTTTCTACTCTCCCCCCAATCTTTGCTTTTCATCTTGGACCTCAGCCCCTCCCCCCACACAAGCTGTCAGCGTTAAGTGGACAGATTTGCAGAGGTGATAACTCTCGCCTGCACTACGAGAAGGTATCATATCCGTGCATGAGTGACTAGGTTGAGGAGTGGGTTGAAGTAGGATCGTCAACGTGCAATATGTGGGACCTGCATATATGGCCCACTACTACCAAGGTATTACTTCGTAGCGACCGTTTCTGCTGTCCACCTCCTCTGCATTATGTACCCTGTAGTTGTCTGCATGCTATATAGCTCGTATGTTTGTAGCCTTCTGGTTTTGGACTGGACCGTCTGTGCTGTCTGTTGATGCACATCTGTGGCCATGTTAGATACCAATATGGGTCGGTTCAACCCGAAGCGATGACTTACTCCTCGCTATACCGTTGCAACGGACAACGTATACCCACCCTAGTACGCTACCTACCCAGGTATCTTGTCCTCTAATCGTGCACCTGTGGAGACAACGGTTCGAACAATTGATAACTCCACGTCCGTGCGGTGGGTCAATCTGGGGTTCAATTGCTTTGTCGGGCCATCCCCTGACGATCAAAGGCCTCTCAGTCTCGAAGTAATTCGTACAAGGGAAGAGAGAGAGCAACTGAAGTTCAGTTCCTACATAATGTCAAACACAAACCTGGGGGCGAAACAATGTGTGAGAGGGGGTTCGTGAGGTTGGGGTTTAAGAAACCGCTGTGATCTTGGCTCCCCTGTTGAGCTGGCTGGGCGTTCAGTTGTTCACTAGACGTATGCGCTAGCTACGCACTACGCACAAGTCTAGCAATGTTACTAGGTGGGCAGCCGGTATCCCTCGTGGCCATGGGATATTTCCGTCGTTCAAAAGGTGGAAACTGGTAACTGAGGACCGACCAACTTGGGCATCCACTGACATATCCAGACGGCAAGCAAACACGATCATAGAGAGCAACGAGCAAAGTTGGGAGTGAGGCGGCCCTTTGACAAGAAAACAAAGTTACACATGGGCATATATTTCCGTCTCGTTGCCTCTTGGAACAGAGTACACAGTAGATACTGCAAAAGAATACCTACCCCGTACCTGCCTTGCCATTAAGCCTCTCTAGCGTCTAGATCCCTCCTCTCTGGCCCAGTCGTGCCGGAAAGCACAGCCAAAAATCGCCAATTCTATTGCTGATCACTGCCTACTCCAGCGCACCTCTCATGGGTGACAAGATCTCGGTTCTGCTGATCTGCACCCGTGGTGGTGGCATTTGCACAATGCCCGAAACTTTCTTTGTGCTCACGGTCATTGGAGCAGGGATCCGCGCCATAATTATTCGAACACAGCTACCCGGCGGTTCCACCCGAGAGACACGAGCCAGCAGTTCGATCGGAAATCCAGTTTCCACGTTCCGTTGGTTAAGCACCGTCTCCTTAGCTAGAATGCCAAAAGTGGTAAGTTCCTTCGCCAGGCAGTTTGCACAGACACGGGACTGATGAGTGGTCGCCGGCCTTGCGAGGCTTGCGCCATAAAATGATTCTTCTTCCTTGCTGACGTGACGCCCCAACCTCCGTGTGGGGGGCCGAAGGCAATCATGCCATCTCTGCAGGCAGTCATGACCCCTGAAGCGACGGAGCTTTTTGAACGACTGCCGACGTCGCGGACTGTAGGAATCGCACCATTTGGGGGCACAAGATCTACTAGTAGCATGCGGCGGTGTGGTGCCCACGGCAAGCGACCGAGTGAAAACTCCTGGTCCGGGTTTCCAAATCCTGAGCAGGGCTGCCCCTGGGAAAAATTATTCTCTCTGCATATCTGCATCTTCCTCCTGCCAAAAGGGAGTCGCTAGCTTACTCCATAGCGCGGCTACTACGCGATGGGGTAGCTGTTCAGGGGGTTGTTTTGTAGCCATAGTGTCAAGCCAATGGGGCTGCGACTAGATGCGGCAGGCAAAGGGGTGAACAGGGTACGGATACAACGTACGGATACACGAAGTGACGATGTATCAGGGCTTGCAGGCTGTCCAGCTCGGATTTTTCGAGCTTTCCGCTGCACTTGTACCCATGCGAACCCTCTTGAAGAATCACACTGGGCACCGTGGTACACTCTGCCAGGCTAGAACTGTCCAACAGACAACAGAACGTCTAGAAAGGCGCCAAGCCTGGCTAGGTATATTCGCGACTAGACACTGGGCAAAGTTAGCTGTCAACTCCACTGCTTCTACTGTGTGTATAGTACATTGAAGTCAGCCGCGAGTGGCACAGCACAAGAAATGGGACCTGCCCCACTAAACGGGATAGACCGGACCGAGGCGGCTGGGGCCCGGGGCCCGGCTGTCCAGAATGTCGGACTTTTGATAATCCGCTCGAACTCGTGGCGTCTGGGACGGGAGCTTCCCGGTTTGGCTTAATTAATTAGATCCTGGTGGATAAGGAAAACCTAAAATGGACCTGCTGGCGAATGCAATTCTTGGCCTCCATTCGGTTGCGCGATAATACCATAGAGGTACACGACCTAGAGGAAAATGTTACGCATCGCAGGTTTGTGGTCTCCTGGTGACCGAGACATGGACTTGTGCAAAACCGCCACACAACGATGTATCACTGCCTGAGGCGCCGCCTCGCAAGCCGGTATGCGGCTCGAGCACGCTACCTATATAAGCGGTATTCCAGCTGACCCCTTTTCGCTGCGTCTGCCAAGCTTCAGCGGCATAACTCTCTGACAGTTTCTGCACACTAGAATGATAGAATCTATCCTGGATACTGGACCTGAACACCCAGGAGTAGTTAGCAATGGGGAACGGTGTATATACTATATTTGATCACCTACTCGTACTGCGAACTATTTACTATTCGTTGACGTCGTCTGTGCGGACGGCAGGTAAAAAGAGTGGTGTTGCGCACAGACGTACCGGCAACCGAGCGTGTCGTCAGAAGACACTGATGACCTGTGCGCGGGTCCAATCACGAATTGGGGATTGCTCGAGTTGAGTCTAACCAACCGGATTTGTTGGTATTATTGCGCGTTGTTGGCGTAGGAGGCCGTGAAGGTGATGTCAATTGACGTGTTCCCAAGTGGCTTTATGGTACCTATGGTAAGATGTACGCCTGTACGCATGTACTCCTTCAGGTGAACATACTAACTTGTGCAGCCAAGGGTGGTGACATTTGCGGCTGGGAGGTTTCGCCCTAGTTAGCTGCTGCAACTTCAAGATATGACGATGCATGCAATATCTCCGAGATTGCCACTAACCATGGCACTGCCTTAATTAGTGTACAGTAGGGATCAGCCTGGGAATGTCGCTTGCTAGATATATACCATTTTGTGCCTCTATGAGGTAACCCTCCATAGTCTGGAGGAAGTCTCTCGCCGTTGAAGATGGCTAGGTAAAGCTAGGTAATTGACACGATACGGCAGAACGAAGTTGGCGCCGAAGAGCCTAGCCCAGCGAGAATATTATTGGCGTACCTGAGATTTGTTGTAGTGTCCAGTCCGCACCTAGTTTGTGGTTCATTCCTTGCCTATGTCGTAGAGTTGGTATCTTGAGCCTCGATATTCCGTACCATGTCGCGCTCATCCATGAGATTGGTCCATGGCATAACCCTGTATCCAATGCAAATGCAGTACAGTGTAATGTACAGCATACATACATACATCCATACATACTGCGTACGACGTAGGGATAGGTAGGTCCTCTGAGCGCCTTGCCTTGCCGAGAGTCTGAGCGCTCAAGTGCACATCTGAACATCTCTGCCGCACGGAGGCAGTACTGCCCGGCTACCTGACTTACGGGGTGGCGGTCTAGGTAGAGAACCGGTCAGACTGCGCCACTGCAGCGTACTAGCCAGCAGGTGATTCATTACCTAGGAAGGGTGGTCATAGTACGGATGCACAGTTGGAAGTGCTCTTCCTTCTTTACCACATAACGTGGAAGTATCACTGGGAGACAAACAGGGGCAATCCTGACGACGCAAAGGAGGGGTGAGAAAGACCCCACCCGGCATTCTGGCCAACCACCAAACCCTTGCTCCCTCCCCCTTTAACTGACCCAGGCGATCCCCTCTCTCACACAGTACTGGGATACTATCGCACACCGTACCAGTGTACCTGGCTCGGCCATCCGGCCTGCTGCACATGCAAGGTTCCTTGCCACAATTGTCCTGTACCCTGTGTTCTCTCACTCAGTATTCCGTTCGATGGAACGCTGGGCCAAATCGATACGTAAAATGTCTCCTTGCGAATATTAATCTATGCCGGCCCCGGTTTTTTTGTTTGGGTTCCTTTCATAGCCTCAGGACAATTGATTTAATACTTGCCATTTCCAGCGCGACCAGACCCATCTAATTTGGACCCTTTTCTTGTTGGTACCTCTTGATTCGAAAGCTGGTACGGCTCTCCCACCCGTCACCGCCTGCATGCTTATTCCTGCAACTGCTGCAAGACAATTGCCACTGCCACTGCCACTGCGACTCCGACCCTCGACCCTCGTCCACATTCGAAACCCACGGCGAGCGCGCAAGATTGGCAATGGCCGGTGCCTAAACCAAAGGAAAAAGACAAAAGGAGAGCATCGGATCGAGAAGAAGAGGAGGACAGGCCAACGACTGGACATCTTTGCAATTGGGGGTTCCCGACCCGGGTGCTTCACTGTCCGCTGGAGTGGACTGTTTAATCGGCTTCTCCTTCTGTGCCGCGCGCATACAGATATACGTTGGACAGAAATCCGAGGATAATACCCCTATAAACCGAGCCGTGTTGCGGCACGAGAGGCTCAACTCCAAGCTTGGAGAGCTGGGACCATCGCGAGACGGAACGGCGCAAGGGAAAATTACACAGACACCTCCTCCCACCTGGCACCACACCCGATTGTCTGGTATTTGGGAATTTTCCGGCCAACACCGTCATTGTCAGACTTTATTCTGCCTGCTTGCACACCCATGCCCTACCAGGTTGCTATAGTTCAGCAGCCGCATTGTTGATACGACATCTCTGAAACAGACCCCCCTCTCGCTCGCTACGCCGAGCCTCTACGACACACCCATCTAGGAATAGGCCCCCAAAGAAACCAGCAGGAAGGCAGGAACTGTTATAATCAACCCACGGACCTGGAAGATCCCCCAGGAAAGCCCAAGACCGAAGCCCATATTACCAAAAATCAACCTTGCGCTGCTCACTTTTAAACACCTCCAAAGTCGCAATCATCTCCACATGTTTAGTCGATCAAGCCAAAAGACGCACGGTATCCCCAGGCTCCAGAAAACTACACTTGACGACGGTCAGGTAGCGGCATTGCGAAAGCTTGGCCTGCTGGGTCTCGAATCAGCTAGGTCTACGGCCAGTGGGGGCTCTTGGAGGAGCGACTTTGACCGGCCGTCATACCCCGGCGGTGTTGCGACGTCCGCGGCGAGAGAGTCGTTCCCGGAGAAGAGTACGTTAACGTCGTTTTCGTGCTTGGTCCTTATGCGCTGTGACTGCGGTTTGCCACTAGTCTGTCATGTGGCCATGATGCAGGATTTGTTTGTGCTGGGGTGAACCGTTGGAGACTGACTCCTTGTCGTTAATGCAGATATTTCCATTACCACCGGTACTCTTCGACCCCCGTCGCATCGTTCCTCCCCCTCGGTCACTTCGATCAGGTCGCGGGAGAGCGCCTCGAGAGCGTCGTCGAGAAGCGCAATGAATACCGACCGCAGCAGGTCCCGCAGGGAGCGGACCTTCGTGGGCAGCGAATGCGCTGTTTGCGAGGAGCCGCTCGAGCACACCCTCCGCGGTGAGAGGATACTGCAATTCTCTTGCTTGCATGTCTCCCACGAGGCATGCTTCTACGAGTTTATCAGGGAATTCGAGTCGCAGTACTGCCCGGCGTGTAATGCGCCGCTACACCTCGACACCAGCAGGGGTGGTAATGTTCTGGATATCGGTGAGGACGCCGAGCGCCGCCGCTTCAAGACCCAAAGCGCGACCGCTGACAGGACTGCCGCAGAGAAAATCAGCAACATGGTCCGGTCAGCCTCTGTGAACGACTCGAGATCGCAGGGGACGCGGACTCCGACACTACCGTGGGACGACCAAACGGTGCGGCCACCAAGCCGGGGCTCCAACAACAGATCGGCGGGCATGCAAGCGAACGGGCGCGAATCGTCCCAGCGGAGAAGTGCCCGAGATAGCGCTCCGCTTTCGGATCGCTACACGGCACCTTCGAGGCATGCCCGAAGTGATAGTGAGGCGACCGGTGTCGCCTCATCCGGAGGGTATCCCGAGACAACCCAAAGCGGACCACCACGCCGCCACGACTACGACGTCCAGGCGATGGAGACGTCGATCGCCAGCCCGCGAACCGCCACGCGGAACCCAATCCCCGCGCCAACTGTGACCGTCAAGTCTGAGTTCCCGACCATCAACAGGTCACAGCAACAACAGACGCTTACTTGCCTTGTCACCATCGAAGTCCCAGACAGCCAGTGGCGGCCCGACCCAGAGGATCTCCAGGCCGTCCCGCCTTTGCCCCAACTGAGGCCTGAAGAGACTTATGCGGCAGCCGCCGCTGCGACAGCAGCAGCAGCGCCACCGTCACCAGCTCGCGTTGCGCCACGCTTCTATCCATACGAATCACCGGAGGTGTTGCAAGAGATGACTAACAACCTCAGGAATCGGGTGGAGAATTGGCACGGGCTTGATTTTAGCCGGTAGGGACTCGCTGAGCCTCGCATGATATTGTTTATATTTACACGCCGCTGACATGGTTGTTTAGGTTTGGCAAGCTGCGGCTGTATGGCACGCTCCGTGTGGGGAAGGACAAGGTGTCTTGGCAGGAGTTGGAATGCTTCCTATTCGCCGAGATGCTCATCTGCGTGAAGGAGAAGAAGAATGCCAACCCGCCACCGGCATCGTCGCAGTGGGATGACGATGCTGTTCCGCGCAAAACCACCCGCTGCACCCTCAAGGGGTCAATCCTCATAAAAAAGCACCTCAACGAGGTGACGGAGACGGGCAACATCGACGAGAACATCCTCACCCTCAGTTTGTCCGTCGCGGAGCTGCCACAGTTCCATCTCCGCTTCGAGAATAGGAACCAGGTCAAGCTGTGGAGGCAGGCCCTTGTCGATCTCAATGCCGTCGAGCGGTCTCCTGTCCGCAGCCCCGACTACGACCGCGGCGAGTTCTCTGAGACGGATGAAGATGACTGGCAGAGGACGCCGTCCTCCAACCGCCCTCAAAGGGTGTCGTCGCTCGCATCATCATGGGGCGGGGCAAGATCGGCGACTACCGCACCGACCGACTACACCAGCTTCGCGCGAAGTCCTCTGCTGCAGTCTGTCCATGTCCCTGTTGACGTTGTAGTTGTCGTCCCCATATCCGCATCTATGCAGGGCGTCAAGATCAATCTTGTTCGGGATGCCCTGCGGTTTATGGTGCACACGCTGGGCGAGAGGGACCGGATGGGCCTCGTCACCTTCGGCTCGTCTGGAGGCGGCGTGCCGATCGTGGGCATGACGACAAAGGCGTGGCAGGGCTGGGGCAACGTGCTTAACTCGATTAAACCCGTTGGCCAGAAGAGCCACCGTGCCGACGTCGTCGAGGGTGCGAACGTGGCCATGGACCTCCTCATGGGGAGGAAGTACAATAACCCCATTGCCACCATTATGCTCATCAGCGATGCATCGACGTCCGACGCTGACAGCGTCGACTTTGTTGTCTCGCGAGCAGAAGCAGCCAAGTAAGTTTCAGCTAAACACCAACACCAACACCAACACCCCCCGCCCCCCATCCGAGGGGCCTTTTGCAGCCAAGGTTTTATTTACTAACGATGACCAGGATTGCGATCCATTCGTTCGGTCTAGGCATGACCCACAAACCGGATACTATGATTGAGCTCTCGTCACGGACCAAGGCGTCTTATACCTACGTCAAGGACTGGATGATGCTCCGGGAGTGCCTGGCCGGATGCCTCGGCTCTATGCAGTCCTTGTCGCACCAGAACGTCAAGCTCAAGCTCAAGCTCCCGGAGGGATCACCAGCCAAGTTCCACAAGATCAGTGGTGCGCTGCAGATCACGAAGCGGGCGGCAGGTCGCGATGCAGAAGCTTCGCTTGGCGACCTGCGCTTCGGCGACAAGCGCGATATTCTGGTCCAGCTTGTCATCCTGCCTGACAACGCCTCCCAGGAGCAGCTTCCACAAGATCCGTGGGAGACTATAGTCTCGGGGCTCGAGGCCCTCGGCGGCTCTATGGACCAGGATGAGCAGAGGGTGGTGTCAGTCGAGGAAGTTCCCCTGATTCAAGCCGATATCACATGGGGTGACATCTTGAGAGATGGGACCACGCAGCACACGCGACCGTCTCTCCTTGCAATCACCATGCTACCTCCATCAGCAGGCCAGAAGAAATCATGGGTCAACTCACCGCTCATCCCGCCACATCCCAGCATCGTGCAGCGGAGAATGGAACTGCTCACGTCCGACATGCTTACACGAGCCTTGACCCTGGTCAGCAGAGGCCAGCATGATCGTGCCCATACACTACTGAACGAGACGCGATCCATCCTCAAGGGCCTCGGAAAGGGCGGTCTTCCTCCAGTTCCACCCATGCTGTCGAGCAAATCCCAGCCCTCGACTCCGCACCCCCTCAGCGATACTTCCCCAACAACCCTGGGCACGCCGGAGAGGAAACACTCGCCTTCGCCGACGACATCCGCTACCTCATCTGCTATCAACGGCTTCCCTCCCCAGAGCATTTCCCGCAGCCGATCCAACGACGGCCTCACGCTTGGCAGCATGGGAACAACGCCCGGTATCGATGCTAGCACCGTGGCAGCCCTAGACGCGGAGCTCGAGTCCAGTCTAGAGTGGATCAACCACCCTGCAGTATTCGGACGCGATAGCCGGAAGGCAGTCTTGCAGGCTATCGGAGTCATCAGCTCCCAGAGGGCCTTCACCTTCCGGACGCCCATCGAGGGCCTGTGGGCTGACCGTGTCAGGGGTGTGAAGAAGCTCACCGAGAAGAGCCGGGAGTGGCACGAGGAAGGGGGAGTCGAAGGCGGCATCATGGAGGAGGCTTAAGGTCCAAGCTCGTCGCCCTCACCCTCTAACCTTCGCGGTCCGTCATCTTCTCAATCGCCCCCATACGACCTGGCCCGTTTACTGGCCTATTGGTGCGGCTCATTCATTACATTGATCGCCGTATCACCTTTTCCTTATTTCATTTCGCCTCTTCCCGATTTGAGCATCCTTTAGACACCATAGACGAGGGACGATTCGCGACGGATACGATGGCTGAACGTGCTCAATGCCCCAAACTCACGCCTCCCTTTCCCCGGGTGGCAAAAACGAGAAAGAAAAAAGAAGAGCGAGTAAAGGCGTCTTTCTTCCCTACGAAACAACCATATGATAGGATCGGATGGTTATGCTTCTAGTTCAGTCATTACCTAGCGTATATACCTCCAACCAGACTTTGCGCGCGGGACAAGCTGACGATACACTCGGATTTCCTTTATTTTATTTCTCTTTTTTTCTCATCAGAAGATACCATTCTCCCTGTTGCGATTTTTACACCTCATAGCAAGCACCGATTTGCGGGGCCAATGGCGGCTTTCGCTTTTTTGCTTTTTGCGCCGGCGTACGTCTTATTTCTCGCTTGATCTACCGCCCTGTGCCTTGGCCGGGAATGGTACGGTTTTGTGTCATGTTGGTCGAACTTGTGGGTATAGCGAGCGGCATGGAATGGGGGACCATCCTCGCTGTACGTACGGAGGAGGTTGGTTATTATCTGTACAATATCTACCTAGCCCCCCCAAGCTGGGACGTGCGACCGTTGGGCTCCCGATATATGTACTTTATCTGGGTAGCCATAGATACCGGAAACAATGGCCTAAAAACGGCGAACTTTTCGTATGTTATTATCAATATCCTTTTTGAGTACTGTCGTGAATGGCCCAAATACGCGATTCTAGCTGTCCCAGACCTAGTCGTCGACCCTCTGCGTGAACCAAATCAACATATATATGCCTTTGGCTGATGTCTACTACGACGTATGTACGAGTCCATTCTGTCGTCTGCAGGAACATAAAACCTTTCAATAAGCGGGGTGTGAGCCGATTGTCGGCGAAGATGGCTACTGTACATATGAATGAGCCAAAGTTATCAGATCGGGAAGATAATCGCCCGCCACTCAGTGGCCAATCAGTGCCCTCCGGGCTCGGACCATGACCCCTGCAAGTCCAGGTTAGCGCTCCCCAGAACCAGGACACAGCAGCCGCTGGTGCATAGAACTCTGTCATACTTTAAGTAAGGCACAGTAATCCTATTAGTCGCAAAGTAGATGCGGAACCCCCAATGTGGCGGGACATTCATTATTCACGGCTACCAGGCTCCAGAAAAACCCCCCATGCACCATACTGAATCCCCTTGGCACCTCGTTAGGAGTGATGACTGCAACCTTTAGGCAAATGCCTTCACAATCTTCTATCTTTTCAGCCGACAACGCGTGGGAAGAATGGATGGAAATGCCACCCAGAGACCGACGACGCCCGCAAAGTACGATCGGAGACAGACGGACTATGGTACCCTTTCCATACAGCACGGCGAAGCGTCGACCAACTGCTTCGAGACCCAGGATGGAGTCAGAGTCATCGAGGCCGTATCCATGACTTGGACGAAATGGGGTCTTATATTTGCATATTTCAGGTCAGTACTGAGCCCACCACCCACGCTCGGAATAGGGGGAACTCCAAAAAAAAAACTGATCCCGCTATGGCCGCAGTGTCTTCCTCATGGCCTTCAGCACCAGCCTCGAAGGCCAGGTCACCTTTTCGCTCCAGGCGTTTGCTGTCAGCTCGTTCAACACCCACTCTCTGATCTCGACGGTCTATGTCGTGCAGGGAGTGGTCAATGGTCGGTAGTCCTTCCTCGGCGTGGTGGTCTGCCTACGATGCAAAACGGCTCACACAGAAAATCCATAAAAACACAGCCGTCATCAAGTCGCCGATGGCCAAGATAGCAGACGTGTTCGGCCGCTTCGAGGCCTTCTCGATGTCGATCGTGCTCTATGTCCTGGGATACATCCAGATGGCATGTTCTCAAAATGTCGAAACTTACGCATCGGCGCAGATATTCTACTCGGCTGGCTCCACCGGTTTACAGATCCTCCAGCAGGTCTTCATCGCCGACACCAGCGACCTTCTCAACCGAGCCCTCTTCTCGAGTCTTCCGGACACCCCGTTTCTCGTCACGGTCTGGATCGGCCCCGTCATCGGCTCTGCTATTCTGTCGGTTGCCTCATGGAGATGGGGATATGGCATGTGGGCTATCATTCTGCCGGTCGCGTTCATACCCCTTGCTCTTAGCCTGTTCATAAACGGTCGGAAGGCTAGGAAGCTGGGCCTAGTTGCAAAACGACCCAAAGCTCGGAGCTTCTCCCGCTCAGCTCGGAAGCTGTTCGTGGACCTCGACGTCGTGGGGATACTCCTCCTCAGCTCCGCATGCGCGCTGATCCTCATCCCCCTGACGCTAGCCCCGAGGGTGGAAAACGGTTGGCGAAATAGCAGCATCATCTCCATGATTGTGCTCGGCTTCGTCTTCCTGGTTGCGTTTCCCATTTTTGAGTCTCGGCCTAAACTGGCGCCTCACCCTTTGATACCCCTGAATCTGCTCAAGTCTCGTACTTTCTGCGCCGGGTGCGGGATCGGCTTCTTCTACTTCAGTAAGCCCCAAACTCCCCATGTGCACACATTCGCTCTTCCCCTCTGCCCGAGAAAGGGATGAACTAACCTCAACAAGTGGTCTTCTATCTGTCCGTCCAGCCCTATTTCTACAGCTACCTCCTGGTCGTGCACAACAAATCCGTCGCCACGGCCGGCCACATCATGCAGATCTTCTCCTTCTCCTCGACCGTAGCCGCCGTCATCGTGTCCCTCGTCATCAAGTACACGCGGCGCTACAAGCCCTTCGTGGTGGGCGGCTCCCTCGTCTACCTGGCGGGCATAGGCATGATGATGCGCACGCGCACGCAGGACGCGTCCGTCGCCCGGCTGGTGGGCGTGCAGATGGCCGTGGGCGCGGGCTGCGGCGTCCTCAACGTGCCGGCGCAGCTGGGGGTGCAGGCCAGCACCCGCAGCCACCAGCAGGTGGCGGCCGCCACGGCCGTCTTCCTGACCCTCGTCGAGATCGGCGGCGCCGTCGGCAGCGCCATGTCGGGCGCCCTCTGGTCCCGCCTCGTCCCCGCCAAGCTGGCCCTCTACCTGCCGCCCGAGGCGGGGCCGCGGGCCGACGACATCTACGCGAGCGTCGTCGCGGCGCTGGCGTACGATGTCGGCTCGCCCGAGCGGGTGGCCATCAACCGCGCGTATCAGGAGACTATGACGGCGCTGCTGGCGGTGGCCGCCGCGGCGTGCGTGCCGGTCGTGCTGCTGAGCTTGCTGATGGAGGACCTCAGGCTCGACGGCGTGCGGCAGGGCGTCAGGGGGAGGGTCATCGGCGGAGAGGTCGTCATCGGCGGCGGTAGCGGCGAGCAACTTGTGTCGGCGCCGCGTGGGCGGAGGGGCCGGTGGGATCCTAGGGGTTGGTCATTCCGCAGGTCGGATAGCGAGGAGCGCCTGGTGTGATCTGATTTTGAATGTGGGAAGCATGCGAGAAAGGCACTTGGGCGGCGTTTAGTTCGGGATTAGAAATACCAGATGATACATTAGGCTAGATATAGAGATATATAGATAGATTTACCCACTATTTTAAGAGGTAAACACTAGGTGAAGCAAAGGTCCTAGGGCATCCGTCAAACGACTTCCCTAAACCGGTACCATCTTCGTCTCGAAACGGAATCCTGCGTCGTTCAAACGATCGATAAAGCCTTGGCCGAGGCACGCGGGCGTGTAGATGCCCCCTTCAAGCTCGATGTCATCTTCGAGAATGGTCGATGCCGCTTGGGCAGCCAGCACACCAGTCACTGGGAGGAGCTTGTTAGCTGACTGAGCCGCGTTTCGAGGCAGAGCAACCGCCTCGAAAAGGGAAAAGATGAAATGTAATGGCATGAAAAAAAAGAGAAAAGGAATAACATGAGAGGAGTAGGGTCCACTCACAATAATACATACTCCTCCCCCTAAAAACCGCCCTACAGTACGCCCTCTCGGCGACCGGCCCCTCGACATCGGGATCGGCGATGCCACGGAACTCGACCTCGTCCTTGGTGCCGTCCTCGTCGCTGGGGCCCTCGCCGGGCTGGTAGACGAACCGGGCGACCAGGGCGCGCAGCGGCCGGATGGCGAGCGTGAGGCCGAGCAGGAGGATGCCGAGGTGGATGGCCACGCCGGAGAGCCAGTTGCGCGGCTTCATGTGCTCGCGGAACGAGAAGTTGGGCCCGTAAGGAGCGGGGAGCGAGCCCCCGGCCCCCTGCTGCTGCTGCTGCTGCTCCTGCTGTTGGAGGATGCCCCAGGTGCGCTCGACCAGGGCGCCGTCTGTGCGGTTCGCGATCGAGGTCGTCTGCAGGCCCAGCGTCGGGTACGTCACCAGTCCCGACATACGGGAGAGGAGGGACCGCGGGGGGGAGGGGGCGCCGGGGTTAGGGACGGGGGAGAGCGAGTAGGGCCGGTAGGCGTCGCGGAGCTCGCTGAGGGTGAAGTTGTCCAGGAGGGTGAGGGCGGAGGCGAGGGTGCCGCCCGAGGGTGTGCCGCTGGTTTGGTTAACGAGTTGATTCTCCCCTTTTGGCTGGTAGATGGATGGGATGGGCTCAACCAACCTGATGTTGTGCATGGAGACGGTCACGTCCCGCGTCGGCGCGGAGAACTTGGACCGCAGGGCCGAGGCCAGGGACAAGGTGATGAGGTCGGCAGGCGCGGACTCGATGCCGATCTGAGGGAGCATGATGGCGCCGCTGGCCTTGGCTGCGCCCTCGTACTTCCGGATCATCCTCGCGACATATGGAACCTCGCCGGTGACGTCAAGATAGTGGGTGCCGTTCTCGGCACACGCCTTGAAGGCGTGCTCCCCGTGGATCCCATAGGGGCCGACTGTGGTGATGAGGATGAAGGTCTTCTTGGCGAGAGTGGCCAATTCATTCTCATCGAGGCTACAGACTTCGATGTCTGTTCCATTTTATTCAGGGGTTTCATATGGTTAGTCTTATATATCCGACTCAGGAGGGCCGATTTCCAGGTTACAAAAGGCGTCGGAATGAGAACCGTAGGTCCATTTCCCTTGTGTTCCAACTTACCAGGCTGCCGGCGATCGGGATTCAACAACTTGCACTTTGCAACGACCTGCTCTAGCTTGTCCCGAGAACGTCCTGCTACCGCCCAGCTCATATCTGTCGGTAAATGTGTCGAGATATGTTCTGCGGTGAGCTTCCCGGTGTAGCCCGTCGCCCCGAAGACAACGAGGTCATATTGACGGCCGTGTTGTCGGGATGGCATCTTGTAGGTTGCCGTAGGTCACTCAAGATGAATATTCCAAATTTCATACGGCATTGGACGAAAGGAAGGACTTGTCTAGATAGCCGACGGGGTTGGGATCTAGCTCGAAGCGGGCAGTTGAGACATGAATCTTGCAGTGCTACTCATCAGTCCATTCCATACCACCTACTACCAATGAGGTCACCTAAATCAGCCCATCAGAAGATCGGCATCGAAAGTTCATAGCTCAAAAAAGGTCGTCGATCTGGGCTTGGCTCTTGGCAGCGATATTGCTGTCGGTTTGGCTAAACGTAGCTTCCGGGCCGGCAACAGCTGTCGACGATAAGCCCCACCTGAACCCGCACAATCCCAATTTTCGACAAAATTATTACCACTACTGGCGAAATCTGACCTCTTCAAGACTTCGACAACGCGAGAAATTACCAACTCATCCTTCTCCGTAACACGACACAACCCCTACCGCAGCCATGTCTAAGGCACGTATCCCATTATCATTGCGTGCCTATACCTCTACTGACTCCCATTTAGCGAACCAAGAAGGTCGGCGTGACCGGCAAGTACGGCACAAGGTAAGAAACCACTGCTTTTCCCGTCTCGAGCGACTGCCAAAAGCGAAAATACCTGGGACGATCGCGTACGAAATACTTGTCGAACAAGATGCCTTGAGACGTTTCACACCTAGAGCGCGATTTCAACAGCATGTATTGATTGTCAAGAGGAGGAGCGTCGCCAATGTGGATGATCCGATGCCTCGCAACATTGATCACAACCCCTCACCGACTTACCCGGCTGCAAGCTGAATATCTTGGGTTCGAAATAACCGAGAGAACACGGGCTGACTGGAATTGTTCGACAGATATGGTGCTTCGCTGAGAAAGATGGTCAAGGTTGGTTCTCTTCCGACACCAGATGATGATGTCTTGCCCCGTTACTCACAAATCGTCTAGAAAATGGAGTAAGTTGTCTTTGCTCGACGCCTACCGAACCGCCGTTTCTCTTCCTCTTTAGCCGCGCGCGAGAACGAGGGCAGCCGATTCGAGTTGGACCTGGATTCGAGGGTCATAATTTGTACCACGCTCTTGCTCGTATGGCCTCCAGTGTGTTTAGGGGTGGTGCCTGTGGGAGCTATTGGGCTCGTCAGTGCGAGGACTGGTATCGATGGGTTTCCAACGAATTGTCCATCTCGAATCGGCTATGTCTCGATCTTCACGCGGCCAGATGGAAGAGCAGACGGCCGGCCGTCTTAGACCTCGCTAGACCCCTGCCGAAGCGTGGCGCACACAACTGACGCTATCTCTCAGAATCTCTCAGCACGCCCGGTACACCTGCACTTTCTGCGGAAAGAACTCTGTCAAGAGACAATCGACCGGCATCTGGGGCTGCAGGAGCTGCAAGCGCGTGACTGCTGGTGGTGCCTACACAGTTTCGTACGTATACTTGGCGCAAAACCCAAGGGCGACTCTTCGGTGGCTAACGGGACTTGCAGTACTCCGGCTGCCGCCGCCATGCGGTCGACACTCCGACGACTGAGGGAGATTGCGGAGGTTTGATTGGTGCCAACGAGGACGAGGGCTGTTTGTTGCATTTCGGTTTCGGTGTACCGGCAAAAGGATTCCACAGATAAACTGAGAGGGCAGCAAATGAGACGACATTGAATAAGATGCGAATCTCAGTGACGCGAGAAGATGACTGCCTACACCATACTTAGATTCGGGACGATAATTCGATGAGAAGGCGAGGCTGCCCACGAAAAGAGTGGCGATCGCCTCATTCATTGCAATCCCATGGCCGCCTTGCCTGCTCAACCGCCCTGCCCAGACTCGATGTGCCAGACAGCCTGCTCCTTTAAGCTGAAGAGTCATCCTGGTCTGGGCATGGATGCCTAATGGGAACGACTCTTCACTACACTTCACTTCACTTCACAACTTAATCGTTCGGAGGCCCGAGGCTTAGGATGCGGATGCGTTTGAAATTATGTCTGATAAGTTATGTGTCTCGGTGTCCCGATGTTTGTGCCTGTCTTTACCTCATTTACCTTGCCGGACAGTTGCCGGAGAACAGAGACACACCCCAACCAGGTAAGGTTAGGGGAATACGCCTATCGGAGGAACCTCCGCTTCCTACGAGCCCAAGTATGCTGCCTGTGTGTGTGGTGGATGCTACAGAAGCAGACAAAGCAGGCACCCCTCACCAGCCAGCCACCCGTGCATGTCGCGTAATCGTCATGTTCTCTCTGCTCACTCTGCAATCGGTGCCTGACTAACGAGAATCCACGTCGAGTCATCTTGTGGGTTATTAACTTACCAGGTACCTTAATAAGTAGGTAGGCGGGTGGCCCGGTGACTGAGACAAATTGTAGTCTGGCTATTAGCCAGTGCAGACTATTAAAGGGGGCAGCATGACAGAGCAGCCAGCTCATTGTGACCAAATGGCTGGAATTGAGGGGGCGCCACGGAAAGACCAGGTGCTTCCTCCGACGGAGTCACTGGCAGGCTGACCCGTCAGCTGATTGGCCCCGCTTCGTCCAACCCGCTATCTTCTGGCGCTGGCCTTTTTTCTCCAGAGCCGTCCCACTTTTCGCACGGTTTCGACGCACCCCTTCACTTTTCAGCCCGTTCAACGAGAGAGCCCGTTCTTTTCCTTTCCCGCAACAAGTTTCCTCTTTACTCGCTTGCGCTGCAGACGTTCTCCATTTCCCCGTCCCCCCCTTCAATGAAGAAAGGAGGTACTCGGGTACTGTTCCTCGCCAAGCCCCACCTTTTGCTCCTGCATATCCGCATACCAAATCGGTTGTAGTAAGCCGCAAACTGGCCTTGCTGCAACCACTTACACAGAGCTACAAGCTTGAACCAATTCCCACTAAACCATCCCTATCCCATAACCCCTACGACTGCTGCCACCCACCACCACCACCGCCACCGCCGTCGCGGGCTTAGCGAAGAAACAGACGAAGTACTCTTACCGACAACAGTCCACCGCATTCAAACCATCATTTTTCGCCTTCTTCACCCTGCCACTATCTCCAACCCCAAGACAACTTATATGACTTCGACATTCCTGCCACATCTTGCATCTTCTAAATTCGCTCGAAATCGCCATTTACCATGGCCGATCAATGCATTGTCTGTCTAGAAAATCTAGACACCGAGCCATCATTGACCCCACAATTACCAGCTGCCGTCGTCGATTCCTCGGACCCGGCAACAGCGGCAGAGACAGCAGCACCTGCTGAAGACTCGAGCTCCAGCAACAGCGACAAAATAGCCCCCGAGAATAACAACAGCAACACCAGTGATGTAGCTTGCATTCAGGTCTGCGGCCACATGCTGCATGACATTTGTTTACGAGAATGGAGCGAAAAGGCAAACAGTTGCCCCATTTGCCGCCAATCCTTCCATCTAGTCCACGTCTATGACAAAGTTGGAGGTAAGTTGCTTTCTTGTTGAATGCAAACCCCGTCACAACGCTAATTTCCGTGGTGTACAGGCACCCTTCTGTCGTCGTACGAAGTCGAGGATAAAAAACAAGTTGCCGAGTTTGACCCACAGGCTTGGCTAGACGAGAATCCAGAGGAGGAAGAGCTGGATACCACACCATGCCCGGTCTGCAACGCTGCGGACCAGGAAGACCTTCTCCTCCTCTGCGATGGCTGCGATACCCCGTACCATACATACTGCATCGGTCTCGACAGCGTCCCCCATGGTGCCTGGTTCTGCATGGAATGTGTTGATCACCTGGGTCCCGAGGTGGCAGCAGCTGCGCAGCCCCCTTCCCCCAGAGCCGCGAACAGATCTAGCTTCTTCCCACGTACCCAAGCCAGCGTGCGACGGGCCCGACAGCGAGCTCGGTCGGATCAGTGGCAAGGGGCATGGGGCCAGATAGCTGGTCGGATCTGGGATGCCCTGAGCATCGACCTCGACTACCACGACGACGACGATGATGCCTTGGAAGATTACCGTCGATCACAGCAGCTTCGGGAGCGGGAGCGCCAGGAACACCAACGCTGGCAGCAGCGACTTAACATAGCTAGCCGCTTGGGAGCTCGGGATGTCTTCGCCAATAGCATCCAGAATGTCTTCGCCCCTCGAGTCAACCCGACACCGCGTCCACAGCCCGTTGAACAGACACGCGAGGAGAAAAGAGCGTGGGGTGCCTTCGAGAAAGCCAGGGACAGCGGCGAGTCAAGCTCGGCCGCCCGGAAACGGAAATCGAGGTCCATTACCGCCTCACCGGGCGAGCCTCGCCAAGAACCAGAGCGGAAGCTCAAGCGCCCACGGACCCGGCGGCTACCAGTCCAAAACTGTGAGGCTTCATCATCCAAGCCATCTCCTGCTGCACCATCGAATGAGGCCGATGCTGGCGGGTCAATATCTCACCAAAGACCCCAATCGAACGGAATATCTCCACAGCCAACTGGTGGCGCTCCATCGTTCCTGTCTTCCTTGCTCAAAGAAGTTGAACTGAGCACCCCGTCCGACGACGAGAATATCCGACAACAGTTTGGACCCATACCAGGCGCCAACGATATGTCGTCACCGGCGAGCTCTCCTTCAGCGTCCGGGTATAGCAGTCCCCGGGCATCATCGATCACTCCACCTCCACGCCGTGATGCCCGTCCAACCTCACCTATCATGAGCTTGAGCTCCCACATTGCACCCGTATACCCGCCAGCAAATTATTCGCCGACGCGATCCTCGCCCGATAACAGCGATTCTGAGCATCACAGCCACCGAGCGGGTGGTGCGTCCGAGCTGCGTCACCCACGACCTCGGCGGGCACACCCTGCCAAATTACCCCGCTCCCAGGATGTTTCACCTGCCAGGAGCCCGCTGCCCCTCTCGATGAAGGAAAGCATAAGTGGCATTGTTCGCAGTGCCCTCAAGCCGCACTGGAAGTCCAGCAAGCTGAGCGCTGAGCAGTATGCCTCCATCAATCGGGATGTGTCTCGGAAACTTTACGAAGGTGTCGCCGATGGGACATCGATCGACGATGAGGCCAGACGAACTTGGGAGAAGATGGCTAGGAAAGAAGTTGCTCGGGCGGTCTCAGAGATCAAGGCGTGATTTATACCCCTTCGCGGCATGCTGCTGGTACTGCAGCTTTCCCCCCATCCTTGAGCAAGCATATTTTTTTATTTTTTTTTGACGTGGAATGACGGCGACTATATCTATATAGGCATAGCGGGCGTTTTCAGGGCATGGACGACGAGCGGGCGAGCCCAGGGTCGCATCTGGAGGGATACCCCGGCGTGGGAACATATCTGGATGGTTTATGTAGGTATGCAAGGGTTTCTTCGGGCGTCTCGTACTCCTAGCATTGCTTTTATCTGAAGCTGCTTCGGCAGCCCTCTTAACAAATATTATAATGATCGTCTCGCGATGTCCGTCCTTGTGAGGAAGCGTAGTTCTATCGAACGTGCAGCGGCTGTATCTTCGTGCGCGATGGGTTTGCAAGTGGAGACACGGTTAGCTCGTGCAGGGGAGGAGCAGATTTTGCACCACCGTCACGAAAATTCTTGGGGATATTTTTGGGAATCGTCCAAGCGACCTGAATAGCTCTGGTCGCATGCGAGCAGTAAATATTAGCAGATCTCACACGGGCATGTCATGGAAAGAAAGAAAGCGGTCTCGTGGTATCGGCTCTCATGTTGCGGAGGCTAACATGGAGAAATGACCTTGGAAAAGGCGAAGTGTGAGCAGAATCTATCTAACAGCAAACCCGGTGGAAGAGGCTGCCACGTAAATTGGGCACAGGCACCGCTAGCGAATAAGACTGCTCTAGGAATCACTCTAGGCACTCTATAAATGATCAGGACGTTTTGGAGGTAGAGAAACTGGTCTTGATGATAAGGATTTGTGCCGTAGAGGAAAAAAGAGGAGGAGGGAGAAGGTTCCAACCGGGCACACGGTTATAGGGAGGAAAATTGGGCGGATGTGGATTTGCACGTGCAAGGTCATGTGCCTTTAGTTGGGTGGATCCTCAAAAACCCACTGCACGTGCTCCAGCTGGAGCGACCAAAAAAGTTCACGAGCTCGAGGAGCCAGAAGAAGCAGCAACTGCGTGAGCTCCAAGACAGGGTTGACAAAACAATTGGGCCGCCAGTCGAACATAATGGCTGCCTCAAGTAGAGGAGGGCGGGCTGTATCAGCATTGCTGAGAGGTATGCTTTGCAAATATTTTCCTCCTGCCCAACCTGCTTCCCCCCTGAGGGCGTTGGATCCGCTAACAAGCAGCAAGCAGGCACCTTCAGAATGTGCCCCCAATGCGCTCGAAGCACCCAATTGCCCATACACCGCTTCTACTCGGCAGGAGCCGCCGCCAGCAGCCCGACGATCCAGCCGCCGACGCCTGGGATGCCGCTCCCGCCGACGGACGTGTCACCGGCGACCCCCGTCCTACCGCAGCACCCGCGGTCGCAGTACCGGATCAAGTCGGGCATCATCCTGACGCGGGCGCCGCTCCTGACGCGGGCGCCGACGCCCTTCGAGGCGGCCTTCTTCCTGTACCAAAAGCGGCTGGACGAGCGGCTGGCGGCGCCGTTCCGCAAGGGCTTCTACTTCAAGCTGGACACGCCCGCGGAGCTGGACTGGCGGCTCAAAGTGCGCGAACGGCACGGCGTCGCCGCCCGCGACGTCGGCAGGTACAACCCGCGCGGCCGCCTGGCGTGGAACGACGAGCTGCTGGCGGGGAGCCCCGTCTCGGACCCGGCGGCCGTGGCCGGGGCGCTGGTCCGCGACGCGGAGATGCGCGTCAGCGAGGACGGCGAGGAGATCCCTGAGGAGGATCGCGTCAAGGTCGAGGGCCCACTGCCGAGGCGGACGGCGGCTGATGAGGCGGGGGATGCGACGAGGTTGGATCGCGAGCTGGATCGGACGCTGTACCTTGTTGTCAGGAGGGGGGAGGATGCTCCCTGGGAGTTCCCGAGCGGGGATGTGCTGACCAGCGAGAACCTACACGAGGTGAGTTCCAATGAGCCCCATGATTGGGAAGGCTGTGGCCTTTGAATTTTGACTGACGACGCTTCAACAGACGGCATCGCGGATACTGGCCGAGTCAGCCGGCGTTGACATGAACACATGGATGGTCGGCCGAGTGCCCGTTGCGCACATTGTGACTAAGCCGGTTTTCAAGGAGGACTCGTCGCTTCGGAGGCGTGGGGAGAAGGTGTTCTTCCTGAAGGGAAGGATCATGGCAGGGCAGGCCGACCTGACCAACAATACCCAGGGGTTGACCGACTTTAAGTGGCTTACGAGGGATGAGCTCAAGGAGGTTCTGCCCGAGGAGTACTACCGCGGTGTGAGGAACATGATGGCTGAGAGATGAGCGCGTTTGTGTGGAAATACTAGGACTGTATAATAGGTGTATACTTAGGTTGTCTGTATCGGGACCCAAGCAAGCATATAGAAGAGGCCGCGTGTCACTCTCAGTGCCTCAGTGCAACGTCATGTGCGACATTGTTTACCATTCTAGGTAGCTCAAGTCTGACCCGTTCGATTCTATTGCTTTTCCCACCTCCCTTTCTGAATCTGCGTAAACCAGGACCAGGGGTTACTACTCGAAACAAATCCTAATCATTACGATGCTTCCAAACGCACGAATATTGCGTCCACTCTGCCAGTAACACCAATATCTCCCTTTTCCTTTCCCTATCAAAGCAGCTTGGCCCCGGACAGGTCCAGAACCCCCGAGCCGCCCACCCGGAGCTTATTTCCGAACCTGCCCCAGAAGGCCGTGTCCCAGGCGGGGAGGACCCAGTCATCACCCCCAGCTCGGGCCAACCCGCGGCGGGGCTCCTCTTCCTCCTCTTCGTTGTCGTCGTCATCGGGGAGGCGGCGGCGGCGGCGGCCTGTCGTGGGAGTCGCGGCCGCGACCGCGATCGCCTCTCGGGGCTGCTGGCTCGGCCGGATGCTGCTGAAGCAGGCGGGGAACCGCTCCGGGGCGCGGGGGGGCTGGTTCCGCCACGAGTCGACCCTGTAGGCCCGGCTGGGGCCGTGCTCGGATGCGGGGCCAGGGGCCGCCTTCTGGGCCCAGGTGCTGGCCAGCTGGGCGAGGCTGGAGGAGGTTTCGAATGGTGGTGGTGGTGGCGGCTTCCCGGGAGCGGCGGTGGGTGGGTCGCACCAGGGGGCGAGGTAGGAGGCGTGGCGGTCCGGCTCGGGATCGGAGGGCGGCGGCATCGGTGGCGCTGGGAGGAGGTCGCGGGATGAGCCTACTTGTGCCTCTCTGGTACCCCGAACCGGGAGCACAGGGACTCGCAGAGCCTGTTCAGGGGCAGGTTGGGCGGCTGGTCGGAGAGCCACTTGAGTCTGCCTGTTTCCGGCGGTTAGTTTCTCTCTCTCTCTCTCTCTCTCTCTCTCTCTCTCTCTCTCTTCGATATGCACAAGCTAGGGTACTGACTGGTTTTGACCCAGCACGGAAAACGGATTGAGGGCGGCGAATGCGTGTTTGAGACGGGCCTCCGAGTATTTCGAGGACCGGGAAACCAGGGAGGAAGAAGAGGCACCGGGAGCATCAACCGCAGTGGCGGGATTGGTGGTGTAGCCCAAAGAGCCGCTTTGAACAGCAGGGCCAGCAGGGACAGCCAGGTTTGTCGGGTCCTGGGCTAATTTCCAGGACAGCTTGACAAATAGAACTGATGTCATCCAACCTATTTCGTTGTTAGATCCCACAGCTCATTTATTTCAGGGGCATAGATGGGGGAAGCCTTGGGTGCTTTGATGGACCAACACCGCCGGCATCAGAGGCAGCACCATAACCATGGGAATAATCGAAGCACACGAAAAAGATACTCACTGTCATATCCCGCCTGATGGGTGCAGACCCTATCATATCCAAACCCAGCCTCGTGTATGAGCACTGGAGTGTACTGGTCTCGCACCGATCCAAAAAGCTCCTCCAGATTCTCATCCCCTACCATAGCGTGATCATCTCGAGAGCCGAGGTGCTTGGTATCGGCAATGCGAGGGAACAGGGCGTGTATCTCGCACCTGAATGCATCTACTGTCGCTGGTAGAGGACCAATGAAGGTCTGGAATATGAAGCAAAGGTCGAATAACTGGTTGTGTCCGACTAGGATAGGGGGCTGTGCCTTCAACGTTGCCTCATATTGTTTCAGATCTTGTGCTAACTTGGAGGCCACATTGGCAAGACTGGCCTTGTCCTTTCCAGTGACGAGCCACTGGGGGTCGATACTCTTGGCAAAGTCCCCGCCCACAAGTGCTTCTATCACCAACCTGAAACCTGTGGATGATATATGAGTATAAAAACTCGATATGGTTAGGGATAGGGGGATCGTAAGGCCCTGTTACTCACCGCTTTGTCTGGCTACTGCAGCCTTTCGCTCCTCCACCTCCTTTTTCCAGTGCTATAGGGCTAAGGTTAGTGGTGAAGTTATCGCAGCAGATGGAGGCAATCAATGCAAACCTTCTCCTCCCGCTCTGCATCTAGCATCACAACCTGCATGAACAGGTTGCTGCATTTGGGATAGGCCTTACAGGCCGGGAATTCGGTCTGGACCAGCTGGAAAATGAGTCTGGTCTGGAGGCGGTTCAGTCTGCCACCGTGTGGATTGGAGATGTTGACAAAATGCCCCTATATTCCACGCCCCGTCAGTCTCAGGAACCACCAGGAGTTTGTGCATCCCAAAAGGTTTACTCTTTCGGGCTGACCCAGCCAAGACAAGATACTACTTCTTGCTGAGCCGTAGAATTTCCTGGTCTCTTGGTCCTGGGTGACGATGTCCACCTGGTCAGCTGATTGCTGACCGCCACCATTCTGGAGGAGAGTGTCGTTCAGTTCAGCAACCTCATGTCTACTGAGGTAGTAGACACCATCCTTGAAGGCCTGCTCAAGCTGGAAGCCGTGGGATTTGAGGAACAGCATCGAGCGGTATGAGAAGGAGACCGTTCGGTCAAGGACCTTTGCCAGCAAGATCTCCGAACTGTCATTCCCAGCAAACATGGGCGTGATTGAGAAGTTGAAGGATTGGGTGGTATATGCTTGTGTCTCACTTAGCACAAACTTGCGGGAAACAAGGCAGAGGGCCCGAGTATAGATGGGGAGAAACCGGCGTACCCTTGGCCAACTTGTCGTGGCGGATGCAGGTCAGTCCAATCTGGAGGATCTGATATCTTTCAGCGCTGTCTTTGGCCTGGTGGTAGACTTCATCTATCGTCGGCGTCAAAGAATTTGTAGCCAACTTGGATTTGATCCCCGTCATCTCAAGGTCAAAGGCGACATATGTGGCCTCCGAGATAGCCTTGAGCACCATCGGGAGACTGCTCCAGAAATTACTCTGGTTGATATCCATTGTAACCGGGTGCAGGGGGTTGTGAGGAAAAAAAGGGGGCTGTGAGGGGGCGGTTTGGGTGCTGAACACGTCTTGTTGATGACGGCGGATGGTCCACCTGGGGCTAAGACTGGTGAGGGGAGTAAAAGAAGTGCTGGGTATACCAGGCACGTGTGAATATCGGTGATGCTCGCTATACTGTACTTAGGGGATAAAGATAGGCAGTGCACCTGGTAGAGGAAAAGGTATTGAATATGAAGTGGTAGGGCATGTCGAAGACCTTTGAGCCAGATCAGGTTGAAAAAGCTGACTTGGATGCCGGTGTCTGGTAGAGGTTGAAGGATTGAAAATCAGGAGTATTTATTTTGTGGTCAGGGAAGAAGGAGGGCACATGTCACGGGGCGTGTTGAAGGAGAGGTGAGGGTTTTCCGGGGCCAGGGGTTGACCAGGGGAACTCGTGGCAGACGGCCTTGAGGAAGCCTAGAACTCTGCCACAACGAGAGCAAGTCTCCAAAGGGGATATCACAATACACCGTGCAACACAGTCTTTGCACGGGCTGGCTGAGTTTGTAATTTTCCACAAGAAAAAAGGGTCCTGCTTCAGACCTATCCTATGGAGGTCCTCAAGCAAGTAACATGGGCTTGGCAACTTGCCTTCGAACGCGTCAAGGTCATGGACACAATGATCTAAGCTTCTTTCCCCTTGCGTATCAAACTTCTGAGTTCCCTTTGCTTCCCAAAGCCTTCCAGTGACATTGTCATTGTTGAATGTTTGTCCCAAACAATCGTATCTTCCCAAGTGATCACACCCAGGAGTGCTAATCTCGGCAATCTCCGGACCCGTCTCAAATCTAAGCCCAAGTTTGCATGGCTTGCAGACGAACGAGAAGATGGAAGTTTCAGCCGTCTAGATGGCCAAGGCTTTTCTACCGATGATAGGGGGAAAGAAAGGGGAAATCTCTGCAGAGTCAATGGGTATATCATATGCCAGGACTGCCTCTGAAGCGAGTATATCCAGTGGCTTCACTCAAACATCAATCTGGATTCGCCTTCGCACTGAATCCCAATACCTTGGGATCGTCAAGAAATGGGGTTTCTGGTTCGCTATTGAAGACATGTATGGTTCTACTTTCTAGTAGCATGACAAGAGGTGGTTCTTCTCGAGTATGTATCTAGACATAGCGGAGGATTGCTAGGTGCACTGTCAGACAATGATGCTATGATTCATATGGCAGCTCTGGCTTACTTCATCGCAGCCTTTAGCTTATGCCAGTGGATAAATAATGGTCTTGAACATGCCTCACAAAGGAACAAAGGGAAATAGGATGTTGATACCAATAAGCGAGTCACAAGAGAGGATCCAAACAAGAGCGAAAAAGATTCCAAAATCTCAGCATGGTATAATATGACAGCATCTATGGGGTATTTAAGGCCCAAGAGCTGGTTTGCGAAGAAGGGAGTAAATGGATGGGCAAGCCACGAGAACCAGAGAGATATGGGACAAAATACAAAGGTCTCACTCAGCCTTAAACCGGAAATCCGATGGCCAAAACAAAATAAACAAGCATGAACAAGTCTAGTAAATACTTACTTGGGATGGGAGTGAAGCAGGGGTTTAGAGGTAACGGCAAGTGGTCGTCTGTGAGAAGAGAGGTGGCGGCTGTAAATGCCAGGTCATATGCATGCCCACGTGACAGACAAGAGCTGTAATGCCAAGCCCAGAAAACACCACGGTCACGGAAAATGAACCTGGCATGGTCCTAGCAGGTACCAGCCATTGGAGAATGGAGCCTTCGAGGGATGCTCCTTATTTTGAAATGATCTCTCATTCATGGCACATTAGACCAGGCCGTGGTCCAGATGTAGATCCAGGAGCTTCAGGCCATTCGCAAGATTTTCAACTACCTCTTCGCAGCAGCAGCTTTCTGCACGAGACTGATGCAGAGTGGGAGAACCCCAACACTTTGTGGGCATCTTGTCATCCTTTTTCGCAAGATCTACTATTGCAGTTGACCCTTGCTCAACCCCTTGGGCACTCGACTGGGCACTAGAAACGGTCTCTCTTCATCAGTGGAATAATAGAGTCCATTTTGGCCTGGACCTACGAAACAGAAAAGACATTATAGGTACATATGGGACATGACAACATTCGCCTTCATCTTGAAACTGAAGGTGGTGAGCCAGGGGATAGAACAACAATTTCAACAAGATTCCCAATATCCTCTCGCTCTGGTAACCCGCCTGCGATCAGGCTGTGACAAAGAATACGTGTCGTAATGACAGTTGATGATTTACAACACGACAGGAGATACAAGAACATCCAGTATACAGATGGAGCCAATATTACTCGTGACGGTCGGCAGCTCTCCCAACACGGAGAAACTCAATCATAACGACGAGGAGAATACGCGACGGTAACCCTTCTCGGGAGGGCGCGACGAGGAGCGAAAGGATTGGCTGGATCGATGCCGTCTCGGAAGCTTGCTTCCGGGGCCGGCTGACGTCTCCTCGGGTAATCCGGTATCCCGTACTCGCGATCCATCTCCATCTCCCTCTCCCTCTCCCTCTCCCTTGCGAGGATATCCTCCCGGATTTCCTCGTCCCTCAGCTCAGCCTCTCTCAGCTCGTCCTCCCTCTCTCTCGCAAGTTCTTCCCTGATACGGTCCTCTCTCAAGCGAGCCCCGACATCACGAACACGCCGCCTCTCGACCCGGCCGCCGTACTCGTCATCGAAATCAGCCGGATAGCGAGGGTCCTCGTACCGCCTCTCGTCGTCGAATCGAATATTCTCCAGGCGTCCGATCGCCTCTTGTTCCAAGAGGTCGATATTCCCCGGACGGACCAGCCGGACGCTCGGACGCCGCTGGAGCAGGCGTTGGCGCGGTCTCGGGGCCGGCAGCAAAGGGTCCTCCTCGAGCACGACGACGTCCGAGGCGTGCAGGGGCCGGTCGCTGAGCTGCCGCTGCCGCTGGATGATGCGGGGCCGGGCCAGCTGTTCCACGACCCGCTCGTGTGCTTCGGCCGTCGCGTCGGCCCGCCCGGCCTCGTAGAAGTCAGCCTTGAGCTGCTCGAGATCGACAGGCGGCAGGGACGGCAGGGACGGCAGGGGCGCGTATCTCGGGATCAGGGGGGACGGTGGGACGCCCGGGAGGAGTTCATCCGATATCCGGTGCTCGCCTTGCCCGCGGGTCTTGTGGGGCTCAAGGCGTGCCCGGACTCCGTAGTGGCTCGGCTCCTCGATGTATCGGCTGCCTTTCTTTGGGCCGCGGCTACCCTTGGGGTTGTAGGACGGCCCACTGGAGGTGTTGCTCGAGGCAGGAGTCTGAATAGATATGTCGTCCTCATCTGACGAGTCGTCTGTGTCGGAGAAGCCTGAAGTCCGGGAGCTAGACGGCGAGTGCGGTGCGGGGTGCTTCTTGTCGAACTTCTTGTCCTTGACTATTTGGACTGGTGCAGGCCCTCCTCCTCCTGGCTTTGGAGGCATTCCCTTGGGCCCAAAAGGGGGCGGCCCCCTAGGCCCAGGAGGGGGTGGTGGTGGCCCCCTGGGCATAGGTTGCTGGTTGTGGGGCGGGTGCTGAGGGTGCTGCTGGGGGTGCTGCTGGGGGTATTGCTGCGGGTACTGCTGAGGGTGGAAGACTTGCTGAGGGGGGAGGATCTGCTGAGGGTGAGGTGGCTGCAGTCGCCTCGCCATCTCAGCCTCTCGTTGCATGACAATGGCGATTGCGTCAACCTCGGGTCTGGGAGATCGCTTGTAGTAGGCGGTTATGGAGACCCTCTCCTTGCCCTTCTTCTTCCCGTCCTTGGAGCCCGAGGCCTTTCGTTTCGAATAGGTGCTGGTATTCCCCCAGTACTCTTTGCCTTTTCGGTCTCTGTATTCCTTTGGTCGTCTTCTCTCCCCCTTATCCCCATGCCTACCCCCGACCCTCTCCCTCTCGGTGCTCCTATTCAGGACTTTGACCTTGAGCTGATGGTCCATCTGGACCAGGACCGTCTGAAACCTTGCGTCGTGTTCTCGGTTGCTGAGCTCCTCCTGCGCCTTCTCCAACTGGCGCTGCTGGGCAGGGTTGAGCGATGCCTTCTTTTCGCCGATCGGGAGGGTGGTCTCATTCAAGAAGCGTATCTGATGAAGAACGTCCTTCTTGGCGATGTCATGCACCTCGGAGCGGATGACATTCTCCCAGGTGGGCTTCACCTTCTCCCCTTCGGCGTCGTAGCCGTCGGGGGGGTCGGCCCTCTCAAACCGGAAGACGGTGTATGTCGAGAGCTCTTCGCGAGCCTCGCTGTCCGTCAGACGCTCCTTCCGAATGTCCGAGACCTGCACGCGCGGGCCCTGCTGGAGCCGTACGGGGACGATCTCGCGAGGAGGCGGGGGCGGTGCAATTTGCTGCGATTGCATCGGCCGAGGCTGCGTGTTTTGTGGTCCGGGATTGACGTTGACAACATTCGGTCGCCCTTGGCCTGGGTAACCACCCTGTTGTTGCCGTGGAGGTGGTGGTGGAACTCCCCTGCCGGCCGGGGCACCTCCCTGTCGAGGAGGGCCGGCCCCCTTGGAGAGGTCAATGAAGTCTCCATTATCCATGGCGAACTATATTACAATAGGAAGAGAGTGAGGTGTGGTTGACAGTTAACTTGGGATTAGGTGTGTGTGGGCTAGCAAAGAGCAACTATCTCAACTGTCGGCTTCTTTCTTTCAAGGAGAGAAGCACGTTAGAACCGGGGCTGGTGTCGACGTGGGATGGAACGGTCTTTTGAAGGAAGGCTACAGGTTCCCCAACAAGTTCCCAAAGACATGGAAAGTGAGGCGGACGAATTGTATGTAAAGGAGGGACGGCACCCGGGTGTGGGTGGAAAGGAGGGGGTGGTGGCTGTCCAAGGCCTCAACCGGGAGGACACTGGATGTAGAATCGGGCTACCTCCTGAGGCGGAATGAGAATGGCGATGGAGGAACAGCCGGTGCTTGAGGTTTCACGGGGGGCCTGGCTTGGTTGGTCATTACGCAGCGTCACCAAGGTTTACGTCACGACGCTGCATACGATGGCGATGCCCACTGATCGGGCAACCAGATCGTTTCAAGAGTGATTTGTTTTGGACGCTGCCAGCTCTCATATCATGGGCGACCTCAACCTTATTACGGAAGCACGACACACGATGTACCAAGGCAGCCACCGAACCCCGCTCTGGGTCGGTGAGGAGTCGGGCGAGAAACACGCCCGGCTTGTTTGCAAGGCGACCTCCGTTCCTGATTGGAGATGCCGGATGAATAAAAAAGAATAAAAAGACCAGCTCTATTTTTAAGGAGCTGAAACCGGGGGCTTGTTGAAAGTTGAGTTGTGTTCGAAGCTTGGTGCTTTCTTACCTCCTCCCTTCCCATTTACGCTCGCCAATGATTGAGTACCAACAAGAGACTTACTCGCAGCAAGCCGGCAGCCAGGGAACATACACCGATGGCGAACCACAAGGAGCGAGGGCAGCAATGAGGCAACCCTTTTCACCACCTTTACTGGGCAACCCTGGGCAACGTATGCACAATTTTTACGCAACCAACCCAGCCCGCATGTCGCCCGATACATGTTGTCAAGCAAGACTCTTGACACACGGTAGCCAACCCAAACTCGGAGCCACCCACCCCTAGTCGTACCTCTGCATCTGCATTGGCGATCGAATCCACGTGTCTCGTTCCTTCATTCCCTCGTTCTCTCACCGCAACTCCAGAGCCTCAGGTAGATGCCATCGTGTGTTCGCCACCTCGAGGTTGTGGTGTCATTTCATAACACTCGAGGCTCTGCGCTCCTGGCACGGGGTATCACATCGAGATACCATGCGAAGCGTCGCCACATTTGCTAGACAGTATTGGCAGCCGTTTCTGGAGTTACATGGCCTGAAGCGCAATGTCACACGGCTTGTGTTGTCCCTCGTAGGCCCTAGCCTCATCAAGCCTGATCAGCTAGGCAACGCAGCTTTGCGCTACGATGCCATTGGATTGCTTAAGAATCGATTTTGTCAATCGACAGAACGGCTGGCTGCAACTTGATTTTCCCGTATTTTCCCTCGACATATTATATTAAGTACAGTACATACTGAGGTCACTTTTGCTCCCGACCAGCTTCAAGGACCACATTTGAGGCGCGTTTCTACTGCGAATGGCGCACCTCCCTTACACAGCGCATCTCAGCCGACGCTCCTGCCTTTGGCCGCCGTTCTGTGCTGGACGTCCCCAGTGCAGCAGGCATCCGCACTCGAGGGCACGCCGCACGAGCGCCCTTCCTTGCTATTCTCGTTACAGTGCAGTTTACAGGTATCACACTGACATGTGTCAGAGCCTCGACTACGTACACCTATCCGCCCTTGTTCTGCAGCTTCCCATCGCCGGCCTGCCTAGCCCTGCGGAGTCACGACATCTCTGCAGTCGACAAGGGCCAAGGTCAGCCTCTACGTGGACGGTGCCATCGGCCTTTGAAGATATGGCCCCCAGACAAGCCCGTCGAATTCCAAGAGCCCAATCAGGCGAGCGAGTCGGGACTATCGCATTGATTGGTGCTATCTCTGCCCCGTCAAACCCTGTACGAGCCTCGCCAAACTGGTGCCCCAGCCATCAGGCTGAACCACGAAAGAGGCCTAGTGTGTCACTCGGAAGACACGCTTGGCGATACGAGACATGGATGGGGAGCCTCGTCCTGTCCTACCAGGAGCCAGCTACAAGCTGTTCAGGTCCCGCTTCCAGAAGCTGATGTGAAACCTCAGAGCACATCCCGTGGCGTCTCCCATCGAATGGATGACGACAGCCCCATCGTGGACGACGTGTATTGTAGTTGGCCTTTTGATTCATTTTTCGGCCCCTCGGCAGTCACCCAACCCTGTACTCGCGTTTGTTGTTGACTCTGTCGAAGCAGGGGAAAAGCGCCGTCAGCGGGAGCCCAGCCTCGGCGTCGAGGTGGCCGATCGTGTAGCTCTGTAGGCTCCGGTGACGGATGAAAAGCAAGTATGAAGCCTTATCGATCGGACAGAAGAAAAGAGGGTGTAGCTCTGGCGCCGGAACTCAGTCATCTTTTCGGAGACGCCGACATTGCGGGCTGCCTGGCAGGGCCAGGAAAGCGAACTGCCGGAACAGAGGCTTTCAGCCAACTACTTTGGGAGAGGCTGGAGTGAGCCACCAATAGACTGCCAGAATCCAAGTCTGCCTTGCCGCCTGGTAGCGGCTGACCGAGGTTTCCCAGAATTTCAGCTCGGTCTGGACCTGATCCATATGCGCGTCCGTGTCTACTATTCATATTGGTACCTATAACGACACTCCATGACGGGTCTCTGGCGTCGAGAAAAGAAGCTCTCGGAACCCCTCGGCCGGACCCGTGCTGGCGTTTGGCAAGGTGCGGTACCGCGATACGACTGACGCCATCGTCAGCACGGTGCCACCCCCTAGCCCTGGCCTTTGCATCTGTTCATGGTGTGCTGCAGGGCGTTGCCTGGCCCGCTCGCCTCTTCTCACGTCATTGTTGCCCAGGTTTGGGTCTGTCAGCACAGGGGGCCGTTCACACAGAAAGCTGGAATATAATTATGCGAATGCGAGCCTCGCGGGCTCTATGATTTGTTTCTATATCTCTGCTTTTCTAGAGTTACCGTCCTGTTTTATGTGCTCAGTGCTGGCGGCTAATCCCCCACCTAGCATAACGGAGCGGAAAAGACTCATAACAGACATTAATCATTAAGTACCAGCTATTAACCAGTATGGCTGGCGGGTTGGTAAAGAGTCCTGCCACCAGCGCCGATCCCCCCCCTGGTACCTCCGTAAACACAAACACGCCGATTCCCGTTCCCTCCCACCCGGCACTAGACATCCTCCTTGACGACCTCGACGGCCTCGCACGTCGGGTTGTGCGGCTCTCCGGCCGTCACCCACGCAATGGCGTGGTAGTAGTAGCCGCCGACCAGGGTGTAGCAGGCAAACCAGTTCCTCAGCTCGAAGTCGCCGACGATGTCGCCGGGCGCGGTGGCCCCGGCGACGGCCTTGGAGTCGTCGAAGGGCGAGTAGATGTACAGCCTGCTGCTGCTGTCGAAGCCTAGTTGGACGTTCCCACCGGTGTTGCCCGACGGGAGGAACAGCGGGACGGCCAAGTTGGAGGCCGGGGTGTACTCGAGGGACAGGGGTGAGGGAACGTCCTGGACGCTGCCGTTGATGTTGACGGGGAGCTTGAATATCAGCGAACCGTAGGGTGCCGTGTCGCTGGAGTTGAGGGTGTAGGAGCTGTTGACGGTCTCGCTGATGCAGAGGCCTTCGATGGCCGCTCCGGCGTGGCAGGCGTAGAGGGTCTGGCCGTTGAGGGTCTCGTTGGCCGCGTTGGCGATCTTCAGGGTGAATGGCTTAGTCTCGTTGTAGCCTTGGGCGGAAGCTGCCGATGCGGCGAGCGCGGGAACGCTCAAGATTGTGCTGGGTTTCATTTTGGCTGGCTGTGATGGATAAATTGATTGATGGGGTGGATGGAATGAGGAATGATGGGAGACAGGAAGAGGTCGATGGTCAAGGGAAGATCGATAATATGAACTGAACGGTTCCGAGCCGGCTTTCGATATTTGAAATAGAAAACAAGCAGCGAAGTGACGTAAGGCTCATTCGGAGGATCGACGGGATCGACAACCCCTTTTATACAAGATCTGCTCGAAGAAAGAAGGACCCTGCTTATCATTACCTTTAAGGTCGGAACAGGGTCGTAACACAAACGGCAAATGTGGGGAAGGATAGAGACACCGAGGTAGCCGCTATGCAGTACTGAGCACTTGCTCATCCAGAGATTGCATCCTACTCTGCGGAGTGCCTGGCGTCGCAATGGAGTCAGCCGTCAGCCACAGGTAGGCCAGGTTGGGCTGCACGACGACCTGGTTGTAGTAAATCCAAAGACCGGGAAAAGCAGACGACGTCGGAAAGGGACGGGCCCCTTCTCGTATCCATGCGGATGTTAGATGAGGTCAGTCTTCTGACCGCTCCCGACGTCCGAGTTATCGGGCTCGATCATGGTCTGGACAGGGATGCCGGCACATGACAGACCATGCTTAATTAGCCGGCATATAGTGTATATCTGTCCCGTCATATCGGCGGGCTCCCGGACTGGCCGTCTCGAACGTCATCGGCGTCATTTTTATGGATCTAGGCCTGAACCCCAGCCGCTGACACACACCGAGGGAAACGACAAGATGGGGACACGCGGGTGACAAAAAAAGTGGCACACACAAATTTCCCCGCACCTAAACCATCACCACAACCACAAACTTCAGGTACTTCCAAGATAGATTATACTTCTACAAAGTGCCAGGAAACTCAAATGGAAAGATGAGCCTTCAGGTCTACAGGGACGAGATTTTGGAAAAGGTTGTGAGAACCTGGCTTGAAAACGAAGGACCTGATGCTTTTGTGCTAGAAGAAGACAACGATTCAGGCCATGGCACAGGAAAGCAGAATATTGTGAGAGCTTGGAAGACAGCTCATGGGCTAAAGTCTTACTTTAACTGTCCTCAATCCCCTGATCTTGTTCCAATCAAGAATGCCTGGAGTGCTCCAAAGGAATGGATTGCGCAGTTTGACAGCTGGGATAACGATTCACTTCAACCTAGCAATCGAAGGTTGGAATCGACTTACACAAGATACAATTTATAGCTAGGGAGATAGCATTCCGCAACACTGGGATGACTGCGTGGAAAGTGGTGGGAAAATAACTGGTTGGTAGGACTATCAAAATTGTATATAGATTGCTAGTAAATTTGATAGTAGCTAGCGTGGTAAATTTTGTGTGTGCCACTTTTTTTGTCACCCGCGTGGGGGAATCACAAGGCACTGTGAGTTATCTGGGCAACGCCAAGCACCGCACACAATACATCTCGGACCGAGGATAATGATGGTATGAGTCTTGGAGCATACCAAGCAATTCGCCTTCCCCCTTCCTCAGTGTAAAAAAGTGGACCGAAGCAATAACCATAATCCCAACGCTACCAACTGCCGCCACCGGCTGGCGATGCAGATCCCTCATGGGGCGGAGGCGCCGCTGACGCCCCAACCCCGCGGCCGGACAAAGTACCAGGAATCCGCCTTCTGAGCATCTTCCGGTTCCCCCCGCTGCCGCACAGCGGCGTATGACTGCCACCCGAACCGGTTGAGCGTCTCGACGACCCGGAGGATGAGCAGCTGAGCCCTGACCGCCTTCTCCCCCATCGTCTGCCAGGGGCTTCCCTTGCACTTGAACTCGAACGACTCGTACTTCCACTCGCCGCTCCGGAAGCAGTCAAGCTCGGCCATGGCCTTCTTGACGCTCTGGATGAGCAAGCCCACCTCGTCGTGGTCGTGATCGCTGCGCACGGAGAAGCTGGCCACGGCCACGGCCAACCCGGCGGCCCCGTCCTTGCCCACCACCCCGTCGGCTGTCGGCGCGTCGTAGATGATCCGCAGCCTGTCGTGCTTCGCCAGCGTCACGACGAGCCAGTCCAGCGGCGGCGGGACGACGGGCTCCCCCAGCGCCGCCGCCCCGCCTCCAAACCGTGTCCGCCGCCGGAAGACGAGCGTGTCCCTGCAGCCGAGGCCGCGGCAGTGGCCCAGCGGCGTGACGAGGACCCATCCGTGGCTGTGCAGGAACGCAAGCACGTCGCGCACGAGCCGCCGGCTGCCGACGGCCTGCGCCGCGCCGCCACCGCCCGCCACGGACGGGGACCCGCCCCCGAACGGCCGGCCCCGGAGCTTGGACTCGTACGCCTCCGCCGTGGCGTTGTCGGGAGGCCGCGCCGCCTGGATCCCGGGCGGCCAGGACGCGCGGATCTGGGCCGCCAGAGGGTCGTAGGTGGCTGGCGGGAACTGGAGGAGGCGAATCAGGTCGCTTTGGTGGAAGGAGAGGGTTGCGAAGGAGGTGGGTAGGGTGTCTGACTCTATGTCTGTGTCTGCCATGGGTGCTGTGCTGGACTGGATGTGTTGGGTGATATGCAGTTGGTGGGTGCGGGAGAGATGATGACCATTCGAAGTGAGGTCGGACTTGGAGCGATAGGTGAGGATCTTGAGGTAACTAAGAAGCAGATTGCCCAGGGTTATATACAGCGACCTACATCCGAATACTTGCGAGAAAAGCCTTGCCAAACGCGGTCATCGGTCACTCGACCTGCCTTGGTCTGGAGGGTTGAAACGACAAATACGCTCTCGACCAAACCCTGGCGACATTATGGCTGACTGGCATTCTTTTCTTCTTTCTTTTTCTCTTTCTTTTTTCAAAAACCACCGGCAAGGAGTCTCTAAGGCGAACAGCCTCGCCCTGTGTAAGATGCATCCATACGATGTAACCGGGGGAAGAAGACCTTAATCTGGTGGCTTTAGACTTTGAACTTAACCTATGGGCGTGCAGGGTCGTATCTCGTATCAGTGCGGATCTCACACTATGATTCTCTCTTCGGAATGGGGGAGAGTGGGCGGGGACAGAAAAGAACCAATGGAACGGCTCTGTGGTATTCTGTGCATATCAGAGAGGTAAAACAGTACATACAGAATGCCCCATCATGCCTCATTGTCGCTCGTTTCCCACTCCTGGTTCGGGTTCGCGTCACCACTTACAAACCTCTGCCATCGCTGGGCGAATTCCCTCATTCCCCCTTCACCTGCCATGCTGGCGTCCACAACCTCCTTTGGCAGCTTGTGCGCCGAGTATTGCGGCGTGCTGAAGTTGTGTGCTGCAGGGTCGTCCTTTTCGACGAGCCTTACTTCGGGCTCATAGTCGTCCTCTTCATCCTCGTCTGTCGTCAGATCGTCTTCTGCGTCTCCATCCCCAGCAACACCCAGGACCGGTTTGGGGACCCTGAGATCCAACAACTCCCCCCAGTCGAAGAGGAGACTGTCCGTGTGTGGCGCCCATGGGTTGATGTCTATCAGCCGTGCTCTGCCCAATCGATTCCTGCTGTTGTCGTCGTCATCGTCGTAATCGGCTTCAGGCATGTATACATCAAAAGCGAAGCTTCCTTCAGGAAATGTAAACCTCAGCCTGCGGTTAAAAAGCTCCTTGGCGCGCTGAATGATTGCCGGTCGCAGTGACTCGAGGAACCCATAGTGGTTCAGGTCGCGCTGCGTGATGCCGACTAGCGCCCGGTCCTTGACGAAGCACCGGAACTCCAGTGATGGCAGCGGCGAGAAGAAGCTGCGCAAGACTAAAACCGGGGTGAACTTGAGACCGGGGGTATTGTTGGCTGGAGGCAAGGACGAGGCTGAGGATGGAAAACAGTGGTCAAAGGCATGCTCGAGGTCATGGCTGACGAAGCTGGAGCTCTTGAGCAACAAATAGACGTCGTTAGGCGATGTACATTTCATGGTGTTCTGGTGAGGCGAAATCCAGGCTGCGTCCTTGGGCGCCGACCAGTTGAGTTTCGGCGCCACGGCTCCCCCAAGCTCGCGGATCTTATCCTTGATGGTCTGGTGAAGCTCTGGGAACCGGCGGTTTGGCGGCATTTGAGCAGGCGCTTCATCCTCAGAGTCGGAGGAAATATCCTCGTCTGGTCCAGGGACGAAATGGCTCCGAGCGGTTGATGTGGGCTCCCAGTCCTCTTCGCCTTCGGCTTCTGCCTCGTCGTCATCTGCGAGGATAATACGATCCTCTCTGATATATTCGACAAATTCTGGAGGCAACTGGATTATCCGAGATCGGATACATGAGGTGCGATACCTGACAGCCACTTAGCTTTAGCTGTCTCGAGACCACTCTAAGGGACCGAATACGAACTTGGGAAACCAGTAATCATATGAGCAATGCAGGATATGTTCCCTCGTTGTGGGAGGGAATTGTACCGGTGCTTCTGATATCCCAGCATCGGGACTAACTGGCAGGCTGTCTAGCCCAGGCATTTTGAAGAAGAGATGGTTGGTGGACGCAGTGTGGCTCAGGTGAGGCTCTTGTACAACGGGTGAGAGATACCTAGCAATATCCGGAACCAAGGGCACGATTTAGTTGACAGTTGAGACGGGATGTCCGGTGCACCTCTGATTTTATATCTTCATCCCGTTTATATGCGTAGACGGGAGTCGTGGGGCAAAAGAGTTCTGTCAAACCATGAGTCAACCCCGCTATGGAGCGTCAGCTTACTACGCAGCCCACCACATTTCTGCCCCCATATCAGTGGCGCTAAAGCAGGCCAGGCCAATCCCCAGCGATCTGACCTCGCCGACTTCCATTTTCATCGACTCCGGATCGAATCTCGCCAACTTCTCCCATCTCGACCATTACCGGCGAGTTCTTCACTATGTCTGACAATGTCGGCCTCTCCACGCCACGCGGCAGTGGCACCTCTGGCTATGTTCAACGAAACCTGGCCCACATGAAGCCCCGCGACATGGTGGCTCCGTATCCGAAGGATCACGACAGTCTACGACACAGGCAGCGGCAGCCCGACAAGGGGATTCTGGAACACGACCGCAAGCGCGAGGTTGAGGTGAAGGTATTTGAGCTGCGCGACCAGCTCGAGGATGAAGGGTGAGTTGCGCCATCTCCCTTCCTGGGGGGAAGCCATGTCGCTAACGGCTTGCCCCATGGCTAGTGTTGACGAAGACGAAATCGAAAGTCGGTGCGACCAGCTCCGGAAAAAGCTCCTTGCAGATATGGAAAAGGGTGGAGGGAGGGGCGCCATACCCAAGAAAGGTCTCAAGATGCACCAGGTCCACGAGCTCGCCGATGCCAAGATAAAGGAGAGCGAGAGGTTGCGGCAGGCGCTGAAGATCAGCAAGGACTATGAAGAGGGTAGTCACTGGAAGAGGCAGGAGGAGCGGGTGAAGAAGGCTTTAGAGCGGGAAACTGAAGAATGACGGGCAGATGACGAATCCGGGGCATTTCCATACTCGGGCGGCAGCTATGAACTCTGCCGGGCTTTCGACTTTCGATCCTATGCTGGCATCACGGCGTTGGGGGAGTGTTGGGGGGATTTGGGAAAGGATCATAGGGAAAATGGGAATAACTTTTCTTCGAGTTCCCTCTCCTCCAGTTACATGCATCTAGTATACCAGGGGTTATGCCAAGGGCTAGGACATGACGGACACAGTGGGATGCCGGCTCGGGTCGTTGGCGAGATATCATGAGAGCATAATCGCTTGGGATCGAGGAATGGTGGGTAGGACGACATGCTCAAGGTGCCGTCGCAACCGGATTACGAACCGTTTATCTGATAGCGCCAGAACCCAGGATCCGGCGCCATGGACCAGGTTCGTCATGTTATACAGCGTCACTCGGGTTTGGAGAACGCGATGGGACGAGAGTCGGAAGGGCCCGATACCATATGTGATCGGAATTACGGTCCTCGGCTTTCGGGAATACATACGGGTAGGCTACTAGTACCCGGCGTACGAAGAAAAGATGTGCTACGGTTGTCAGGCTGGCAACGTCATGGACGCTAGTGAAAAGTGTTATGAGAGCCCATCAATCCATGTGCTCTGGCTTTTTGTGCTGTGCCTTGACGTGGTCTGTGATGTCTGTGGTTCATGGATGTTCTTGGGCCCTTGATTTATGCAACCATTAAATGTGTGTCATTCCGGAGTACGAACCCGTAACGCAGGGCGGACTGGCTTGTCGATTGCCATTCGCTGCATCTAGGTTCTGGACGCATTGGAAGCAATCTACGGAATACCTTGGTACCTAATTTTATCGATAGGTGCGCAGAGCTGGAGCCCCTGCCAAGCCCGGCGCTCATCATGATTGGCCTTGTCGGCCCCGCTGAAGAATCAATAAATCCTAAAGTGGCTTGGAAGTGGCTTCCAGTGCCAACGATTCATCATTAATACATAGGGCGCCGAGGATGACCGGAAGTATTTTTGGTCTTTCCCCAATTTCATACATTTCATACCAGGTTAAACACAGTGGTTTGGATATACTATGTAGCTAACAAGTCAAGGCCATCCCGTATTGCCACTCAGCCCATGAAGGGAACCAACAGGCTTCATCTGTACCTGCATCGCGCAATTTGAGGCCCCGTTGGCCTTAAGTTGTGATTTGCATGCGTTGGTCCTCAACGCCCCCGACGACGCACAGTATCGACAATCGACAGCATTGGTACGTAACATACCTTATTAGGAGTGTATGTACATAGCACACTCCCTACCGACCTGAGACGGAACAATAAACGACGTTCGTACCCGACCCGACACTGCGCCTGCGGGGCAAGTGGTTACACCACAGCTTCCGTGTGATCCGGAGCGCTACAACTGCACAACTTGCCTTGAAGTTCAATCTATCCGTAATTCTTTCTGCAGTCTCAATAGTAGAGTCTACGCTGCACGGATTAGTGTACTATGTACTGCGTAGAAGAGGTTGCATGTGCACTAGCGAGTCCAAGACAACACTATCAACCATGAGGAAGATCATATTCGGAGCTACCAGCCCATTTGCGGCTTGCCCCACTGCTGCGTACGTCACGCTAGCTACAAGTGGACTAAGGTCCATTGCTCCAATGTCCAATGCGCCGCTGCAGAGACCCACAAGCGGGCGTCTAGACCTTTGGGATTCTTATTACGGTATTGATCTGCTCAGGAGTTCGTTCAGTAACGGTTCTCTTGTCTCCTCCGCCAACGAGCTCAGCCGCCGATATATCGAAGCAATTGGGGGGCACACAGGGCCATATTCAATACAGATACCCTGTTTCTCCTCTTTCTCACTCTGGTTTTCTGGGCCCCCCCGCACTCGCCTGCTGGCCAGAAACGGCAGCGGCATTATCATCGATATTCATATACACCTCCATCCCCTCCTCCCATTGGCGTGTGCCTCCTCCCACACGGCACCCACCTCATTTATCCGTCAACGTCCATATTGACCCATTGGCCCAAAGTTTCCATCCAAGTTGCCAGGAAAATCCCGATTCTGTCCAGTCAACTGTGATGCCAAGCCGATCGAGCCAGCCCTGCTGATGAGCTGGCGTTCCGGGGAGCTTGTAGTTGCTGGTATAATAGAGTCATCAGGCTTGCCATTGTGTCCAGAACTCGTCGCCGCCGAACTACAAGACACCTCTTGGCCCACGATCAGGAGCCCGGAAAGGAGGAACAGAAGACGACCACAATCGTCCCACCCCGCCGGTTGGATATCAGAGTCGCTCGTTACCATTTCCTGTTGCACAAAGTGATGTTTCACCGATCCCAACCACATCATCCCCTTCCAGCCAAGTCATGATGGCTTCGACCACTTTTCTCCTTTCGGCCTCAGCGCGCTCCCGAGGATTTTCTGGGCCCACAACTGTGTCGTATACTCGCAACTGTCGGATACAATGGCCTGCGCTCCTTCTAGCCCTGTTATGCTTCGTTTGCCAGGCAATAGCCCTTTCGCCCGACCCTCCCCAACCTGTCGAGACGCTGGAACTCGACACAAGAACCCCGCACTTTGAAGAGGGATCGTGGGTGATGCTGTCTCGCGAAGATCAGGAGATGAGAAAGCTCGGGAAGCGGAGCACATCTTCAACTTCTGCCCCTCCCATCACCACAACGTTCGAAATTGCCGTCTCGACAGTCACCGAGAAGACCACCACATCAACCGCATCTGCGAGCCCACTGCCAAGCCCTCTCGATAGCAGCCTGTCCTCTAACTTTTCAGGAACGAATGGGAACAAGCCCTGCCCCAAATTCATCAACTCGTTTCTCACGGACCCAACCTTCAAGCAGTGCTATCCCTTCTCGCTACTTCTCCAGGTACATTGATTCGCCCCTACTCATACCGTGTTATTATGGGACAAGCTGACCGACCTGATCCAGGGTTCCCGATCCTTCTTCGAGGCTGAGAAATCGCTTGTCAGTATCACTCAGGTGCTGGATGCGTCGTGCTCGGCCAATGTTACATTTTGCGCCTCGTACATGAAGGAACTCTCCAGTAACCTCACCGATTCGTCCAACTGCGGTGCCGACTACGACCTCGGAAACTCTGTCGTCGTGCAGGCATACCTCGCCATGATTTCTTATCAGACCGTCTACAGTGCGACATGTCTGAAAGACACCGGGACGGCCATGTACTGCTACGCAAACGCCGTCACAAACCTCACGACTCCATCTAATGTGTACTTTTACTACCTGCCCCTCAACATTTCTCTGCCGGGGAGCTCCATCCCGTCTTGCAGCTGGTGCCTGGAGCGAACTATGGGCATATACCAGTCCGCCTCTGCGAATCGGAAGTTGCCGATATCGAATACCTACGTCTCTGCCGCAAAGCAGGTCAACACAATCTGCGGCCCCGAGTTCGTGAATGATACTCTACCGAACGCCATTGTGGTCAGCGCCGGGAATGTCGTTCTAGTACCAGGGTCGCAATGGTTGCTGATGGTGCTACCATTGCTGTTGGCCTTGGAGTGGCTACTATAACGCAATCGGTGACCCTGATCACTTTCCGCCCCTTTTGTTTACTTTCGCTGGTTGTTCGAATCGCTACCAGCCCACCACGACGGAACGAATGACTCGGGACGGCGCTTCGCAAACGCGGGGCCGGTTCTTTCCTTGGGAGTTTTTTTTCCGTCACGACACTTGGACTTCTTCGGCACAGTCAGGAAGTTGGGGAAATCGAGGTCGGCGCGGACCACGGGTCGTCCTTGAGGCCTTGTTTACTCTGTCTGGGAAACATACACTTTGGCGCTTGATACCCCTATATATATCTCTCTCCCTTTTTTGGCTTCGGTTTCTTTTCCTCCCCCTTTTCCCCTCCACCTCGGCCCTAACTGCTGGGCAATCGAGTCAGGAAAGTCGGTTGTGGTTGCATCCCGACTTGGCCCTAGGAGGTTATTGTTTTTTTATTCACTTCTTTGGGCTGGAGCTGGTTATATACTGGGCATTTGGGAAGACAAAAAAAGCGCCTTGGTTCAGCAGGCGGGCGGCGACTCGGACATTCCAAGACGGAGGAGTGTAGGCGTTCTGAACCTTAAGGACGTATAGGGCATGGATTTTTCTTCTTCTTCTTCAATACCTCACCGGCACAGGGTCTGCGAGCCTTTGCTCATCGCACCCATTAATAGTGTCGTTTAGCTTAATCTTCTTGTATATATATATAGATAGTTACAGATGTATGTAACCTTGGGAAACCAGATGTTTGGGGACAACAAGTCTTGTTAATAAATAGATAGATAGGCACCGGGGAGCAATGTCTTCATCCACCGTGGTCCTGTCAGAGCAAGATGAAGGCTGTGCAGCTCACGGTTATCTACTACCACTACCAACTACCATCTACCTCCGCGTGGTGGGGAGGGTCTAGGCAGTGAAATGATATAATGTGTTAATCCCGGGTTGCACTCGCTTCTTGGCTAAGGCCAGAGTCAGTAGACTGCTCCTCCTTTTTAGTCACTCTACCCGTGCGCTCCCCTGAGGATGGATGATTTGCCCCCTATCCCCCCCTGAGCACTTCCTCACCCCGCCCTTCCCCCGGGCGACCTAAGGAAAACCTAAGCGCATTCGCCTGAGAGAAAACGATTCCCGCTCCAGAGAGGGCTGCTGGGGGGAAACCGCGAGGAGGGAAGACGACGAGTGTTGGCAAGGGGGTTATTGGGTGGGCATCCATTTTGGCTACGTCGGGCACGGTATCTTTCACATACAGGGGAGAAGTTCATGACAACGATCTCGCCGAGGTGTTCATCCAGCGGTGAGGGTTATGGTCCAGGCGCCAGGCGTCGGAGTCGACATATGACTGGCATGAGGATGTTTGAGATGGTTCAGCCGTTGACCTCTGGCTAACGCCGCCTCGGAGCGTCGGTGAGGACCGGGTTGGGAGCTGGGGGGGGGCGCGCGCAGCATTTCCAACGTGGCAGCTAAGACGAGAAGAAGGGATTGAACGGAACTGTCTGGGCTATGGCGACTTGTAGGTTTGATTTCGAGTCACCGGCATAATTCGCACACATCACACCCTACTTGGAGATATTTTGGCAATCCTCCTAAGCGACCATTAGCCTCGGCGCAAGGAGAGGGACTCGTATTAGACGGCCGTTTCACAGCCACCCACTTTACGATGAAATCTACTCTTAGCTAGGCTCTTGTATGAGTCAAAGGTGCCCCAAAATCTCGATAAGAACTGGCGCCGGCGGCGGAACGCGGGAGGAGAAGGGAGGAGGAAAATGACAGGAGAACACAGCTAACAGGCCGGATGGGAGGTGTGTTGACCTTCGTTCCATGCGTGTCGTATCGTATCTGAACCATGTTCGTTCGTGGGATACTCGTCAATGACAAGACATCATGGTGAAACTATCGAGGAAACAAAGTATTCAGCGTCCCAGGACTTCCCGCGTCTGTGGCAACCAAGGGGAAGGATAGAAGATCGCCCAGTCAGCCTTCTCGATAGATGTCATCGACGACCGCACGCTCCGCGTTCGGTTCAGTCCACGTAAAGGGAAATATCGATGTCGGCTGTAGATTACATGGTCGCCCAACCGCGCCAAAGCAGGAGAAGAGTCTATGATATACGATCACGTTAGCACATCATCACTGTTGATGGATCGTGGAAATCGGCCCCGACTTTTCGACAGATAAATATCAAGAATCGGAGAGTATGGGGGCATATTGGGTTGGAAGAGGCTCACTCGAAGCTGTTTCCAGGTCGTCCCTACTCTGACGACTAGTGAGAGCTTTCTCGATACCCTCCAGACCCGCAGGTAGAAAATTAGTCGCGAACAGCTTACTTCGATGTCACCTGCATGCGTTGCGTGTCCCAGCTAGCTGAAATTTCGGGACTCAATAGAGTTATGGAACGAGACAGATGGGCATTTGGGACGACGTAAATATCAGCTCAGCCCGAGTTGTGGTAGCCTGTAAGGGGAAGGAAGAATGTCAGTTTCCTTCCTGAGGCAGTCGGATAGGCTGCGGCAGGCATTCTCGCCACAGCATTCGACATCAGGCACTGTTACCACGCTCCACAAGCATGTCAGGAAGCATATAAATCTGAAGTGATATCCTCGTCTGATTTCCAAGACAATACCGTACACAACCCCGTTTGATGCCTCAACAGAGTACGATAGTTGGTGGCAATAACGGCAGAAGACAGGCACTTCCCAAATATCAGCGGAGACTTCGCGAGGCCCAGTCTCGGTGCCATGGTTCACTGTTAATGACCCTTTGGGTGATGCTGCGGGGCTACTCGGTTTGCACTTGCTAGACCCGAGAGTCCTGTAACCGATCGGAGACCTGGCATCCGAGGTTGCCATACCTAGATGCGAAGAAACTGAAGACCCGAGGTTTCGTGGCCACACACTTCCTCGAGTGCTCGCCACCAACCTTCCCTTCTCAGAATAGGTTAGCTGTAAGAGGCGAGCTAAACGGTCTCACGTCTGCCCTTAGCCCGGAGGCGTGGAGCTAGAGGGCGAGGGCCTGGCATAGACCCGAAACTGCCCATTTTAAGAGATCCAGAAGATGTCGGTGTAAGCAGCATGAATTTGTCACCAAGGGCGTACTGCGTATGAGTTGGCCCAGTGCCAGTAGCTGACTTGCTTGGCGAGCCAAGGCGCGCTGGAGAAGGCGCCGTTAGCTTGCCAGGAACATTTGGACGTCCGCAAAACGCCATTCCGATCCCAGACTCAAGAAGTGGGACATGCGTTCGGCGAATGCCTTCCTGAAAACGGCTGAAAACGCTGCCGGCTGAGATGGCATTGACCTGATCTCGAAAGAGCACTTCTGGCCTCAGCCAAGGAAGGGGAGAGATAATAGCGGTGCTTTCCTAAGCAGTGCCTTATGCGATGGAGCCACTCGGCACGATTCTGCCACCATATGACCAACAAGTCGACGCCACTTAAGACGCTTGGGGGAAACAGCGTGACGCTGTTTCAGGATTGAGAGGCGTGGCCAACAACAGCGAGGGCCGAGATGCCCAGACCGAACAAGTTTACTACCATATTTGGCCTATCTTAAGGGGCGGAGGAACATCGCCACTTCAGCGTCATCTATTCCTGCCCGGAGACGCTGGGCAAGTGAGGCGCTATTCCACGCTCGTCAGGAGAATATTCAAACCTTCATCATGCACTGTGTTGGGAAAACAGAGTGACTTGCACCCTCCTGGGTCTATATCAGAATAGCAGTGTCTTGTATGCCTTCGTATTCGTCTAGCTCCAGGCCGTTGTGAACTGGGAGCCCTGATGCGGCGTCAGCAACTGTCGGTCGGCGATATTCCGCGTCGATAGCATAGGAGTCCTCTTAAGAATGTGCCAGCTGGGAAGCTTGGAGGCGGAGACTGCCCCTGTGTCTTTGACGAGCGATGCTATGTTCCAGGCCGTGTCCTCTGCCCGGGAAAAGGCTTCGTCACTTGACGAAAATATCCGCGGCAATCCTCATGGACTGTCCCCGGGAACAAGGGCTAGACGGCAGATGGCGCAAGTATGACCCTATGTCAAGGAGGCGTCTCTCGGTTAACGTCGTGCCCCGGTCGTCACTCGTAGGTTATGAGACGCAAATGATACCGTCCGGCCGAGTCTCCTTGACGGCCCAGCCTTCCTTCCCGGGATGGGGTGTAGGTGTGGATTGGCTCAAGACTCCGGCAATATCCACCAACGTCTGATGTTCCAGGACTGAAGCAGGTAGCACCGCTCGCCTGTCCGCGGAGTAGTTCTTCGGACGTTGGCAGCCACGTTTTGCTAGGAGGAGCCCAGTTGGAGGAGGTCCGGAGGCCGTGTTGATCAAGCTGCCCGTTTAGGGCGACACCAGAGGAGTTGGAGAAATTAGCTTTCATCCAATGGCAACACAGGCGGATATCAGCCTAGGTTGCAAACCAACATCACAACCACGTCGGGGAAGGAGAGTCAGGCTCGACCCTTGGTCCCTGAACGGCAGTCGAGCCGCAGGTCTGACCGAGTAATTGCCGGATGTGGGATCTGCCTCCACCCCACGCTATGGGGAAGTCATAACTGCCTACCCCGAGAATGCGTCGAGGGATGCCGGGTGCAAACTCGAGAGTCGTCACTATGCGTAGTCGAAATTAATCTACAGCGGCGGCTTAGCGGTTCTTGGGGCGGCGAAGCGCGAAGCGGAAAACCTACGTAACGTTGCAGCTCCCTAGCTCAATATCTAGAGAGACCGAGACAGGGAGGCATCCGCGTTGGGATTCTTCCAGGCGGCTGGAATTGCAATCAGTCCAGTTCCTGGTACGGACTCGGTGGACGGCGGGGTGGGAAGGAGGACACGCCTGGATTAATTGCCGCGAAGGGTTTCTTCCGGCAGGGGAGAATGTGTCGTCTCTTCCCAGGAACCTGGAGGACTCCATATTAAACAACCTGTGACGAATGGCCGGCTTGTCGATTGCTGCATTCCTAGTGGCTTCCGATAGAGGCTCGATATGAAGCCGAAATGAATCCCTTGTGTCAGCCAAGCCCCGATAGTGATGGGGAGGAGTACGCGAGGCA